CTGGCATTGTACTGTAATTTACACAGTTTTACTCATTTTAAATGACAACCTTGCTGGTATTGCACATTTTGTTTTCACAAATTGTAAATAGACTGTTGTTTTAATGCACAAATACACATGGAACATTTTGCAGATTTTTTAAAAATTATTCCACTCATTTGCAAATTCCGTAGATTAAATATCATTTTTGGTAACTGCGCAGTATTTTGGGTTGTAATTTCTTTCTTACTGCTCAGGCATTTTCTTTTAGAAATTATTAGACTACAGTTTTGTCATGTAGTCTAAGAATTTTTTTTTTCCTGACGGTAACATGAGAGCACAAGATGAACTGTTGATGATTTCTCCTCTGTTGCAGAAACCTTTGGAGGGGCACAGACTCCAAATGAAAAAATTTACTCATTAAACAAAATCTTGAAACACAGTACAACATAGCAATAATCCATATTAATGAAGAATCTAACATTTAATCAGATCATACTGTATCACTGTCATCATGTGGGATAATGCAACGCAAATGTAGTCTATGTTTTCCCTGATAAGTATGATGTTGCTGTTTCTGCTACTGACAGTGCTGAAGGGCTGCATTGATCTGAGACTGTAGTTGTTAAACAGACCATAGGAGAGCAGATAGCTGGATACCTGTAACAACTTGGCTACAGACTGCTTTAAAGATCACAAAAAGCTCAAAGGGGTAAACTCTACAGTCATGGCCAAATGTTTTGAGAATGATTCAAATGTCTACTGCTTCAGTTTTTATAACGGCAATTTGCATATAGTCCAGAATGTTATAAAGAGTGATCAGCGTAACAGCAATTAATTGCAAAGTCAATATTTGCCTAGAAAATGAACTTTATCCCCCAAAACACATTTCAACATCATTGCAGCCCTGCCTTAAAAGGACCAGCTAACATCGTTTCAGTGATTGCTCCATTAACACAGGTGTAGGTGGTGATGAGGTCAGGGCTGGAGATCAATCTGCCATGATTAAGTAAGAAGGACACCACTGGACACTTTGAAAAGAGGCTGGTGCTTGGCATCATTGTTTCTCTTCAGTGAACCATGGTTATCTCTAAAAAAACATGTGCAGTCATCATTCCGCAGCACAAAAATGGCCCAACAGGAAAAAGAATCGCAGCTAGAAAGATTGCACCTCAGTCAACAATCTATTGCATCATCAAGAACTTCTAGGAGAGAGGTTCCATTGTTGCCAAAAAGGCTCCAGGGCGCCCAAGAAGTACCAGCAAGCGCCAGGACGTCTCTTAAAAGTGTTTCAGCTGTGGGATCGGACTGCCAGCCGTGCAGAGCTTGCTCAGGAATGGCAGCAGGCAGGTGTGAGTGCATCTGCACCCACTGTGAGGCGGAGACTCTTGGAGCAAGGCCTGGTCTCAAGGAGGGCAGCATAGAAGCCACTTCTCTCCAGGAAAAACATCAGGTACAGACTGATATTCTGCAAAAGGTACAGGGAGTGGACTGCTGAGGACTGGGGTGAAGTCATTTTTTCTGATGAATCCCCTTTCCGATTGTTTGGGACATCTGGAAAACAGCTTGTTCGGAGAAGACGAGGTGAGCGCTACCACCAGTCTTGTCTCATGCCAACTGTAAAGCATCCTGAAACCATTCATGTGTGGGGTTGCTTCTCAGCCAAGGGAGTCGGCTCTCTCACAGTCTTACCTAAAAACACAGCCATGAATAAAGAATGGTACCAGAATGTCCTCCGAGATCAACTTCTCCCAACCATCCAAGAGCAGTTTGGTGATGAACAATGACTTTTCTAGCATGATGGAGCACCTTGCCATAAAGCAAAGGTGATATCTAACTGGCTCAGGGAACAAAACATAGAGAATTTGGGTCCATGGCCTGGAAACTCCCCCGATCTTAATCCCATCAAAAACTTGTGGTCAATCATCAAGAGACGGGTGGACAAACGAAAACCTAAGAATTCTGACAAAATGCAAGCATTGATTGTGCAAGAATGGACTATCAGTCAGGATTTGGTCCAGAAGTTGATTGAGCGCATGCCAGGGAGAATTGCAGAGGTCCTAAAGAAAAGGGGTCAACACTGCACATATTGATTTGCTGCATTAACTCATTCTGTCAATAAGAGCTTTTGTTACTAATAATATGATTGCAATTGCATTTCTGTATGTGATGACAACAGTTGAAAACCAGACGGCAGCAGATTATGTAAAATTATAACATTTGTGTCATTCTCAATACTTTTGGTCATAAATGTTTGACATTAACTCCTCTCAGAGATCTAGAATTGTAAGACAGAGATGTCAAGGCAAAGTAAACCCAGTTCTGCTGGTAGGCCCCTTCAGACATCCAAGGGCCCCTATGGTTGAATTGTAATACAGACCAAAGATCTCAACCTCGAGCATTCATTTATTGAGAATGAGAATGTTATAAAATTTTATTTAATGTATTCAACAGACTGGCGACCTGTCCAGGGAGCACCCTACCTCTCTCCCGGAACGTTAGCTGGAGATAGGCACCAGCACCTCCCGACCCCACAAGGGGATGATAATAGTGTAAAGAAAATGGACGGAAGGATGGACAGATGGATGGCATTCAACAGAAAAAAATAATAATAACAAAGTGCTTTTAAGATTTAATTAGGAAGGTTACTTTGTAAAAGTTTAAAGAACCATCTTGATAGTTTGATTGTTGTGTTACCATGGCTACAATATTGTTTAATGTTTCTGTTTTGATGTATTTGTCTGTTCACAAATACATCAAAACAAATAATAATGAATAATCAAATAAGAGGGGCAGAGGAAGCCTTAATAATGATTCTGCCTAGGGAGCCATATTACTTTGGGCAAATTACTGCATGAAGATCGCAGCTGTGCATCTCTGCTGTAATCTGCCTGTAGCTTCTATGCCAGTCCGCCGATATTTTTGGAACATTTTGATTTACTTAACTGTGGTACCAGATTTGGCTTTATGCTACAGTTCAGATTATTGGTACAGTATTTTCACTGATGCTTGTGTGTTATTATATATATATATATATATATATATATATATATATATATATATATATATATATATATATATATATATATATACAGTTAGGGCCAGAAATATTTGGACAGTGACACAGGTTTTGTTATTTTAGCTGTTGACAAAAATATGTTCAGAAATACAATTTATATATAGTATGGGCTGAAAGTGCACACTCCCAGCTGCAATATGAGAGTTTCCACATCCAAATCGGAGAAAGGGTTTAGGAATCATAGCTCTGTAATGCATAGCCTCCTCTTTTTCAAGGGACCAAAAGTAATTGGACAATGGACTCTAAAGGCTGCAAGTAACTCAAAAGGCCTTTCCCTCATTAACCTGTAATCAAGTAAGTAGTTAAAAGGTCTGGGGTTGTTTCCAGGTGTGTGGTTTTGCATTTGGAAGCTGTTGCTGTGACCAGACAACATGCGGTCAAAGGAGCTCTCAATTGAGGTGAAGCAGAACATCCTGAGGCTGAAAAAAAAGAAAAAATCCATCAGAGAGATAGCAGACATGCTTGGAGTAGCAAAATCAACAGTCTGGTACATTCTGAGGAAAAAGGAATTGACTGGTGAGCTTGGGAACTCAAAAAGGCCTGGGCGTCCACGGAAGACAACAGTGGTGGATGATCGCCGCATACTTTCTTTGGTGAAGAAGGACCCGTTCACAACATCAACTGAGGTCCAGAACACTCTCAGAGAAGTAGGTGTATCTGTCTCTAAGTCAACAGTAAAGAGAAGACTCCATGAAAGCAAATACAAAGGGTTCACATGTAGATGCAAACCATTCATCAATTCCAAAAATAGACAGGCCAGAGTTAAATTTGCCCAAAAACACCTCAAGAAGCCAGCCCAGTTCTGGAAAAGTATTCTATGGACAGATGAGACAAAGATCAACCTGTACCAGAATGATGGGAAGAAAAAAGTTTGGAGAAGAAAGGGAACGGCACATGATCCAAGGCACACCACATCCTCTGTAAAACATGGTGGAGGCAACGTGATGGCATGGGCATGCATGGCTTTCAATGGCACTGGGTCACTTGTGTTTATTGATGACATAACAGCAGACAAGAGTAGCTGGATGAATTCTGAAGTGTACCGGGATATACTGTCAGCCCAGATTCAGCCAAATGCTGCAAAGTTGATCGGACGGCGCTTCACACTACAGATGGATAATGACCCCAAGCATACAGCCAAAGCTACCCAGGAGTTCATGAGAGCAAAAAGGTGGAATATTCTGCAATGGCCAAGTCAATCACCAGATCTTAACCCAATTGAGCATGCATTTCACTTGCTCAAATCCAGACTTCAGACGGAAAGACCCACTAACAAGCAAGACCTGAAGGCTGCGGCTGTAAAGGCCTGGCAAAGCATTAAGAAGGAGGAAACCCAGCGTTTGGTGATGTCCATGGGTTCCAGACTTAAGGCAGTGATTGCCTCCAAAGGATTCGCAACAAAATATTGAGAAAAACTTTTTTGTTTGGGTTATGTTTATATGTCCAATTACTTTTGAGCTCCTAAAATGTGGAGTGTTTGTAAACAAATGTGTACAATTCCTACATTTTCTATCACATATTTTTGTTCAACCCTTTAAATTAAACGTTACAATCTGCACTTGAATTCTGTTGTAGAGGTTTCATTTCAAATCCAATGCGGTGGCATGCAGAGCCCAACTCACAAATATTGTGTTACTGTCCAAATATTTCTGGCCCTAACTGTATATATATATATATATATATATATATATATATATATATATATATATATATATATATATATATATATATATATATATATATTCACAGATGTTAAAATATAGTTTAATCTGGAGAGCTTGAAAATTCGATGCACCTCTGTCTGCCGCCATAGCAGAATGAGACCTAAGTTTTTATTCACAAACAAGAGCATGTTGGAAAAAACAAATTTAATTTTTAGAATATTTATTAGAATATTCTATTCTATATTTACACAAAAAATTACAAACAAAAACATCCACATTCTTTCAAGTTACATTAATGAAAAAAGTCATGGAGGGAAAAAAACTGAATAAAATAAGAGCAAAGGCAAAAATGACAGTTTCACAAGTTTAGAAATGACTGCCTGCTTCTTGTTCCCAGCAGCCTTGATTGCCCTTCAAGGTCGTGAGTCATTTTCATTTTTCATTTGATGGAATCCAGATGTAGGGTCCTGAATGTTCATCAATGACTTGTTTAGTCCTGTGATAAATATCATCTAAGGTGTCTCCTTGAACCAGAGCTGAAAGCAAATTAAAAACAAGAAATTACTATGAAAGTAACTGCTACCGATGGTTCCATCTTTGCTTTCTCTTGAGAAGTTTTAAAATCTCTTAATTTTTCAGCATGCATTACCTCATCTTTTTCATATATACCGTGAGAAGAAGATGCAACACACAAGAGCTAAGGAAGAGGCACTGTGAAAATCAGTGATTGCTGTTTTTAAAGAGTATTAGGCAAATATAAACATGGCAGTAAAACTATTATTCATCTACCTGTGTTGTGATGCTTGTAAGTGGTTGGTGAATAGTTGAATAGCCCATTCACACATGTACAACTTTTGAATTTCATGTTTCTTCAGCACTTTGCACAAAACTTAAATGTTTTTGAAGCTGTTTTATACAATATTTTTCATGCAGACTTATATCAGAATTTTTGTAGTGAAGTAATTCTTGCTTTTCAAATTTACATAGAGGACACCAGTGAAGCAAGACAGTTTAACTTTAGTTTTCATTCTTGTTTTAATAACATAATTTATAAATACTGTTGTGTATTACATACAGAAACATAGTTTTTAAAGAAGCTGTGTTTCAGAAAGCACGAGACAGTTACTCTGAATAAACTTACCATGTTCTAGATTTTCAATTTAAGAACAGGAGATAAACTTGGCAACTAAGTTTTGTTTCAAGTTGAGTTAAGTGTGAGTGCAAGTATTTCCATTTCACCAATGGAAAGCAGATAAGGTAATTCATCATGGCAAAGGGAGAAAAAAAAGCCTGAAAGTATGCATTTCCCTCCAATCAAATTCTACATTTTAATGATGGCATAAGTAGGACAAACTCAGGATTTGTTCAAACTATTCTTCTACTGAGCATGGTTGGTTATGATAAGTTACAGTGGTAAGTTGACTAAAAATAACCACAATATAGGTTCTTGAAACTGAAAACCCAGGATAAGCACATAGTTACCCCAGAACTTATTCAGGATTTTCACCCATCCCGCTTTCTGAAAGCGGGATGTATTCCCTGTTTGGCCAGGGAATACAAGAACCGACAAAGCAGTCTGCTATTATAGTTTGACTACCTTTTCTTTTCATGAAAACTGAATCCAGTCATTGCAGTAGGTCAGTCTTAAGCCTTTTATTAGCCCTATTTTATATAATATCACAGCCAAGATGAACGATTTCTATTAGTAATTTGGAAAATCAGTAAGAGTTTTTACTACTAAGGTGTTTACTCCCCTGTCAGATACAGAGCCCTTGCTATCTTGGTTGCAAAAGTGTTGACATCAGTTAAATAAAACAAGTCATTAATTGTTTACTGAAAAAATATGATGGTGAATTATAGGATAAATATATTAAAACAAATTTAAAATCTAAAACAATATTATATTAAGTGATGGAAGGTGGAAACTTGATGTTTGTCCTCTGCTAATTGAATAAAATATTGAGAATAGAAATTAGTTTGATCTACATACTGCACACAAAAAGTTTAGATGAGATTCAGAGAACACCATCCTCTGTTTTCTACTTTTCTTTCTACACGTCTGAAAGTTTGAAATTGATTTAAACAAGTTTTTATTGTAAGTTTAAAGTTGACTATTGTTTGTTTCTGCAATGTTTAAGAAACAGGCCTGGTTGTGACATTGTATTTGTATTGATAGTAAAACGTTACCTGTAAATAATTCTCCAAACTCCCTCTCCAGCTTCACAACATTTTCAAATATCTTCTTTGCTTGTTCCTCAGTCAGTTTCTTATTCATGTCCCTGGGTATCACAAAGAATAACATTTACATGTTTATTTCATTCATTTCTGAAACAGACATGATGTTCAGGAGACATTAAAGATGGCTAGTACATCTGTAATGGAGCATGAGGCATGTTACTCTCATCAAGTCGGCAATCATAAGGTCAACATGAATTCAAGAATTAAAATTAAATAATTTAAAAAATCTTTATTTATCCCCAGAGAAATTCAATATGCTGTAACTCATTATTCAAGCTTCTTTAATGAGTTGTTGCTAATGCTGAAGGCAGGAAGCATTTACTGTTTGCTGCTTGTTCAGTAAACTGCATGTCAAGAATTGGGTTGAAAAGGTGGTGAGGATAAGGTTGTGGCAAAAAATTATTGTTTTCATGGTGATCCCAAAGGGTACAAAACGTCCAGACAGCACATAAAGCGAATAATTTAAACTTTGAAATAGAACTAGACAATGAGGACAGATATATGACAAGGATCTGACAGAGCCAGAGACAAGTAGATTTAAATACACGGGGAAAGTAATCAGGTGACACAAGGACAGCTGGGGGCTGTCTCTTGTTTTCAATTAGGGGGAAGACCTGACAACATAGGAACTAATTAAAAGAGAAAATCCAAATCCTCACACTGTTTTTTCTCTGAAAGATAAAACTTGTCACTTTCTGTTGTCGCCATTGCACTCTGTGGATATGTTGATATTTGAGATTCTTTTGATTTGAACTAATTTCTCTGACCTGAGACCTACGTAAGTGAATTATATAAACACATATGCACATTAAAACAAGTATGATGTGTATTGAACTTTACTTTTTGGGAACTCTTTATGTTTCACACAATTTCTTTTTTTATTTGGCATGGTAGGGGCTTGCTTGCTGAGATAGCTTGGTGTTAACTTAGCATCAGCATTACTATGACTTCTCTTGCTATTTCCAGTCTGTTTGAATTTCCTGTTTTTGGTTCTGTGTGTCAGATGTTCAGTAACTTTTCTGCCTCATATATTGATAATGGTACATGTAATAAATGCAGCACTTTTGTAGCATTTCAGGCGAGAGTGTTGGAATTGGAAAACCAGTTCTACACTGTTAAAGAACAATGCTGACACCCCTTAGCCTCTGTGGAGTTAACATGACGAGAATAAAACGGTCCATCACCCAACCAGCGTATTCCCAGACTCTAGCCATTAGGTCCCTGGTTTAATTCAGAGCTCTATACTTTAAAGCAGAACACGAGGACTTTACATATCTAAATGACTCCATACATACATACGGACAGACGGACAGACTGTGGTTGGAAGCAATCCCCAATATTAATAGCTTTAGTTAACAAAATAGTATGTAAAACTGAAGACCACAGAAATACTCACATTAGTGAATCAGCAGACTTAGGTTTTATCAAGATGGCTATCGGATGCATCTGTGCAACTTGAAGTCGTTTGATAGCATTTCCAGAGACATCCAAAATACAGTGTTTGCCCTAAAAAGACATTGTGATTTAGAAGATATTTTAATAAGATTTTTATAAAGAAAAAAATAGTTATCTCTTATGTCTACATGAAGTAGAATGAATTTATATTACCCTCTCAGCTACATATTTTACAGACTGGACACTGGTCCCGTAAAGATTGTCATTGTATTGTCCAGCTTCTATGAACTTGTGCTCTTGGATGTCTTTCTCCATCTGCTCTCTGGACATCATGAAGAGATAGTCTTGCCCATCAACCTCATAGCTCCTTTTTGGCCTTGTGGTGTCTTGTTGTATATGGAAGAAAATACATTCTTAGCATATCGTAAAGGATACTTGCTACAATCTAAGTTTTAATTCAGAAAACAAAACAAAAAATAAAAGAAAAAGGATAAATGTGTAATTCCTTTTCAAAAAGCCAAGCAGTTGGAGAAAGAAGCAAAGCTGCAAGACAATGGGAGACAGACAGAGCAACAACTACTGAGAGGCTAACAGAAGTTATATTCTCTCCAAAATCACCAACTGACTTGGCTGTTGATAAACTGGTAATGGTAATTAATTGTAAAATGAATCAAAGATACAGGATGGGCTAATGCCAGGTGATCATTAGCATCACCTGGCATGATGGTGATGCCAGGTGATGCTAATGCTAATCACCTAGCATTGATGGTAATGCCAGGTGATTAGCTTGTTTAGTCCTCAGCAGATATATCATGTGACACAAAGAAAACAGAGACTCTGAAGCTCCCCACAGATCCTCATTCAAAAAATCTATTTTCTGATCACCCTTCTCCCTAACGGGGTCGGGAGTTGCTGGTGCCTCTCTAGCTGCGTTCCGGGTGAGAGGGGGGTTCAACCTGGACAAGTCGCCAGTCCATCGCAAGGCTACTCAGAGACAAACAGAACAAACACCCACACACACACACACACCAAGGGGGAATTTGGAAAGACTAATTAACCTGACAGTCATGTTTTTGGACTGTGGGAGGAAGCCGGAGAACCCGGATAGAACCCAGAGAGAACCCACCATGCACAGGGAGAACATGCGAACTCCGTGCAGAAAGACCCCGGGCCGGGAATCGAACACAAGACCTTCTTGCTGCAAGGCAACAGTGCTACCAACTGCACCACTGTGCATATAAATTCTTTTGATGTATTTTCACTAAAATAAAAAATTATTAAAGATTTTTATGAATAGCTTTTTCTATGCTTTCATTCAGACAATTATGGTGCGTATCTGAAGTGAATCAAATTACTTGGTAATTATTTACTTAAATTTGATTTTATTTATTTGAATGAGTACATATAAAAATGTGTGCTGAAACTGGATTTCTAATTATTTCATAAGTTCACAACAATTTGTATGTTCTTTATTTTTGTAAGAGGATATTTTTTCAAATCACAACCATTACATAAATTTACTCCACATACTGTATTCTCCAACCTACAGTATGAAACATTTTTAAAAAGCTGTCATTAATATTAAGCACATGAAACCTGATAGTCAGAACTATCAGAAAACCTAACCTATTCATTTTAATGAAGGGATGTGCAAGAAGGTCCTGGGTTCGATTCCCAGGGTGGGGTACTTCTGTATGGATTTTGCATATTCTTCCTGTACATGCGTGAGTTCTCTCCGGGTACTCCAGCTTTTTTCCACAGTCCAAAAGCATGTTAGGTTTATGGATCTGTCAAAATTCTGAGGGCGAGTGTGTGCGTGCATGGTTGTTTGTTCTGTTTGTCTCTGTGTTGCCCTGCGATGGGACTGCCGACCTGTCCTGGGTGTACCTTGTCTCTCCCCCGTTAACAGCTGGAGATAGGGACCAGCAACTCTCCCGACGCCAATGCGATACCGGTGTAAGAAAATGGATGGAGTCAGCTACTTCTTCTCTGCACTTTTATTAAATGCATCAACACATGTACTACACACACACACACATATATATATATATATATATATATATATATATATATATAAATACAAAAAATTAAAATTCCCTTCTCACCCACTGCGGGTGGTTCTTATCCTCTGTGCTCGGGTCCTCTACCAGAGGCCTGGGAGCTTGAGGGTCCTGCAGTATCTTGGCTGTGCCAAGGACTGCTGCACATTTCTGGACTGAGATGTCTGATGTTGTTCCTGGGATCTGTTGTAGCCACTGCTCCATTTTGGGGGTTACTGCCCTGAGGGCCCCGATGACCACAGGCACCACTGTGGTCTTCACCTTCCAGGCCTTCTCCAGTTAATCCCTGAGGCCCTGGTATTTCTCCAGTTTCTCCTTTTTCCTGATGTTGCAATCACTTGGTATTGCTACATCTACCACAACGGCTTTCCTCTGTTGTTTATCCACTACGACAATGTCTGGTTGGTTGGTTCGCCCTTACCATTTTGTCTGTCTGGATCTAGAAGTCCCACAGGATCTTAGCTCTGGTGTTTTCCACCACCTTTGGGGGTGTTTACCCCTTTGATCTCGGGGTTTCCAGTCCATATTCTGCACAGATGTTTCTGTACACTATGCCTGCCACTTGGTTAAGTCGTTCCATGTACGCTTTCTCTGCCAGTATCTTGCACCCTGCTGTTATGTGCTGGACTGTCTCAGGGGCCTCCTTGCACAACCTGGTGTGGTAGATCTGGGCCTCTATTGCTCTGGTGTTTAGGGCCTGTTCCTGGGCAGCCAGGATGAGGGCCTCTGTGCTGTCCTTGAGTCCAGCTTTTTCCAGCCATTGGTAGGATTCACTGATATGAGCCACTTGGGTTATTTGCTGGTGGTACATCCCATGTAGGGGCTTGTCCTCCCATGATGGTATCTCTGGCACCTCAACCTCCGTTCCCTGTTGTCTGAGACATTCACTGAGCACATTGTCTGTTGAGGCTTTGTCCCTGATGTATCTATGGATTGTCAAAAACTGGAGGAGTAACTTCACTTGGCTCGCTAATTTTCCTCTAGTTCCCCAGATTCAGGTCTCGCTGTCAGGGATCCTGTGTGAGAGCGTGTGCATGAGAGTGAGTGCGAGTGTGACATCTTCCTGCAGCGAGGATCTTCGTGAGGAGTCTGTGGAGCCGGCGCAGGTGAAGCTGATCTGCCTCATCAGCGTGCTGGAATATACGAGCGGCAGAATCCTCCAGTCATCGCTAGATGGTTACGCATTCCGGTAGTCTCTCTGGCCCCACTTGTTGTGAACTTGTTTCTGGAACCTTTTTGCGCTACTCGAAGTTAACCTGGTCTCTGTGTTTTGTTTTCCTTTAGGACTCCTTGTCTTTGCACTTCGAGGACCCACCTGTGAATACCTGCCTGCCTGCTCCGCCGATTCCGCCGTCTCCACCTCGCACCTGCTAGCCGTACTCCCTCCTCGCATTCTCCTCCGGCACCATTGCACCCCTTTGCGCTGGATCTCAGCACCTCACCCCCTGCGCCTAGGAAGACCCCTAACCCTAACCCAGTCCTGCTACCAGGCCGTCTAACCGGCTGTATGTTCCATCGACAGTGAGGGCTCGCCTCATTCATTGGGCCCATACAGCTAAGTTCTCGTGTCACCCGGGAGTTAACAGAACGGTTTCCTTGATCAGGCGGCACTTTTGGTGGCCATCTTTGTACAAGGATGTCAAGGACTATGTGCTAGCCTGTCCTATTTGTGCTCGTAATAAGACCAGTAATCAGCCCCCCAGCGCATTACTTCAACCTCTCCCTATTCCCAAACGCCCTTGGTCTCACATAGCACTGGACTTTGTAACAGGTTTGCCGTCTTCAAAGGGTTTCACAACTATACTGTCCATCATTGACCGTTTCTCCAAGGCCTGTCATTTGGTTCCATTACGCAGACTTCCCACTGCTATGCAGACAGCCCATCTCCTCACCAAACATGTTTTTCGTCTTCATGGCATTCCCTCAGAGATCTTATCGGACAGAGGACCACAGTTTGTGTCCAAGGTATGGAAAGAGTTTGGAGTAGCTCTGGGAGCGAAGGTGACTCTCAGCGCGGGGTTTCACCCCCAAACCAACGGCCAAACTGAACGACTGAACCAAGAGCTGGAGGCAACACTCCAATGTCTCTGCTCCTCACACCCCTCTACCTGGTGTATACACCTGCCATGGGTAGAGTATGCCCACAACTCTCACACCTCTGTTGCCACAGGTCTCTCTCCTTTTGAATCATCTCTTGGGTACCAGCCTCCCCTGTTCCCGTCGGACGAACAACAGTTATCGGTCACCTCGGTCCAGCACCACCTCCGCCGTTGCAGGCACATCTGGGTGCAGACCACCGCCGCCCTCAACCGGATGGCAGAGGGAAATCAAAGATGGGCGGAGGGAAATCAAAGATGGGCGGACCGAAAAAGGAAGCCAGCACCAGCATACGCACCCGGACAGGAGGTATGGCTCTCCACTCGGGATATCAACCTTAAATTGTCTAACCGCAAATTGTCTCCCTGTTTCATTGGTCCCTTCGAGATCACTTCTGTTATCAGCCCCTCTGCCATTTGTTTCCGGCTTCCCATGGGGTTGAAGATCCATCCTGTTTTCCACTTTTCTCTCATCAAGCCAGTCCGTTCTTTGCCCTCCTTCCAAGCCCCCGCCGCCCGCCCGGGATATTGATGGTCATCCGGCGTACGATGTTTCGGCTATCTTGGACGTTCGCCGGCGTGGCCGGGGCTTCCAGTATCTGGTTGACTGGCAAGGTTATGGGCCAGAGGAGCGATCTTGGGTTCCTCGATCCTTTATTCTGAACCCCGATCTTATTAGGGACTTCGAGGCCTCCCGTGGCTCATTTTCTTCCTGACCGACGGGTGGCGGTCTTTAAGGGGGGCGGTATTGTCAGGAATCCTAGTGTGAGAGCGTGTGCATGAGAGTGAGTGCGAGTGTGACATCTTCCTGCAGCGAGGATCTTCGTGAGGAGTCTGTGGAGCCGGCGCAGGTGAAGCTGATCTGCCTCATCAGCGTGCTGGAATATAGGAGCGGCAGAATCCTCCAGTCATCGCTAGATGGTTACGCATTTCGGTAGTCTCTCTGGCCCCACTTGTTGTGAACTTGTTTCTGGAACCTTTTTGCGCTACTCAAAGTTAACCTGGTCTCTGTGTTTTGTTTTCCTTTAGGACTCCTTGTCTTCGCGCTTCGAGGACCCACCTGTGAATACCTGCCTGCCTGCTCCGCCGATTCCGCCGTCTCCACCTCGCACCTGCTAGCCGTACTCCCTCCTCGCATTCTCCTCCGGCACCATTGCACCCCTTAACGCTGGATCTCAGCACCTCACCCCCTGCGCCTAGGAAGACCCCCACTGAAGTAAACCAGCACTTGATCTCCCTCCAAGACACTCACTCTGAACTCTTTATAACCTAGCTCTCGTTTCAGGCCAACCTGGTCGAGCGACCCTCGCTTTCCCCTCCCCGCCAAAGTCTGGCAGACCAAAAATAATTCATTTGAGTTGTAATAAATTACTTACCTTTCCCATCCAGTGTGTGGTTTCTGCATGTGGGTCCGCAAGCTAAATCAAATCATGTCACTCGCAGGTGCAGAGGGAATAATAGAGAAACAACCATATTACATCAGTCTTCAGATATATCTAGAGCTTTATCCAGAGAATTCTATGCATACAGAATGTTACATTAGCATTACACCCAGATCATCAAGAAGTCCGATAAATGACAAAATATAGAATTACCTGCAACGAGTTGAAAAGAAATGACAAAAATCCATTTCTGGGAATTGCTTAGTCGGGCACAAAGCAATTTGATCTTCTGCTGTAAAACAAACCTTTTTATAAGAATGTTTATTCCCTTAATTTAAATATATGCATTAGAAGGTGTGTCCTCCCATGCAGGGCTGTTTTAATGTTAATTTTATTACCCTGCTTGAGACCTGCTCGTACCAGCCGAGTCCTTTTTACATTTAAGAAGAAAATTTATGACCTGCAGCTAGACGCAATGGCCCTCTTTAGTAATTTATGTGAGTTCAGAGAGTCAACCGTTGTTTTAGTTTGGATTTTTTTATCAAGTTTGTCTTAACATAAAGTCTACTCCAAATGTTCATGCTACATCTAATATTTCATATGCCTAAAGGTTGACTGTCTCTAAAGTTATGCTAACCAAACTTATATTTTCCACAGGATCTTAGATCTTTTGTCCTGGACAGTGGTTCTCACACTCACTAGTCCTCTGCCTCCTTCCTTGCGGCTCATGTACAGTCTCAGGGTGCTGGATTTGGGATGGAACCCTCCATGCATGGTTAGTAGTTTTCTGGTCTTAATATCTGTGGCTTTTAAATCCTCCTTTGGCCAGCTAATTATTCCAGCAGGGTATCTGATTACTGGCAGGGCATAGCTGTTTATCACACAGATTTTGTTCTTGCCATTGAGCTGGCTTCTCAGGACTTGCCTTATTCGTTGGAGGTATTTTGCTGTGGCTCCTTTCCTTGTTACCTCATCGAGGTTGCCATTTGCCATTACCTAGGTACTTGTAACTGTCCTCTATGTCTACTATTGTTCCTTCTGGGAGTGAGACTCCTTCTGTGCGGATGACCTTCCCCTCTTTGTGACCAGCCGACCACATTTCTCTAGTCCGAATGACATCCCAATGTCCGTGCTGTAGATCCTGGTGGTGTGGATCAGTGAGTCGATGTCTTGCTCACTCTTGGCGTACAGCTTGATGTTATCCATGTAGAGAAAGTGACTGATGTTAGTCCCATTTTTGAGTCGGTATCCGTAACCAGTCTTGTTGATAATTTGGCTGAGGGGGTTCAGGCCTATGCGAACAGTAGAGGGGACAGAGCATCTCCTTGGTATATGCCACATTTGATGGACACTTGTGCAAGTGGTTTGCAGTTGGCTTCAAGGGTGGTTTTCCACAGCCTCATCGAGTTTGCAATGAAGACTCTCAGAGTCATGTTGATATTGTACATCTCTAAGCATTCAATGATCCAAGTATGCGGCATTGAGTCATAGGCTTTCTTGTAATCAATCCAAGCCATGCACAGGTTGGTGTGTCGGGTTTTGCAGTCTCTGGCAACTGCGTGGTCTACGAGGAGTTGGTGTTTGGCTCCTCTACTATTTACACCTATACCCTTCTGTGCCGTGCTCATGTGTTTATCCATGTGTTTGCTTATCTTGGCCGCTATGATGCCTGACATGAGCTTCCAAGTTGTGGAGAGGCAGGTTATTGCTTGGCTCACTTCCCTCCTCGTTACCTTGATTTTAGCCTCTAACCATGAGACCATATTGGGTCTCATGGTTGCTCCACTGATGCTGAGTTGTAGATCAGCTCATGGGGTTGGTAGGGATTGTTCTCAAGGGATCGCATTCACATTTTCAATGATGCTTTACTTCACTCATTCGGGATGTCATTCGGGTTGTGAATGGTCAGCAGCTGTCTCGTTCAGCCACCTCTCTGGGTGGGGACTTGTCTTTAAGTCCCCACAGTTCTGACATCAGGTTCCTCCTGTTTGCAGTAGCATTTGTGTTGTACCTCATCAATCTCAAGTCGTGACAATCTCAAGCTTGGAACAATAGTTGTTTAGTGTTTAGTGTTGACTGGGGATGTCAAACTAACCATTCCTTCCCCAGTCTTTGCATGTAAGTAGCATTCTATAGTATATATATATTTATATATATATATTTATACATACACACACACACACACACACACACACATATATATATATATATATGTATAATCCCAAGTTGACAAGATCTTTATTTTTAAAAGAACCTCCATCCACCTAGCCATTTTCACCATACTCTGGAAATGTCATCAACAACACATTTAATGAAAGGGTACTAATGGAAGGAGTATTACAAATTAACTTTTAGAAAACGTTATGGTTAATTGGCTTATGACAAGTGTTCCTGCCAAAGAAAATGTATAGTTGGGAAGGTCACCATCTGCCCTTTATTGTTAAAAAAATTATGAAGCTGTCTTTATTACCTTTTGCATCAAAACTATAACCAAGATATCTCACTGCTCTTAGGTTGAGACTTTTTACATTGTTGTAAAACCTCACTAACCCAGAATTTATTGGACTTTAAATCCAACATAGTTAATCTCCAAAATAGTTATGGTTGCCATAAAGCCTGAGAAGAATAGCCTCTTTCAGATTAAAAACCAGCTAATGATACCAGCCTCTTCACTGAGGAGTTTGGGGTCTATTATGCAAGACTGTACTGCATGACTATTTCCATCCATTGACCCAAAAGCCTCTCTGGCTGAAATAATTTAAGACAAATAGTAACTACATAATGGAAACACCCAAGTGCCTAATGCCCAGTTATTGTCTGTGTGTTCACTGGTATGCAAAAACTACATTTATATGTTGGGAACTTACGTGGGACACAAGAGCCAAACTTGTCCGGAAACTCCACAATTAGATCTTCATTGATTTTGTCCTTCATGGGTCCAAGAATGATGACAGGTCTAGCATAATCAACTGAATAGGAATACAAAGAATTTTGGCACTGTCATTAACCTTTCTTAAAATCTCTGCCCATTTGCCATTTTATGTGTTTATTTTTCAATGTTGTTATAATTGTAATGGGTTGTCAGAAAAATTGCCAATGTTGACTACGGCAAAAAGAAGTCTTTTTCCATTTATCAGCTCAACCTTGATGTAAGTGTATTTACTGTACATTTAAAGCAATTTCTACGTCAATAACTTGGAGTTATTTATGTAGATAAAATATGTTTTTTACCAGACACAAAATAGCAGGCACAAAGTAAAAACAACAGTGAAGGTGTTTTCACCCCAAGTGAATAGGGAGATTCTTTAATAGTTATATACATTTGACATGATTTGTAAGGCTTCTCACACAGGATTAAGACTCCTCTGTAATATCAGCCAATAAATGAGTGGTCTTTGGAGAGCCTAATTCAATCTGCTTCATACCTCTGACTTCCACCATGCTATAATTGGGTGATCTTCATTTATTTATAGCTCAAACAAGTTTACAGAAATCAAATAAAAAGACACATTCACCTGTTTTTCCTCACTGTCTCACTGTTTTTCCAAACTTCTCTTGTTTTAGGTCTGTTACAATGACCATAATTCAACATCAAAACTATATTAAGATTCTGTTAGGGAAATTTCCTATTGAGTATTTATTATTTTATCCTTTTTCATACAATCCACTTACTTTCTTGGCGTAGCACGTATTCATAGGAGAGTCTTACATCATCTTGACTTCCTGCTGAGATAAAAAGAGAAAAATATTAGAGCTTTGTCCCACAATTGAACAATTTTAATGAAGTAAGAGTCATGTCATTTGAAAAAACAGATTTAAGCTGAAATATTTGCTCCTGGTTGTTAGGCAAGCTTTTAAGAGGATAAAAATCCACATTGAGGCTTTGAAATATGTCAAAAACTTCAATACAATCAGAAATTCAAACTTTACAAATTTTAGGGTATCTGATTTAAACTGATACCCTGAAAACAAGATATAGTTTCTGGATGTTTTGATGGACTCAGAACCTTAACCTGAACCGTAAGATGCAAAGTAAAGAGAATTACAAAGCCAGCCTTCTGTCAAATGAAGAGCGATGAGTTTCTAAATAAACTCATCCATGCATTTATCATTAGTTGCATTGATTAGTACAACAGTGTCTTCACCGGTCTACAAACAAGTTTCTGGGGGTCTCCGTACCAAGGATATATACACAAATTTCAAGAAAAAAATACACAGGCAATATTTTTATGCTTCAACATCATCTTATTTAGGGTCTTATATGTACACTTTCATACAGAAAGACAGGCTGCATAATGAGGAAGTAATTCACCCATTTTATTCAGGTGTATTGGACTTGGGACACATCAAAAGATCTGGGGACAATGGCTGTCTAGGCCTGGATTAAAAGACCCCTGGTCTTTCACCATCTTCACACCATCTTCACTAAGTAAAACATCTTATGTTACTTCTGAGCCACTTGAGGTGGCTCGGGCATCTGATTAGGATGCCTCCTGGATGCCTTTCTGGTGAACTGTTACAGGCACGTCCCACCTGAACAAAGCCCAGGACAAGACCCAGGACACACTTTCTCGGCTGTCCTGGGAAGGCTTAGGATTCCCCCAGAGGAGCTGGCCCAAGAGGTTGAGAAGAAGGAAATCTGGGCCTTCCTATTTAGGTAGCTAGCCCATGATCTGACTCCGGATAAGCGGTAGAAGAAGGATGTTACTTCTTAAAAACAATTCATGTAATTTTATGTGATAACATTCTTTTCATGAATTACTGAAAGAAAAAAAAAAAGAAATTCTGCCTGCTTGGCAGTGTTTTCTATGGAAAATATCTTTAATCTCTTTTAACCTTTTAGAAATGCTACCTAACAAACCAATAAACAAAGATGAGACCAAAAAATATCACTTTATCAACTCTTTTGGGTAAAAATTATGGTAAAAAAAAAAGAACAGAAAAAGGTCTCACACACTCCAAACTTTAGATGAGAATTGCACTTTGACAGACAGCCCAACATAAGAAAATAGTAAAAAAATGAACAGCTAGAGCATGCAGGAATACAGAAAGGAGAGACATGCTGAGACAAAAATGTTTACGTACAGCAGTGGTGCTCAAAGTCAGTCCTTCAGGGCCTGTATGTTTTAGGTTTTTCCCTGGTTTAATGCACCTGGATCCAATGATCCTTAGATTCATTAGATAGTCTAAGAAGAAGCTTGACATGATGAAAAGGTTGTTACTACCACCAGGGAGAGAACTAAAACATGCAGGATGCCGACCATCCAGGACCGACTTTGGGCACCACTGATGTACAGTGAGTAACTTTGAAGTGGCCGTGTTGAATAGTGGTGAGAAATCCTTTCTAAACCAACTTACTCAATGTTCTTGTCCCATACCCATCATCACCTGTTCCCACGATGTCCTGTTGATCATCCAAAGAGATCCGTTGCAGAAGATAAAAAGGAAAGGGAACAGCTGCACATTCAAAAGGTTGGAGGCAGTTTCACCCACAAGTTTAGCTTTACAGAATTATCTAGCCAGCAGGAGCAACCAAAACAAACAAAAACAAATACAAAGACAAATAACATAAAAAAGTGTTATGATAATCTTATTCCTGTTGACTGATAAGCCTCATGAAGGAGTCATGGAAAACAGACTAACAAAAATCAAAACAAGATCAAAAGTTAAAGAAACTTTGTCACTCTAATATGGTCCTCCATTTGACTTACACTGAACTTGTGCTGAGATTACTTACGCTGTGAATCATTGCCATCCTGGTCAGCAACTTTGTTCTTGTAAAACTTTCGTGTAAAGCTGAAATTATTCTTTTGCTTTTCAGTGAATGACTGAAAGGAGAAAAATGTGTGGCATGCATAACTGTCAGCTTCATGCAGACAGAGCAGATGTTTGCAAAAAGTGGGACATCAAGAAAACAATTTAAAACAAAGTGAAGCTGAATCTATGCTCTTAAGATGAATACCTACAAAAAAAATGTGAATTGTATTCAAATGGTTCATGGATACCTAACGTTAATGTCAACCAAATCAAGTTGAACAAAGACACAATTTTAATTTCTCATTATATTTTTAAAGATTTTTTATGCCACTGTTGTCCTTTATTTGATAGTAATCTGACAAGGAAAGTTCAGAGAGAATGGGGAAAAGACCTGCAGCAAAAAGAATATGGCAGTCTAAATTTGGGATGGCTGCATCAAAGTCTGTAGCCTCTGTATACAGATCACTGTACACTCTAACCTCTGCATCAGATAAAGCCCAAGACATTTTAATGTAACTTTTTTATTTGATTATTGTTAATTACAGTAACAACAAACAATACTACTATTCATCAGGGCATTGGTAATAATTTATATGAATCTTAATCATTTTTTGTACCAAACATAAAGGGGAGAGTGTTGGTAATTATTAGACAATACATCAACAATGATACACCATGACAGCAATTACTAAGCAGCGAAAATTGTAAAGTGAAATACTTGCCTCTTTACAGATGTCTTCAGTTTTTGCTTTTTTGCAGCACTTACATGGATGTATCAGATCATGATACTAATTTTGATGTTGGATAAAGTTAAGCTGAGTAAATTACAAAGATCAATTTTGAAATAAAGATTTCATTCATTAATTGAAAACAGCTATTCAAATTGACATGGTCTTCTGGAAATAAGATCCTTTAGCAGTAACAACTTACATCCAGAGATTGCAATGTCTGGAAACAAGTCTTTAACATCACAACATAAACTTTGGCCCACTCTCCTTTGCAGAACTCTTAATTTACCTTGGAGGGTTTCCAGGCATTAACAGCATGTTTAATATCATATGCCATTCTTAAGGTTTAAAGTATTTGAATTGGATTCAAGGCCTTTGTTTAGGCCACTCCAAAACTTTGTTTTGATATATATTTGAGTTATCCAACTATGCTTTGGGTCATTGTCCTGCTGCATAACCACAGTGACTAGGCTTAAGGCCCTATAGTAATGATTGGACAATGTCCACCAGGATGTTCTCCGCCAGGATGTTCTGGTAGAAAACAAAATTCCTGATAACATCAACTGTGACAAAGTGTCCAGGTCTGGAGTCCAAACACTTTGCACAATGCTCTATTGAAATAGTTTGACTAGGGCATGGCAGGGGAACTGTTCTCTGCGAATAAAACTATTCAATTTTTATCATGTGTGGGCATCAATGAGATCCGATTGAACAATTTTGCATAAACTTAAAGGTTGAACAGCAATGTAGAAGAACTTCATAAAATAAAAATAAAACCGATACATGAAATATCAGATTTTCAAAGTTTAAAAAAGGGATATATAGAAAGAATATGACAATAAATTTATCTTTATCTTTTGTAATAACTTTTTAAGGCACTTTTATTTAAAGATTCAAGAGATTTTAAAACTATTTTGTACCTTTTGTTTTGTTATTATTCAATTTCCCTAAAATTGTTTTTACTTGATCTTCATGAACAGGCATAAACAAAAGAAAGATGTAACTGTTTTAGAGCACTTTATACATTTTAAAGGTTTTAACATTTTCATTTGCTCCAAAACATTTAAAGGGACATACAATTTTTTTAAAGGGACATATTATAAAAATAAACTATGACCAGTTTTTTATACTGGTCATAAAGACCAGTATAAACTGTATAAATCAGTCTTTATGCTGGTCTTTATGTATAAAGAAAAGTGAGACTATGCAAAGGCTATGCTGGTATTATTGCTTTTACATACTTACAGAAAAAAGCTCCATATACAGCTGGAAAAGGTAATGCAACTTTGCGTTTTCCAATTACTTGATTACATTGTTACTCAAGGTACTTCTTGATGTTCCACAACTGCATGATATAGAATGACAGGAGGGCCACAAAAACATTGCTTTTATTAGTTCTGAAACTCCAGCCAATTTTAGAACATATTGAAGCTCAAGGAGATAAGTTATTAAATTAATAATAGAAAACAGCAAAAAGGAATATGAGCCATCGTTGCAGAAGAAGCTTACTGCTCACAGTCTTATGATGTTGGAGAAGAGAAGAGCTCATAATTGGAGGAAAACGGGGGGGTGCCTGTATGCCTGGGAACACCATCCCAACTGTGAAGTATGGGGGTTCCAACATCATGTTTTGGAGCTATTTTGCTGCAGGAGGAATTGGTCATGATGAACAAATGTCATGAGAAAATATTGAGTTTTTTGAGAAACGTGAATAAATATTCCCACTCAATTTGGTTGAATACCTGCTGAGCATCTTATGAGATGACTGCATAGCCAGGAAGGTTGGTCTGGCACATAATGTTTAGGAGTCAGCATCTGTTTGAAAACAAGATGCAGTTCAAACTGGTCAAACTGATAAGAGGCCTGTTTGATCACAATGGACTAAGTGTTTGTTTGGATGATTAGCTAATACTTTGGTAAGAAAAAAAATTGTAACTGGTTAGAAAGCTTAAAGGATGGTATGCTGCAATTTTGAAGCAATGCCTGTTTTTTTTTCAGGAGAAGGAAGATGTTGGCATCATAAAAAGTCTGAGGAAAAATTCCCTCTTTCAATGAAAGAGGAGAGGGACAATCACATCCAAATAATTTTTATAGATTTCGGATCTGAATCTATCTGGTTCACAAGTTTTACCACAAGAAAATGAACAGAATGCAGCTGGGAATCCTTTAAGAGTAAAATCAGAGTCCAAGTCTCCCTAAGCATCCATAAAAAGTATGTCAAAATTGTTTAGGAAGTCTGCAATATCGGAACTGATGGCGTTAGACTTGGAAAAGTACAACTCTGCAATCTTGTGTGGACATCGGGGCCAAGTGCCCTGGATTAGCAGACTTCCCTATTGAAAAATGGGGACCACAGACTGTGGTCCAACTACAGCGGGACCACACTTCAAGCCTAAGGCATATTCAGAGGTCCTGAAATTAGGGTTTTTTCACAAGTGTTTAAAAAACATCGAGTTTATCTGTGCTGTAAATCCTGGGAGCGAAACCTTCATCTTAGTGTAGTAGTTTGAACCAAGGTCTTGGCAGCCAATCAGGAGCAACACGAGTGAACAGAGGTCATTACCTCTGGGTAAGCCAGAGCCAATTAAACATGGAATAAACAATTTTGGGCATTGTTGTTGCCCAACATTGTTGGTTGGGCAACACAACAATGTAGGGCTTTTCTCTCTCTCTCAGTCTCTCTCTCGGCAGATAAATTTTCCTCGAGTAATTTTAATAACCGAGGCTCTCCAGTCACTTGAGGAATCAATACAGCCTTAACACAATGTATCCTTATCATGCAAAAAAAGTGACTGATCATGCCCCCACACATACACACACACCACAGTTGACACACACACAAAAAATATAAAACTATGTGATAGGGCGTATGTCTGTATGACAGTTAATTATAAATACATCATTGGAAAAAAAGAAAGGTCTTCTTAAAACTGTGTAATGTGTGTCAGTACAGGGAGACACAATTTTCTCTGCAGAGCTATTTTAGGAGAAGAGCTCTCTTTGCCCTGGTTTGCAATTTAGAAAGAAAAACTCAAGTCTGCACACATTTACTGTCTGCAAGTTAGTAAATGTGAAAGTGAACAAACTGAACCTACACAATAGAATTTGTAAACATATTATAAACACACCTATTACAAAATTTTACCCAGGATATTCATAAGCTATTCAGATATTTCCACACTACTGAATGGTAGAGTTGAATATCGATGTCCACATTTAACCAATTCATCAGGAAACATTTGATTTAGGACGTTTTAGTTAACTTAGTGATAGTCATTCTGCAATTTCATTGATGCACATGTTTGAAGCTGGTACTATAGAAGTACCAACTGATTTTAATGTCAAAGTTACCAACAGGAGTTAATAAAGACAGAAAGGAAATGTCAGTACCAAGGCTTAAGGCCTTAACTTAAGAAGGAATAGTCTGCCTGAGAAAACAGATGACTACTGGATGGCTGACTCATTGCAATGTCAACAATACAGGGAAAAAAATATATTTTCCAGATTTGTTGCATCATGTTCAAATCGTCAGTTTCATGTGTCATCAAAAACTGAGTTTATTTAGTCACCATCCTTCTTATTCAGCTCTCTACACCACTGTCTTAAGAGAAATCAATATGCTTCCATGTGGTTTCTGTTAAATTGATATTTAGTATTAACTTTGAACCTAAAATACCTTAATAACTGATTGTGGTTTTGATTGGAACTAAAAGCTCTTTTAGTGGGTGTTGTTCAACTGGTTTGGTTTCGTGCATTCTGTGGGGCTTTTGTTTGTTGGCTTATTGGCATTTATTTTTCAACTTATCGGATGGTTAATTAGTGTAATTGTTTGATTATATAATATAGGAATCAGCACAAAATGCTGTTATTTTTATATCACATTGAAGTGGATGACACTTCAGTGTGATAATACGATGTGATTGAACTACTAGAATTGTAAAACAAATACAAAACAATACAGTAAATGCTACAAATACAGAGAAATAACTAAATTCATCACATTGTTATTAAATACTAAACAATAAATCACTAAGAGTAATTTATAGAAGCCATGTAAACAAACTTCAAGATGAGTTCTGCCAAAAAGACAACTTCGAATGCTAATGAAGGGTGTGATTCGTATGGAAAAGAATAAGATCTTAATAAAAGAACTTACCACTTTTGAATCACACAGTCCTGCACTGGTATTAAATTTCACAGTTTTTAGACGTGCCCGCTCCTTACGTTCCACTCTGCAAATGAACCAAGTAATTTACCAAAGCAAAATAATTTAAGTAATTAATGTAATATAATTAATCATAGGTTGGCTCTGGTAACTGAGAAACCAACATAGCAAATGACAAGGAGGCAATTCCCTTGTGTTAACTTGAAGAGGCTGGTGACTTACCCCTCCAAATAGAAGCCCAAGATGTTCTTCTTCTTCTGCAGGCGATTAGCCTGGGTAAGCTAGCATTAGCATTGGATGTGCTGGCTCTAGTCTTGGATAGTCTAGCAACTAAAATATCTAGTCACCTGCAAATTGTGCTTTCTTCTTTAATGGAAATTTGGATAATATCTGTAATATTTGACAAATAGTTAAAAAGTGATTTTACTTAATTTTTCCGTACCTTGAGAGTCTTCAATAGTCATAGTTTAAAAGCTTCAAGGCTCATACTCTTTGAACATGGATTAGATTATTATACTCTGAAAACTGAATATTTAAACCTCATTTAAGATTTGTGAAACTACTATTTGATTTGTGAACATTCTAATACAGTCCTTTTGTTGAACTTTCTTGGATCCATTTAATGGATATGACTATCCATGTTAAATTTGGTGTTCTTATCAATGACAACCATATTGACTCAGGTGTATATAATATTTTCTTACTAACCAACATTACAGATTGAAAACTGTGAGAAAAAAGATGTTACAGATCCAAGATTATGAAAATGGTAGATCTAGTATTTATTTATTTATTTGTCTGTTTTGCTTAGACTCTTATCCTTGTCAGTCAGCCTTCTTCTGTGTAATTGATCTGATTGTTCGGTGAAGGAGTGAAGAGTGAAACAGTTTGTCTACCACAAAATTAATGTTTTTATTTAATTTTTTATATGAAGTCAACTCGGAGAATATTTCTGTTATTTTTGTAAGTAAAGAAAATACTCTTTTTGAAACCAGAAAAGTCTCTGCGGGTGCTTTGTGTTTTGAGTGAGTCGACAAGCTCTTCCTGAAAAACTGTTCTGGCATTTTTGATTTTTGGACCTTATTATTATTATGTAAGAGTAGCCATAACATATAGTTTCAACTGTAACTCTGAAAATCTGAAAAATAAATGAAAAGCATCTGTGTTAGCTGCCTCGGCATTATGCAGAACTGTTTACAGGTATTACCTTTTCTTGCTGGGAATTACTCCTATCTCCTTGCTGTCTCCATGACTGGTGACACGGCAGGCTTGCCACCACTCATCATCTGATGCATTGGTGACATGAAGGATATCACCATACTTGAAACTCAGCCCCTGGCTTGGTAGTCCACTGTCCTTTGACTTCTCATAGTCAAACAGTGTCCTACACATATAGGAAGACAACCAGACATTGTTAGATTTAGGATATAATTATTCAGTTATGCAATTTCTGCTTTTGAGCTTACAATTAAGATATGAGATGCTTTCTCAGATGAAAGAAAGAGGTGCAATCTCAAATCAACATTCTGTGATATGTAAATCTACTTTAAAATATCAATGCATACATCGGTACACAAATGACAACATTACACATTTGTAAAGAGATAAAAGTGATTTCCTTAGTAACCTGGATGCAGCAATTGGTCCCTGAAATAACAGACTTTATAAGTTTGTCAATGTTCTGAATTTTTCTTCCATCAATTTGTCCAGCTGTGGACAAAGCCCTTACAGGGCTGGTGCCTACCTCCTTCAGTCTTTGGGTAAGAGTGCTTCACCACAATCATATGGTACCCAGCAAAAACCCAGACTTGAATTTGAATCCCCAACATTTTCTGCTGCAAGATCACTCTGAATTTGTTTTAAAAAACTGTTTCTTAGGGTTATATGAAATGGGACTAACCTGACATAGAGTGATTTCTTCTGATTGGTTCGCAGATACTCTGACCCAGAGCTTGAACTGTGGTTCATCATGTGTTCTCGAAGGTCATTGATTTTTGCTTCAAAACGTCCATATTCTTCATGGCAATATTTTCAGACATGAAACAGAAGAACGTAAAAAATGTTTTAAATTTGTGGCATACTTTGCTAAATTTTTCACTGTAATTATATTGGGTCTGCATTAAATAGTTTTTTAGTCCTGGTAGAAGTTTAGTCATGATGCTCGGAAGCAGAATTCTAGAGTTAACAAAAATCTGGTGTTATGATTGTAAAATTATTCTAATTCTCAAATGTAAAATGTGTTTATTTATCAACCATATATCAAGCCAGAAGAGAAAAAAATAAAAATGTACACTATGTGATTAGTTTTTATACAAGTTATTAATTTAAACCTATCATTATCCTTATGAACTGGTAGATTGTTTATATGTTCTAGAAGTTGTGCTTTGTGTAAGATCTTTGTACCAGGAAGCGTGACAGATTGGGGACAGATGGCCTGGAGCCAAGAGCTGACACCTAGCAGGAGAGGACATCAAAGACTAAGAAATAAAGTTCATGACCCAGACAGAGAACTACGAGAAGTGCTTGAAGACAACAAATGCATTTAAGGATAACATCATTGTTTTAGATTTCGGTTTGTGACTATGTTTGAGAGCTGGGTTTCCGTTTGCCCCTCCCCCTGTAGACAACAGATGTTAAGTGATTTGTAACATAGGGAACGCCTGAATTGTAATAAATGGCAGTACTGAAGGAGGGTTATGAGTGTAAAATCAAATCCTCAATTCTCTCTCTCTTCCTTCCCAGTGTGTAAGAATGTTTAGGTGATAAACATAACAGTATGAGTAATGGACATCCATAGTAAAAGTGTGCTGTACATCAGCTCAGATTTACTTTGCATTTCATCTGCTGGCATCTTGGAGAGTCATCCTTAGGTTTGAATGTGCTACAACAATGAAGCACATTACCATATAAGTACTAAGTCGATTAGTCACTTTTCTTTAACCACTAATGAGACATTCATAACAAAATAAATACATGGTATAAATGCCGGTTGTTTTTAAAAAGAAAAACAAAAGTGCTATTTGCTCGAGTGGCCTTTATTTAACAGTTGTTAGATAGGAAAGTAGGTTATGAAAGAAGAGGAAAACATTCAGCAAAGGCCATCTTTGCTGGGGCTTGAGCCCATGATGGTTGCATCTAGGCACCCATGGGTGCAATGGTGTAACATTGCACCCATGGGTGCCTTAGTGCTGTTTTTTGACATTAACTCTATGGCTTTATGGACTTCCAGAATAATTCAATTTTCCTGACGAACCTTCTGGTTTGTACTGAGCAACAATGGTGACCACTTGCCCGGCTCCCTTCAGTGCAGCTGCTGCCTGTTCATGTGTGGCTCCACGAAGGTCAATGCCATTAACCTGTTTTAATAAAGCATCAATTCACAAGATGTAACCAAAAACATGTTTATAAGTACACTTTATATAGCATACACAGCCATAAGATGCATTTCAGCTTCAGTGTGGTGGATAGAATAGTGAGAGAAAGAAATGAGCATATCATGACAATAATTTTATTTAAGAACATTAAATAAAAATGTGATGAAAAAAATATTTCTGTTTTTCTAATACTGAAGTTTACATAAACAGAAATTCATGGCCATGATCAGTTTAAAACGGTAGCATCAAAAAAGACACAACATTGTTTAAAAGTATGAAAATAGTGTACAAAGACATTTAGGTGAGGTCAAGTGAGAAAAGTTATTATTAGATCAGAAAATCAGGTCATTGCAAGAACATTGTCTAATTTCATCTTCCAATTATCATCTCTTGATGGTAACTGGAGAAAAATTTAGTCGCATGCAGTGTCACTCTGACTGAGGAATCTGCAAAATTATGAAGAACATCAAAATGATAGTTTTGTTTGGATCTTGCTTCTTCTGTCCACTAATCTATTTATATTCTTCTATTTATATATTTCAGTTCAAAATACATCTAAACAATGCCGGAATGGTTTAGAAAGCATTTCATTAAATATGAATCAATATTCTATTTAACAGCAAAAGTGTCAAATGTCCACAATATATTCCAGATGTTTGCTACAACTCTTGATGTACATGTGTTTTAGCCAAGATGTACTGGCAGGCAATAAAAAAAAAGCAAGTAGACTTTTTAAGAAAGACCTTAAACTAACGAGTTGAAGATGTAATAATAATAATAATGATAATAATAATAATAATAATAATACTGCGACAGGCTGGCGACCAGTCCAGGGTGTACCCAGCCTCTCACCTGGAATGTAACTGGAGATAGGCACCAGCACCTCCCACCCCATTAGGGATAAGGGTGAACAGCAAATGGATGAATAATAATAATAATAATAATAATAATAATAATAATAATAATAATAATAATAATATAAGAACACTATTAATAATAACAATAAAATTACTAATATTGTTATTAATATTAATAATATTAATATTATTAGTAATAATAATAAAAATTTTATTATAATTATAATCTAATTAATAATAAATATCTGAATTATAGACTTTGAAGGGTTGTGTCAATTCTACAATAGTTAAATTGTGTAGAGCATTTCTCATCGAAAATTGTGATTGATAACTGAAAATGTTCTAATGGAGCAAACTGAGCTTCTTTGATAATACAAAGTATTATGGTGCATCAAGAATTACAAAAAGATTGATTTGTTAATTCATTGGCTTGTCTGAAAGGGATCTACAATACAGTTGTAACCTAAATGGTATTGGGTTAAAACTGTTTTGTTCAAACAATACAGTCTTGGGTAAATGCACTTGAAAACACGATAATAGCCATTCTTTAAAGCTTTTTATGTAGCATTTAGCAAGCAACAGAAGAGCTCATTTTTATATCTGTTAGCTCTGTGTTTATCACTTTATTCTGAGCAAAGGCAGTGAATGGAGCAAAACATCACCTAAAGTCTAAAACAGGCAGTCCCCGATGTTACGGTTCCTTTTTGACAACTCGACGTAGTATATTTTCAGTACTTACAGATAGGATTTCATCACCCCGCCTCAACTCTCCACTAAGGTCCGCTGGCCCACCTAATAAAATGAAGGAGACAAAGATGCCTTCACCATCTTCTCCCCCCACTATGTTGAAGCCAAGGCCGGTGGATCCCTTGTGGAGTACAACTGTCCTGGGTTCCCTGTATAAACAGTTTAGGTAATATATGAGCTCCAGGGAGTCTGTGGGTTTCAGCATTGTCAACTGCGATAGAGGAAGGCTGGATCCAAAGGACAATATACTGAAGCTCTTCTCAGGCAGACAAATGTCAAGACTATTACAGCTCCAAATGGGGATGGTGCTCTATTTAGTTCCATTTGCCTCAAATTCTAAAGGCTCTCTCTCTCTTTTTTTTCCTCACTCTCACTCTCTCTCTCTAGCTTGCTCTCTTTCTTCTAACAATTACCTGTCTGAGCCTGCCATCTGCTGCTAAAATTGCAGAAGTCACATAAACTTTATATCTTGTTAAAAGAAGCCACATCATTTTTAGGAGGATCTCTAGCACTCTATACAAGGTATCCCAGCTTCTGCAGCCACATTTCACTGTGGCTCAAGAAAGACCTTAAATTCAAACTGTGAAGTGGACAAGGACAATGGAAGGCTTTTTTCCTTCCATGTAAAGGGACCCAAATCTGCAATCCATTGAACGACCAAGACAGACTCCATAAAAAATAAGAAGACAGCATAATTAATTTCCTTTTCTGTAAATCTATTGGATGTTGCAGTTCTCTGAGAATCCATGTGAAACTAGTGAACTGACCAGTAGCATTTTGTTGAACTCTCCTTTAGATACAACCTCAGAACCTGTCTTGAAACAGCATTCAAGGCAGGGACCAATTGACAAAATATCCTGATTGCTGACTACCTCACCCATTCAAGCACAACAGCAGAGGGGCACAAACATATGAAGTTGCTCAAAAACATAATGTAGGCCTGGTTAATTTTGGAAGCTGATACAAATATGCAGCTTCCAAAAATAACTATGGTTTATATATACTGAACAAAAATGTCCCATGTCAAATATTGTTGCCAAGTGGAGTTAGCAACTGTAAATGAGGATTTGCTGACATTGTACAAACATAATACTTCTCTTGGTTTCTGTATAATTTTTAATCCAACTTGCTGTCAGTGAGCATTACTAAGTGCATGGATGGGGCATGTCCAGAAAGGTGATCACACAGAATGAGCAACAGCTGGACAATCTTTGGACAGGGGGCAATAACAGGCCACCCCAAAATGTCAAATTTTGTCACAAGTCATAAAGCCTCAGATGTTACAAGTTATGCAGGAGCATGCCATTGGCATGTTGGATGCAGGGATGTCCGCCAGAGCAGTATCATTGCAGTAATGTCCATTATCAGCCCAAAGGCTATTTAAGAATTTGTTTCCAACAGACTGACACTTCTGCAAATCAACCTCATGCTCGTCAGTCACATCAGGCACGTCAATCTGTGTAACCAGCGACACACACAGCTGATGAGACTATTGGTCTGCACAACAAGCCAAATTGATCAGAATCATATTCCTCAACCAGACCCCTATCATGATCAAAGGACTGTAAATCTGCCACAAATAGCTGTTCCACGAAGTTATCAATGCCGATAAGGGGAGATCGGTAATTACTGAAAATGTATTTTCAGTTTTTCTTTATGTTTCGTAACCCAAATGTTCATAAAAGTCTTAACTTTTACATGGGGCATTTATATTTTTGTTCAGTGGAGTTATTTTCTAACTATAAACCAGACTCCTTATTTTCACATGAGCCACGAGATTTCACCCACTTCTTTTTGATTTATTTAACAACAATTTTGATTGAAATTGCATATTCGACAAGGCCAGAAAGACATCCTGAAACACACAAATCATCTTCAGAATACTTATGACAAAACGATGGTTATAAGTCACTGAGTCACTTGGATGTACGGACAGCCTTTTCCAAACAAGAGAGGAAACACTGAAAGATGGCTGAAGACTCAAGTTAGGCATCGACTAACGTGTGCTGTTGCAGAAGAAAATATCAGAATACCATCAGAAGGTAGTCACAGGCAAATAGGGGAACTACCCATGAAAAATATCCAGCTGAAGAAACAGGACTTCAGTAGTGCTGAATTTTCAGTACAGAAAGTACTGAAAATGAACATTTTCATTTTCAGTAGTGCTGATGCACTACTGAAAATGTATATAACTATATAACGACTCTTCACATCCTCTACATAGTCACAAATGTATCTTTACTTAAGTCTTTAATGGTGGATATAACATATCTCCAAAAATATTCTAAAGCTGTTGTTTACAATATATGTTAAATAAAATGTATGCGACTCAATTCAGACTTTAAGATAGACATATAATTACAAAATAGAGAACAAAAATAGAGAAACTGAAAAGCCAAAATTGAATCAGTTACTTATGAGAATAAACACAAGCAGTGAATCTTACATAAAGAACAGGGATTTCTTTGTTTCAATGGGAAACTTCCCATCAAAAAGGTCAAAGGTTACATGTGGCTCAATCCCAGGACCCCTCTTATTCAATATTTATATTCTCCCACTAGCTCAGGTTATAACAGGAAATAATATTAGCTACCATAACTATGCAGATGATGCACAGCTCTATATTATGATGTCACCAGGTGACCTTTGACCCCATCCAATCACTGAATAAATGCTTAGAACAGATAAATGTGTGGATGTGCCAAAACTTTCTCCAGCTGAACAGAAACAAAACTGAAGTAATTATTTTTGGACCTAAAGAGGGACAATCTAGAGAGCTATAGATCTAGAGCTACAGATCTAGAGTTATAGATCTAGAGTCAATGCACAGCTTCAGTTATTACAACTAAAACCTAACGATCAGCCCGAAACCTGGGAGTAGTGATGGACTCAGACTTGAACCTTGCGAGCCACATAAAGACGATTACAAAGTCGGCCTTCTATCACCTGAAGAACATCTCCAGGATTAGAGGACTAATGTCTCAGCCAGATCTAGAGAAACTCATCCATGCGTTTATCTTTAGTCGCATTGATTATTGTAACAGCGTCTTCACAGGCCTGTCCAACAAATCAATCCTCCAGCTGCAGCTGATCCAGAAGCTGCTGCTCCTGTTCTCACTAAAACCAGGAAGATAGAGACATAACAGCAGTTTTAAAGTCCCTCCACTGGCTCCCTGTAGCTCAAAGAATAGACTTTAAAATACTGTTGTTAGTTTATAAATCACTGAACGGTTTAGCACCACAATACATCAAAGATCTGCTGTTGTATCAACCTTCCAGACTCTCAGGTTCTGGTTCTGGTTCTGGTTCTGCTCTGCATCCCCAGAACCAGAACCAAGAAGCAGCTTTCAGCATCTATGCACCAAAAATTTGAACAAACTTCCAGAAAACTGTAAAACAGCAGAAACCCTGACTTCCTTTAAATCTCAACTAAAAACACACCTGTTTAGAATTGTATCTGAAATTTAATATGAAACAATGTATTGTTTATTCTATGATGCATGACTTTGTGTTTTTGTGTTTATGGTGTAAAGCACTTTGAAATGCCTTGCTGCTGAAATGTGCTAATCAAATAAAATTTCATTGATTGATTGATTGACAGTGTGAGTCAATGTCAAGCAGAAAGTGACTTTACTGCTGTTATCACAAGAAAGAGACTATATATTTACCATATTTATATTTGCTTACATATTTTAAAGCAAGAAAAATTCAACTGCTCAAGTCAACACTGCAAAAATATTACTTTATATGAGCACTAATTAATAACATTCTGCCTTGCCTATTATTTCTGTGCACTTTATAATCTCATTGAATAATCTGACCTCATTGTTGGTCAGCTTACAGAGTTAAAATCTTCTTAAGATAATTGCCGCTTAGAGAGTTAGGTTGCATCACAAAGCAGAGTACTACTGCATAATCAGCTCATGTAGTGACACGTACATGTCGTTACTTAATGAAACTCAGTTTTGCAGATAAAACTGAAATAATTTTTATATTCCTCTATTAATCATGGTTTAGTTTTTTTCTCTGATGTGGTTTTTATAGACTAATCACCAAGCTAAGAAAATATACATTGTTACCGCTAGAGACTGTCAACGTCATTTCATGAATAGTGGCGGACTACGTTTATGGGCAACAGTTTACTGTTTAAGGATAGTAAAGACAGTAGGGATGTGCTGCGGTGGCACAGGGGTAAAGCGCAGTCCATGCACGGAGGCCTTAGTTCTCAGGCTAATGACCTTTGCCACTTTCCTCTCTCATTACCCACTTTCCTGTCTGACCACTCTCCAATACAGATCACTCGAACCAATAAAACCTTTAAAAAGAAAAGATGGCATCGAGAATGCTACCCAAATCAGCTTTTTTCCCCCTGCTTTTTTCTGAGTGGCCCAATTATGATCTTTTAACCCAAAACATAAATCCAATTTGTGCCACTTCCATATCCAGTGGTTTTCAAAGCATTTGCCATTTGAACTTCGTGTCACATTTTATTTGGTTTTTAGTCGTTGATGTCAGACATACATCATAATTCTGCCAGAGATAATAAATCAGAATGTAAACAGTGACTGAAAATTATAATTATGAATTTATTAAGAAGTCTGTGTCACTGAAGTGCATCAGTGACACAGAATGAAAGAATACGAAATAATTTCATTGCATCACAGATAATGAAAAGTAAAAATCACACATTTAATCGGTATATTCAAATCGTGTTTGTATCATAATGGTCATAATTTTGTTGTGTGTTTTTTGGACGCTTTTATCTTAGGAACTATCATTCACCAGTTAGATATTATGTGGCATCTATTTCACATTTCTGTAACTAAGGTAACATATATATATACACATAACTTATACATAATAGTGTTATGCTGCTGCTCCCCCACATTATATTGTATCAGGCCGACATGCTCTTTGCCATCACCAACATTCTCAAAGGCAAAATATCTTCCACCCATTCTCCATTTGACTGTAGCATCTTGCACCATAAGTTTGCTTCAGTTGTTGTTGAATCCATCCAAGCAACTTCCACTCCATAACTCTTTCCTGAATAGACAAAAACAGAAGTGATTAGATGAGACAGACACTTCACTTTCTCTCATAATGTCACCATTTAAGCTGGAAACCTGCTTAGTTTGTGCTCAGTGATGACCCTTCTTTCTTCAAAAAATATTTTTAGACACCTGCTTTCGATTTTTCACTCCGCAAAGACTTACAATAGCGCTGACTTTTTATGGACAGTTTCTTTTTTGTCTTTTTCTATGACCATAGACCAGGGCTTAGAGCTCAAAGAACATTGGTAAGGACATGTTTGAGAATGATAGATGGGGCAACTCTCAGAACTTAACTACCAAAGAAAACTCTGCAGAATCAAGCCATGCTGTATACCGAGTGTTTACACATATGCTAGTGATGAAATTCCATTTATTTGCCTCTCTAATGGTACAGTTGTGATGTCATTCAAACCGTCACCAGCAGAATTTAAGCACAGCATTCCTGGCCCTTCCTCTGCCTGATGCCATCATGTTCTTCCCACATTCACTCAATATTTGACCTGCCACACCAGACACAATAAAATGCTGAACTTTTTATATACCGACACCAAGGAGACATCTACTTTTCCTCCTCTGGGGGGCTCAGATCACAACCTGGTATATCTTCTGTCTGTGTATAAACCCCTTGTATACAGACAACTTGTGATATGGACAGTGACACTTCACTCTATTTGCTTCAGAAGACTCACATAGCTCCCTCCAATATCACTCCCTATCCCTTTCAGGAAGTTAGAAAGTAGCTGCAAAAAAAAAAAAAAAACATAAAATCAAGGTGCTAAGGCTTGCACAGTTGGATGTCATCAATTGTGCAAACAACTATCTGGTGTTAAAGTACACATGTTCAACAATAACCTGAAGCTGGGGAAAATGCCACAGTTGTGGAAGACCTGTCTGGATAAAGACTAAATATGTCAAGGACCTCAGAAGCAACGGGTTGGCAGCATTGACCTGACTTTGGATGAAGTCAGGTCAATGCTCAGTCATCCTCATTTTCTGTTGGTGTTTTCACTGGATCCATTGTAGTTTACTTATTAGCCTGGCATCAAGGCAGATTATAACATCATTCATATCCTACACCGGACTCTTGGTCTTCCCTTGAAGAGTAAACTGGAGTGGAGCCATAACACTGATGCTCTTTACAGGAAGGGTCAGAACAGAGAGAATAAAAAATCATGCTGCCTTTCTTTTTTTTATTGTGTAAGCCTGCAAAGACCTATTTTGACCTACAAGCCTTTCTCCTGTGGACAGTGGAACGTTATGGGGTGGACACACAGGGAGCAAAGAAAGACAGCAAAAGGTGAACTTTTTCCATGACAGCAGACAGCTACAAAAGTTAAACATTTTTCAACTTTCTTGTGTTGTGTCACTTGCCTGCATTTGAACAAATATGTGTATGAACTCAAACTGCCACATGCATGAATTACATCAAATTGCTCAATTGTGTGAGGGTAATGATGATGCACAAATTCCATTGTAAATAAATTGTTAGGGGAAGATGATTTCTAAATTAACGTTTAAAACAAAATGCATAGATCCTGCTGCTTATTGGGACTTGACCGGAGAAGTCATTGAGATATATATATATATATATATATATATATATATATATTATTTTTTTTTAAAACTGATGCCTTATGTATTGAGCTATCCAGTCAGCATATATATATATATATATATATATATATATATATATATATATATATATATATATATATATATATAGTTGCCCGAGACTGCAAAACCCGACACACCAACCTGTGCATGGCTTGGATCGATTACAAGAAAGCCTATGACTCAATGCCGCATACTTGGATCATTGAATGCCTAGAGATGTATAACATCAACAGGATTCTGAGAGCCTTCATTGCAAACTCGAAGCTGTGGAAAAGCACCCTTGAAGCCAACTGCAAACCACTTGCACAAGTGTCCATCAAATGTGGCATATACCAAGGAGATGCTCTGTCCCCGCTACTGTTCTGCATAGGCCTGAACCCCCTCAGCCAAATTATCAACAAGACTGGCTACGGATACCGACTCAAAAATGGGGCCAACATCAGTCACCTCCTCTACATGGATGACATCAAGCTGTATGCCAAGAGTGAGCGAGACATCGACTCACTGATCCACACCACCAGGATCTACAGCACGGACATTGGGATGTCATTCGGACTAGAGAAGTGTGGTCGGCTGATCACAAAGAGGGGGAAGGTGATCCACACAGAAGGAGTCTAACTCCCACAAGGAATAATAGCAGACATAGAGGACAGTTACAAGTACCTAGGTATACCACAAGCAAATGGCAACCTCGATGAGGCCACAAGGAAAGGAGCCACAGCTAAATACCTCCAACGAATAAGGCAAGTCCTGAGAAGCCAGCTCAATGGCAAGAACAAAATCCGTACGATAAACAGCTATGCCCTGCCAGTAATCAGATACCCTGCTGGAATAATCAGCTGGCCAAAGGAGGAGATAAAAGCCACAGATATTAAGACTAGAAAGCTACTAACCATGCATGGAGGGTTCCATCCCAAATCCAGCACCCTGAGACTGTACATGAGCCGCAAGGAAGGAGGCAGAGGACTAGTGAGTGTGAGAACCACTGTCCAGGACGAAACAACTAAGATCCATAAATACATCAGGGACAAAGCCTCAACAGACAATGTGCTCAGTGAATGTCTCAGACAACAGGGAACGGAGGTTGAGGTGCCAGAGATACCATCATGGGAGGACAAGCCCCTACATGGGATGTACCACCAGCAAATAACCGAAGTGGCTGATATCAGTAAATCCTACCAATGGCTGGAAAAAGCTGGACTCAAGGACAGCACAGAGGCCCTCATCCTGGCCGCCCAGGAACAGGCCCTGAACACCAGAGCAATAGAGGCCCAGATCTACCACACCAGACAAGACCCAAGGTGTAGGTTGTGCAAGGAGGCCCCTGAGATAGTCCAGCATCACAGCAGGGTGCAAGATACTGGCAGGGAAAGCGTACATCGAGCGACATAACCAAGTGGCAGGCATAGTGTACAGAAACATCTGTGCAGAATATGGACTGGAAACCCCGAGATCAAAGTGGGAAACACCCCCAAAGGTGGTAGAGAACACCAGAGCTAAGATCCTATGGGACTTCCAGATCCAGACAGACAAAATGGTAATGGCGAACCAACCAGACATTGTCGTAGTGGATAAACAACAGAGGAAAGCCGTTGTGGTAGATGTAGCAATACCAAGTGATTGCAACATCAGGAAAAAGGAGCACGAGAAACTGGAGAAATACCAGGGCCTCAAGGAGGAACTGGAGAGGGCCTGGAAGGTGAAGACCACAGTGGTGCCTGTGGTCATCGGGGCCCTCGGGGCAGTAACCCCCAAACTGGAGCAGTGGCTACAACAGATCCCAGGAACAACATCAGACATCTCAGTCCAGAAATGTGCAGTCCTTGGCACAGCCAAGATACTGCGCAGAACCCTCAAGCTCCCAGGCCTCTGGTAGAGGACCCGAGCTCAGAGGATAAGAACCACCCGCGGTGGGTGAGAAGGGAATTTTATATATATAATATATATATATATATATATATATGTAACACATACACACACATATACATATATTGCAATGGTTTATGTGTCATCTCCCAATAAGGATCAGGATGGGTTAAAATGGTAAGTATAGAAACAGTGGATTAAAATACAACCTGTCCCCGGTCCAAGCCTTACACCACCTATGAAGTGGTTTTGCAGCCGATTATGATTCCATACTGTTATCTCTGCACAGGCCTCTCCAAGATCCTCCAACCGGAAACCGTCATACATCATGGTGTGGTTGAACAAAGGATTAGCTGTTCTTTTTACGACCCGTGTCTTCTGTCGGTTTTTCCGACTTGTGTCTGGAAGAACAGTGCTGTAGTAGCACCGTAGCAGTATGAGTCATTTTCAAATTTGAATAACAGAAAATCACTGACATGGAATCAAAAATAACTTTCGATTACATCAAGTACAGCAAGATCTAAAATAGACTTTTTCATTTTCATCATAACTTTTCTTAGATTTATTGTGTGTCAAACAGGAATGACTACAGTCTGCCATCATCGTTATGTAATGATTTACTCAGACATTAAAAACAATAAATCCTCATAATAGGTAGCAAAACAGTTTAGAAATTTATGTCGTACCACTTTAACAAGGGGTTGATGTTGACTCCTATGACTGGACAAAGATCCTTGCAGTCTTTCACCCAAATTAGCAGCTCCCCAGCCTCTCCTCTTTTATTTCCCTTACCTATGGATGGAATAATAGCTCATTTTCTCACTTAATTTTAAGTGAGAAAATATCTGCTAGTTTAGAACTCTCACCCTTGATTGTCTGTGACACAAATTTCAGGGCCACTCTCATCTTTCCACCATTTTCTTTTAGGTTTGAAGGAAGTTGTTCAAATATTTCTGCTGGAACCTGAAGGATGGAGTTCAGGTCAGTTAGGTGTAATCATTGCTGCAACATGAAGACAGGAGCAGTTACCTTGGCTTTTAATGCATATTCATTTATCTCTGTGTTGTCAATGTCCCATTCAGACAAATCCAAGTCTACATCACCCAGGAAGTCGTTCCGCCCAAAAAGGTCATTGTGCCACACTGAGACGTTCAAGATCTGCTTTTTCAACTCTTCAAGACTAATTTTAAACTATGAAAAAACAACAACAAAGTCAAGTGTGATGGAAAAAGTTGAGCAATTCATTTATTGTTACATAACAGCTGGTAATTATGAGTACTCAATGATATCACAAAAGGCTGTCAGGTGTTTGTTTTGCCTATCACAGCAGTCCAGCACATTTGTTAACTTGTACAAGAGACTATTCAATTTAAAAAGCTGCATCTACCAAAGACTAAAACACAAGTATTAGTTGTTGTCAACCAAGTAAATCAGCTTCCTTACTAAACGAGGAAATAATCATCATGCTGCCATACCACACGCACAGGCTCCAAACCTGTTCCATTTATGAATAATCAAGGCTTCTGTACTCACTGAAACCTTCAAACCAGCAGAACTTTTTCTATCATTCTGTAAGGTGAAGTAGTTCACCTCTATTTCTGATATGACAATCACCATCAGCTGTGGGACCTTTTATTGAAATGTGTGCCTATCTAAATCAAGTCCATCAAGTCAATTGAATTTACCACAGGTGAACTCCAGCTAAGTTCTACAAACATCTCAAAGATGATAGGTGGAAACAACTTTATTTTGAGCTTTAGGGCAAAGGCTAGAAATAAATAAGTAACATTTTTTTGCAAACATCTCAAACTTTTTTTCATAAGTTGTCATCCCATTGTCATAATGGAATATTTTTGTGTAGATTTTTTAAGAAATACATTAATTGAATACAATTTGGTATAAGACTGTTATATAACAATATGTGGAAAAAGTTAAGCCCTGTGAATACTTTCTAGATGCACTGTAAAAACCTGAGGCAAAAATTCAATATAAGTGATGAGAGTACACAACAAATGTTCACAACAAATGGTGTTTTGAGCACTTAAAAGGTAGGAACAAAACGCACAAGTGTCTCACCTTAAGAACTTCATTGTATGTTGGATGAAATGTCTTCTTTTTAACTGTGGTCTTTCTCTTGCCCAATCGTGTATTATCAGGAACAAGGTAGCACTTCACATACCTGCAAATATTTGGGCAGAAATAAAGGGTTAGGATTATCTAAAAGAGCTGGATAGAGTAGGCTCTTAGATTTTTGTCACATATTTTATTCTCACATTAAAATGGAACTTCACTGAGAAAACTTACAAGTCATAATTCTTTTTGGTTTCAGTCACAGCCAATCCACTGCACTTTACCACAAATACCTGAAATTCTTCAATCTTTTGGATGTAGTTCACAGCAAACTGAATGCTTCCTTGGACTTCCATGTCTAAAGGGTCAATGGTGCTTATGCTGCTGCTCATCTTGATCAGTCATGAAATGTCATAAAAAAGATTTAATTTATTTATGCTGCTGCATTCAATTCCAAAAGGCAAATGTTGTTAGCTCCTTAAAATAATGGTCTAAATCATTTTTTGACAAAAGTGACTTTGAAAAAAAAAAGAAAAATAAATAAATCATCACCTCTTTATGTCCAAAAGATGTTTTTGGCAAAAAAAAAAAAAAAAAAAAAAAAGACAGGCCATTATTTTAGGAAGATGTACACAAGACATTTTCAGACATTGTTAAAAGTGGAGAGGACAAGGCTTGATAAGGCAATGCACTTACAAAATATGTACGGTTTAAAGAGTCGTTGACACGAACCCCCCACCCCCCAAAAAAACCATAGTAGTCATTCAATGAAAGACTACTAGTTACCAGTTATTAACTGAATGAAACTGAATCCTGTCTCCAACCATCAGCTCCTCCTACTGGCTATGCAGTGAGTCTACGACTACTTTAACTCAGGTGACAGTGCCAATAGTTTTTGGTGTTCTGCCAACTTTGGAAGCTTGCAGCAGTTTTTAACAGTTTAACTGGCTTCCTAGAAATATAAAATTTTGATGAATTCACTTAACAGATGTCTCTTGCCATGCGTTTGTTCCTGTCAATATTTAACAGTTTTGAAAATCCCATTCCATCCTCAATACCCATAATGTGTTGACAACTCAGTAAGCAATGTATAGACATACAGATGATATGGAGGCCATTGCTGAGGACAGACTTGAATTGGAACTGTTGGCATTTATCCTGCTACTCCAGGTGCTTCTTGATGGGCTGTCGTAATCTGTCTGATAGTGTCAACAAGTAGAAAGAAACAACTGGAAAATATTAAATATAATACAAGGGTCAGGACACTTAGTATGAAGATATGCAACATTTAGACCAAACTTTTCTGGGCAAGCAAATGCAACTCTAATCCACATGTAAAACAAAGAACTGCATTCCTCTGATTATCAAACAGAAGCTATTTCTAAGTTATTTACCTTTTGCTGCTGAAGACTGTGCACAGAAAAACTGCTTTTCATGGCAGTGGAGTTGGAAAGAACCTGAACTAATGATGGAAGGAAGTGAACAGAAGACATGGGTGACTTTTAATTTCAGCAAATAATAACATCTCATCAGTACATAAAGTATTCTACATGTTGAAAGGACACTTTAGACCAGGTCATGGAAACACCTTTTTAATCATAATACACAAGTAGTTCAATTTCAAACTTGAAATTATTGTGGGTTCTCTTTACTCCTTAGTAGAAACTAGGCACTAAAACTAAGACAATAAAAAATAAATCTTTTGTTGAATTCCAGGTTGTTGTTCAACAACAAAGAACAATGGTACACAAAAAAACATATTTCTTTCCTGTTACTTTTTTCTGAGGTGAAATTTTCCAAACTCTTAGATGAAGAGATGACTCTTGAGGATAATTGTGCCAGTGCTGATGTAATAGGGTTTTCAGCACAGCCTAAAAAACAAGAAAAAATTTTATTAAACATTTCAGTAGAATCTGCTCACTCACACTCACTGAACACTTTTCTTCTACTCAACTGCCCAGAAGTACTGCTGGTCATAGCACTCTGAAATATCAGACCACAAAATTTGACCATTTGATTTTGCATTTAGTAACATTTAAAAAAAAAAAAAGAAAGAAAGAAATTAGAGGCTGTTTGATCAGAAAAACAAAGCATTTCAACTGGCGACCTGTTCAGGATGTACAATGCCTCTCTCCCATTGGCCGCTGGAGTCAACCACTTTGCTACCCCACTAAGGATAAGCATGTAAGTATTTTGTGTCAATGGCACTTTAAACTGTGAAAACTGTGGAACTGGAGCTGTAAATTATGGTTTATACAAACTAAGAACTCGTACTCAGATAACTCTGGTCCCCTTGGTTTCCAGCTAATATTCTGGGGCTTCCTGCAATTTATGGACAGTTTTGCTGTCCACAACAGCATCTTTTTGTTGTTGGAAAGAAGGAATGTGGGCTTTCCCTCGTTGCCCAATATGATGCTAATTGTACTGTGGGATTAAGGCTCTTGACAATTGTGTAAGCGGTTTCATTTTCTATAAAGTTTGTTTGGATTCAAAAAGGAAAATTTTCACATTCTCGTTTGATTCAGCTGACCATGACATGTTTATCAATCTATTTGTGTCATTAAATGGTGTGATGGTGATAGTGAGGCAAACGATTAGAGACCCAGGATAAGGTGAAAAGAGATTGTTAAGAATTAAAAAGAGGAATAACTCGATATAGCTCTTTAATTAATTCTCTGTCCTAGGTTCTTGTGTCTGTGTACGTGTGCAGAGAGAAAAGAGCAATCATACGATGTCAGACTTCAGATATTCAGAGTTTTATCCAGAGAAATTCAATGCAAGAAGAATGTTACAATAAGCACCTCACCTAGATCATCAAAAGTCCAAGACGTGACAAAACAGAGACAAAGAACTGAGTAAAAAGACAAAAGATGCATCTTCCGGGAAGCTCTCACTCAGCACAAAGAGATTCGAACTTCTGCTCTAAAACAAACCATTTTATAGAATGTGTATTCTCCTCATTTAAATATATGCATTAGGAGGTGTGTTTTTCCTTTGTGTGGGCTGTCTTAAATGTTAATTTTATTACCTCCTGCTAAAGAGCCCCAAAGGCAGATGGATTGTCAAACTGGGTCTCTGCCGTACCAGGCGTCTCCTGCAACTCTCCCTGAGCTAAATTACGACCTCTGTCTGTTTTAGTTTTCTGCCTCAAATGATTCCACAAGAAAGTAGTTTGTATTTTTAACCAAGCTTGCACAAAATGTAATGCTAAATAATGATGATAAATTGGATCTAAAACTAACTAATTAAAAACATGCTTTTTAATGCTTAAAGAAATATACCAATATGTTTGATTATATGTTGTAACAGACTTCTATAGTTTTTAATGTTTGCCTGAACTATTCAACCCTGAGTAAAGAATTTATTGCCCTGATAGCCAATACACTCCCTGTCTGAAATGTTCCTTAAGGAGTAAAGACTGCTTTCTGATTAGAAATTTATGTAAGTTCAGAGAGTCACCAGTTGTCTTAGTTTGGATTTGTATCTAAGTTTATCTTAACCTAAAAGTTAACTTATGTACTATTGTGCTACTTTAAAATTCTATTTCAACAAGATTTAATTACGACAATTGTAACCTACAAGTTACTTTAAATACACTTAATAATAGCAAAAGGCAGGCAATTTAATTTACTTCTCTAACGAGCACCAATCCTATAAAAGTATATCTAAAAACAAGTTGGGCCTATCAAAAGACTCTAAATTATAAAGAGCCTAGGTGTGAACAAAGTGTCAACAAGAAAGAGTAAAATTTAATAATAAAACAATTGTGGATCCACATATACAATTGTAACAAAATAGCGCGCGTTTTTTTAAAAACAGAAAATAAAATAAATAACAGTCTGTTCCAACGTGTCAGTCGATCCTCTCAGTATTTCAAGGATTGTGACCAGTCGGGTCACTATCTAAAATCTCACTGGGTTCTCTGGGCCGAGGCTCGCCATCCAAATTCAGAAGTGAGTCTTGGAGTCTGAGGGCACTCCAGGCCAAAGGTGCACCGTAATCAAAAAAAAAAACCTGGCCAACGCTCTGACGGTGTCTGACTCTACCGGGGATTTTTTTTTTCCAGTCTCAGCTGCTCTCAAAGAAACGTTTCTCCAGATTTTATCATCTCTCTCAGGCTCTTAACGAAAACGACGATCAGCTGTTAGTTCTCAGCCGCGTCTGACGCGTTCTGAGTAGAATCACAGCGCAGTAGTGAAAGGGGCGGGACAATCAACCCCATTGGCTGATGTAATGTCAGACCACGCCAGCCATTGGTTGCCCAATCCATCAGCAAAACAATCATTAAAGTTTTTAACGATGTTTTTAGCACGTTTGGATATATCTTTCTTAGCAAAGTAAAACACAAAATCTATTTATACTTTCCAATCTTGTGAAACAAACAACACACACAAAAATTCCCATCAAATTAACATCACCAACTTCCACCTGTGTTCTTAACACTGGGTTACACAATGATAAAAAAAACACAATACCAAACAGGTCCACGGCCAGGCAGCACAACTGAACTGAATCCAGGGCTCAACACTGGTCCAACGGTGTTTTGGTAGCACTGGTCAAACAGGTGGACAAGGTGACGTTTATGTGAATAAACGACAAGGAACAAAGGACACAGGAGGGACTAAATAGAGGGTAATCACAAAGACGAGACACACCTAAGAGTAATTGAGGGGAAGACAGGACAATGAGGAGACTAAAGGACACAGAAAACTAAAAATAATAAACAGAAAAACAAGGAACATGACATTTTGGTTTAAAAATAATTGTAATGTCTTCATCAGAGTTAGTGTTTTATTGCACTTTGTTCAGTTGTTTGTGGAGACTTCTTCCTTCATCTCGTTCCTGATATTGGTTTACTTTTCATCTCTCGCTCCCCTCTCTTCACCTCCACCTTTCAAACCACAAGCTTCGTCTGCTTATTTACTTATTTCTAAATAAACTATGAATTTATTTAGAAATAAGTCTATACCCTCTTAGTTTTTTGTATCTTGACTCCTTGGACATTTAATGTTACACCCCCACCCAAGGAATAAAAGTTTCATAATTGGTGGGACGATAAACAGGGACGTATTTCTTAAGAGCAATTTGGGCTGGCAAAGTTACGGTGAAATGTCACAAAAATTTGGTTTAAAAAGTTTTTTATGTGCTGCTGAACCAAAAATGACTAGTAAGGGTTGGACTCTCCAGTTCGGTGCTCAACTGGTTTGAATCTTACATAAAGAACAGGGATTTCTTTGTTTCAATGGGAAACTTCTCATCAAAGACGTCAAAGGTCACATGTGGGGTACCCCAAGGTTCAATCCTAGGACCCCTCTTATTCAATATTTATATTCTCCTACTAGCTCAGGTTATAACAGGAAATAATATTAGCTACCATAACTATGCAGATGATACTCAGCTCTACATTATGATGTGACCTTTGACCCCATCCAATCACTGAATAAATGCTTAGGACAGATAAATGTGTGGATGTGCCAAAACTTTCTCCAGCTGAACAAAAACAAAACTGAAGTCATTATTTTTGGACCTAAAGAGGAACGATCTTGAGCTATATATCTAGAGCTATAGATCTAGAGTCAATACACAGCTTCAGTTATTACAACTAAAACCTAACGATCAGCCCGAAACCTGGGAGTAGTGATGGACTCAGACTTGAACCTTGCGAGCCACATAAAGACGATTACAAAGTCGGCCTTTTATCACCTGAAGAACATCTCCAGGATTAGAGGACTAATGTCTCAGCCAGATCTAGAGAAACTCATCCATGTGTTTATCTTTAGTCACATTGATTATTGCAACAGCGTCTTCACAGGCCTGTCCAACAAATCAATCCTCCAGCTGCAGCTGATCCAGAAGCTGCTGCTCCTGTTCTCACTAAAACCAGGAAGATAGAGACATAACAGCAGTTTTAAAGTCCCTCCACTGGCTCCCTGTAGCTCAAAGAATAGACTTTAAAATACTGTTGTTAGTTTATAAATCACTGAACGGTTTAGCACCACAATACATCAAAGATCTGCTGTTGTTGTATCAACCTTCCAGAATCTCAGGTTCTGGTTCTGCTCTGCATCCCCAGAACCAGAACCAAGAAGCAGCTTTCAGCATCTATGCACCAAAAATTTAAACAAACTTCCAGAAAACTGTAAAACAGCAGAAACCCTGACTTCTTTTAAATCTCAACTAAAAACACACCTGTTTAGAATTGTATTTGAAATGTAATATGTAACAATGTATTGTTTATTCCATGATGCATGACTTTGTGTTTATGATGTAAAGCACTTTGAAATGCCTTGCTGCTGAAATGTGCTATACAAATAAAATTTGATTGATTTATTGATTGATAAGTGGTAACTGTTGAAATGTAATTTTAAATTAGCACAATAGTACACAGGGTAACTTTGATGCATATGAAATATACCATGGAAAGTTAGAGTACACTCTATGTTCACATAAATTTAGATAAAGATCCAAACCAAACCAACTGGCCACTCTCTGAATTTACATAAATCTATAAGGAGGGTTTATAGTGGAACTCCCTTAACTGCTATACAGACAGGGAGGCTGTCTGCCAGGCAATTAACAAATTCTTTTGGTATGGTTCAAAAGTTCACTAGGACATTAAAACGTTTTAAATAAATTTTATCCATACTAGAATTAAATATATCTTAAAAGATTTCCTTAATCATTAAACAACATGTTTTGAATTAGTTACTTTGTAATCACACTATTTGCATGCATTTTATATTACTGAAATACAATAGATTTAGGAAAAACTATTTTACTTTAAAAATATTTCTGATATTCTCAAAAAGAGTTCTTCTTTAAACAGAAAACACTTTAGTTCTTAGATCCAAACTTATAGTTATTATTTAGCATTAGATGTTGTGCGAGTTTGTTTAAAAATACAAACTAGTTTCTTGTTGAATCATTTTGAGGCAGAGATAACGCTCCAGCTGCACGTCATAAATCACGTATGGCCAGTAGGCTGGAACGAGAAGAGCTGGGTGTTTTAGCAGGCCCCAGAGGTAATAAAATTAACATTAAGACAGCCCCCACAAAGGGAAAACACACCTCCTAATATGCAAATGTATGAAATACACAGTCTTATAAAAGTTTTCGTTTGCAACAGAGAATTCGAATCTCTTTGTGCTGAGTGAGTGATTCCCAAAAATGCATTTTTTAATTTCTTTTCAACTCGTTGCAGTTATTTTCTATTTGTCATTTTGTGGACTTTTGATTTCTGGGTGAGATGCTTATTGTAATATTCTTTTACGTATTTGAATTCTCTGGATAAAACTCTAGATATCTGAAGTCTGAGGTCGTATGATCGCTCTTTTTCCCTGCGCATGCTTAGACTCCAGAATCCGGGAAAACAGAGGAATAAATCAATGAGCTAAATCAAGTTCTTCCTCTTTAATTCTTAACATAACCCACACCAAACTTGTTTTTCTCAGTAAACAAACGTTTGATACCTATAAAAGTCAAACTAAAATTTAAATATTTAGATGCAAGTTTGGTTCATTGTCACTGATCTCATCTCTGCCATACCTTTACAAAAGCACAAAGGTTTTTCTAGAAAAATGTTCAGATTTTATTTTGTGATTGTAAAGGCTCTATGTTGAATAAAGTTGAAATAAAGATAGCATTTTTTTACTGCCAGCTGCTCTCTTCTATTGCCCCTCAGCTCTCAGCTCCCACACACCGAATCATCAGCCATTCTCAACATTTAGCCTCTCCCTCCAGGTTCAAACTCTTCTCTCTTACAGGAGTTAAAGAACTAAATATGATGGAGATATTTGCTACTTTGGACAAAAATAGAGTTTAAGTCTATCAAAGCAGTTTTGACTTCTAAGAGGGCTGAACAGTGGAGTATTTGGTAGTACTGTTGTCTTGCAGGAAGAAGGACCTGGGTTTTAATCCTGGCCCTATCTGCATGGTGTTTGCATGTTTTCTCAGGGGTTTTTTTCCCCCTTTTGCTGCAGACCTACAGCTAGCTCTTCCCTTCAGATGGTTCTGAAAAAGCCTATGCCGTTACGCAATGCTATTGTTGCTCCTCCTACATTATGCTTAATTTTTCTTAGATGAATGGTGGCTTTATTTTGTTCTGAGTTTCTTTTACCTTTTCACATTGATATTGTTTAAATAGAAAGGGTTCTGGGGCGTGCTGTGGTGGCACAGGGGTTAGCACGCCCCACGTTTGGAGGCTTCAGTCCTCGATGCGGACATCGCGGGTTAGACTCCTGGTCCCAGCGACCTTTGCCGCATGTCTTCCCCCCTTTCCTCGCCCTGCCTACTGTCGAAAATACGAGCCACTGGCGCCACAAAAACTCTTCGGAGAAAAAAAAATTAAAAAAAATAAATAGAAAGGTTTCTTTGATGATTTATTTGGGGGGAACCATTCTACACTTTTCCTAGATTGGGGAAGTCCAAAACCCTCCAAGTCCCCTGAGATTTTCAGCCATGCCCCCATATGTTCCACATGACTGCCTTGGGGAGATAACGCCCTTATTGATTGAAGTGCCATCTGTGGTTAGAACTGGACTGTATGTTAGACTGAAAATCGCTATTGTCACTTTCCTGAAATAATGGCTGAAGTAATTTTTCTTTTTGACAAAAACCAGAAAAGTTCATTTTTATGTACGGCCACATGTTTCAGCTGAGAAAACAATTCCTCAGCTGACATGGATTTAAGGAGGTTGTAGTTTCTTTAAATTAAGTGTTGTTCTGTGTTACACATTTTATTGATTTGGTCTCATTGAAAAATGTGGCCAAATCATTATTTTCTTTGTCTATATTAAAACTTTTATCTTAAGCAAATTTGTTGCATATTTCTTTGTAGCCTCTCAGAGTAAAAATCCCCTGCTCCTCCCTTTGCATTTGGTTGTTTTCTTCTTCTTGAAAAACTTTGATGATAATTATGTGACGGCCCTGTTGTCACAGTCCTGTGCGTGTCATGTGATTTACTATCAATTAAGGTCCTCAATGTGGGAGGCGCTTCCATCACCTGGATGGTATATAAGGAGTGCCGTTCCATTCATGGGTGTGACTGCAGAAGCCACCACGCGCACACGACCCGGAGATCCAGGCTGAGACCAGGCTGAAGGGGCCTGGACTGATGTCTCCTAGACAAATCAATTCTTTTAAAAGTAAACGCCTTTTATGGGCTTAACATCGCTGGTTGCCATGTCCCCCTAATTTTTGTTGCGGCTTCCTGAGCCGGGCCGTAACAATTAAGTTTTGATGCTATCTTTTGATGCTACTTTTGAATTGTTGTACAGCAATGGCTTACTTTGTGAGGACGTTTCAAGAGAGTAAATGTTGTGCCTGGCTTCAGAACTGCAGTGACAATCCTCTTCAGACTTTATGTGCCCCTGAACATGCTTATCTGGGTCATGTGCAGCCAAAACATACGTGGGCTGCACGTGAGCCACTAGTGTACTATCCAGAACTAGTGGCTCCGGATCGGATTGCTCCGATACAACTGCAAAAAAAAAGAAAAAAAAAAAAAAGAGGATTTAAGATTTGATTTCTAAACAATAGTTAATATTGCATCCTATTTGGTCTGAGTGTGTAACTGACAAATAGACTTGGATCATTTGACTGATATCATGATTCTGGGTTCTTGGGTTGGGTTTTGTTTATTTGTGTGTTTCTATTCTTTCTGAGTTTAATCAGTTATGTTCTAGTTCGCTTTAGTCCAGCTCTTCTTGGTCATCTGAGTTTGTTACTTTGTTATTTTGGTTAGATCTCATTCCTGTTTTCCTTTAGTTCAGCTTCTTATGGTGTTTTCCGGTTTCTTTTTTAATTTTTTGTCTTTCTAGTTTCAGTAGCTTTCACTTCATTAGGTCTATCCATGGGCTGTGCTTTACCCTGAGCCACAGGGTAAAGCATTTTGTTGAAACTTTAGATAATTTTGGTAGCATTTGTAAAGTTACACACCCAAAAATTGAAAGCAAAAATTTGAAGTATTTAGTCTAGGGGAAAAAAAATCAGAAAGTCAGACTTTCCCCTTATTATTCATTAATTTACAGATGTCAGTTTTAAACAAAATTTTCAATTATCAAGATAAGCACTTAATTTGAAGCTAATTTTGTTTACTTACTAAATATTTTCTTTTGTAGCTAAACAGTTAGTTTGTAAACTAAGTATTTAGTGGCAATTAAATATATTTTTTTAAACCATTACATTTGTAAATAAATGAGAAACATGATGAAAATATCTATGAACACCTATACCCTATTTTTTCAATTTTATAGCTAGCTAAATATCTCAAATAGTCACTATTAATTTTTGACGGTATAACTTTACAAATGGCATCCCATACACTTCAAAGTATTTCTACAATGTAATAAATCAATAGAAACATTTTTAACATTGCACAAAAATGCAAAGTAACTGACTTGAAGACCAAACTAAAATTTTGAATAAAAATTTCTACAAAGCACAGTCGTAGAGAGAACATAAAACCGGATCACACAGGATTATCTAAATACAAGTGTTTAAGGGCACACATGTAATCAATATGTGAAGATGACTAGTTTGAAACAAAAAAAATCACTAGTAATCAAGTTCAAGACTGGGTGTTGATCAGCTTCATGCTCCAGAAGATTGAGCTTAGATGTGCCTTTGAGTTCTCCCTCCTGTAAATCTACTTGGCTTTGTTGGAGCAAAAAGCTGCATGTGCAACTATCAGTATGGCACTTAAGGTAATTTGGACATTTTGCTGCAGGGTGTTTAATAGTTAATAGGTTTTTTTTATTTACAATATTCCCCATCCTTCCTTTCCAAAACACTCTCAGGAACAGAGCTTAAATCAAACTTGCTGCTCTCTGACCATTTTTGGTGGCCAGGTTAATTTGACTTTGTGGGCTTAGGTGATGCATTACGGACTCTGTGTTAGTGGCAGACAACATGTTCCCAGATTGCACCTGTTGGTCATGAGAACCAATACATCTTCCACTTGACCCATCTCCATTACAAAAAACAGACTGTGTTCTCATGCTGACTTGATTATTTGGACTCTTCAGAACTAGAATGGAAATACTCAGAGTAATTGCTCTGTCAACTCTATTTATCTTAGAGTTAATTACATTGGAAATGCAGTTTTCAGGTGAAAATATGGTCTCTGCAAGAAGTAAAAACAAATAAGCACACATCAAAAATATAAAATATAAAATAGACTTCTGATGTGATGACACAATATGAACCAGTGGAGTGTTTATAAAACGTCAAATATTTCAAAAAGAGTTATGTCCAGAAAGGTGAATTTAATGTGGACTTTATTAAATCTATGTAGGATTGAAATATTATGCTAAGGCTCAAACATAGTAAACCTCCATTGGTTAACACCCTTTAGCAAGATAGAGAAAACAAGACAGGCATTAGAAAAAAAGCATTGTAATTTTCATAAAATAACTCACTCTGGTTTTGGGACAAGGTCAGAGCTGTTGCTTCATCCAATAACTGGATTTTGTTTTCCTCAAAAATCTGTTCACTATTAAATGGATTCCTTCTCACCTTTAAAAGAGAAAAAAAATGACAAACTTAACTTCAACAACACTAAGCAACATTACGTAACATTGATTTTTTTTTTTTCCTACTCCGACACTGTGTACCTACTTTCATTCGTGCTGATGACACAACTGTTGGAGCATCACTTAAGGTTTTATAGAAATGATCAATTTCATGCCTGTCCAGAAGAACACAAGAAAAGTGTTAATCTTTTGTGATAGCTCCATCCATTCATCCATCCATCCATCCATCCATCCATCCATCCGTCCATCCATCCATCTATTCCGTCCGTCCGTCCGTCCGTCCATCCATCCATCCATCTCCCTTCAGAATGTCTTTTCGTCTTCTCCAGGCGACATGCCTGGAATATCTCACCAGGCATTTTGTTGATCTCATCCTAACAAAATGCCCAAATCACCTCAATCAACTGATTGAGGTGATTTGGGGATGTTGAGGAGCAGATGCTCTCTGATAACCAAGCTCCGCACCCTATATATCGCCTGTATATGCAATCTCATTCTTTTGGTCACTACACTGAGTTCTTGACCATAGATGGGGGTAGGAATGTAGATGACCATGTTCTGTCAGATCAGCATACCCTGTCAGATTAACATATGCATTGCACAAACTGACAGTTGTGTCTGTCTGACAAGTATGTGCTGTGGTTACAACTTGCTTTTGTTTAATCAGCAACATGACGCAGAAGTTAGATTGTCATGAACATTGTTAAAAAAGTGTATTTGTTATTAGTAGCAAATTGAACTGATAGAGTGATATGCGTATGTCGTTCTGACAAGGGTAGAATATTTTCTACAGGTTGGGAATAAGTTTCTGCCCCAAGTGAAGACGTCGAAGTAATTTGTCTTGTCCACAAATGAGGGAAAAATTGGAGCGGGAAATTGTGTTGATGCAGATGCACCAATGTGCGTCTGGTACCCTCCTACCCACCAAAGACTCTGCAAGGGACATTCACCCCTGGAGCCTTGCCACCTAGGAGCTCTTTCATCACTTCAGTACCAGAGACTAGAGAATCTGACCCGAAGACCCTACACTGAGCTTCCTCTTCGTTTTATGGAGTTCACAAGAACAAAGTTAATAGGATATTTCATACTTCAGAAGAATTCAAGAGAATTTCTTGTAAATCTTCCTTCTGGCACCATTTGTAGATCACAACTGTCACCACACAAATAAAATATCCTATTCAGATTTGTCAAGGACAAGCTGCAAGAACTCAAGAATAATGCAGTTTTGTTTCTCTGACTATATGTCTTGTGGTTAAACTGGCCAGTACTTCTGTAGTTCTTTATCTACTCGAGAGAACACCCAAGTACTTTGTAGTAAATTCATTCAATAGTTCAAGCACACATTCGCATCCAGAATATTTATAGTTTGCTACTGTGCAAGTAAATTTGTTTCAGTGTTTTAAAAGTATGTTTTTCCTTTTTCTGTACTATAAGTATTACTGTATTGCTAGTACAGGCCAATACTTATTTAGCTGGTATGAGCTTAACAGAAAAGCTGTGCATACCTGAAAGGAGCTTGAGATCTTTCTTTTTCAGTCGTGAAAAATACCATCATGTGATAGTTCTAAGAAGATTATGAAGAACTGTTGGAGCCATTCATCCCTGAGCTATGTTAATTTACCCCTTAAGTCAAATCACAATCAAGCAAGCATGCTGATCATAGCATGCTGGGCCTCCATCCATTACTACAGGAGGCTGGTACATGAACAACAATTAACCCATTTTAAGTGTTAGAAAGAAGAAGTTACACTGTATGATTATGTGACGTAATGATAATAAAGAGGACCCATTAACAGAGGTCAGTCTTTTCAATGGAAGGTGCTGCATTGGAGAGGATCTCCTTATGAAACAGCTCCCATCTGGCCCTTACCCCTCACCTCTGCTCCTCATGTACACACACCCATGCACAAGTGCACCCGCACAAATTCACGCATGCGGGCGCGCACACGCACGCATGTACAAAGTGGGGTGAAAAACTTTTGCCCACTTCCTTATTTCCTTTCTTTTGCATGATTTTTCACATTTAAGTATTTCAGGGGTAAGGCAAGGTTAGGTAATTTATATAGCACATTTTCAGCAGCAGGCCATCAAACCAATTTAAATCCTTGTATAATTTTTGTAATTCAGCATTAAATGCAATAGCATCTCAATAGGATTCAGGTCAGGACATAAACTAGGCCACTACAAAGTCTTATTTTGTCTTGTCATTTTTAGAGACTCACCGATCTGTTATTAATAACTGTAACAGTCTGATATTGAAAAAAATTCTAGATCGAGTCTAGATAATATGCCCTATTCATTAGAGCCCATATTTTTTTTTCCTTTTTTATGTTAAAATATTGTAAATCATATAAAATATGCATATATATTGTACATTTTCAGACTTATTTGAAATTAATTTAATTGTCACAAAACATTAAATTGTATTTTATTTTGAAAAATCAACCCTGTCGGTGCGATTCCCTACACACCCCTTTTTTAAGGGGCGTGAAGAGAAAACCTAAAAATCATTATTGTAAAGGGCTTTCTTGGGTATTTACATGACTTTAATTTTGTTTTAGGACAATAAGTTTCAAGTTTTAAGTAAGCACATGGCTGATTAACATCTCCAACACGTCACTGAACACAATGATAAAGGGTGTTAGAAAAAAAAGGAAAAAACATACTTCAGAGATAACATTTATAATGTAGATATTGGAATGAAAACAATGCCAAGATTTCAAACAAACATGCTTGAGACTTAATCATATCGGAATTCCTCCTACGTGATGGGAGGAATTTATATCTAGAGGAATAACTGTTGGTGTGTCTTAAAACTATACATTTGATGCAAGTTGTTGCTCACCCATCAGTGTTGAGCTCCAGCTTGGGTTCTTCACTGCAGAGAGCAGGCAGGTCAAACGCTTCTCTTTTTTCACTGGTTACAAAACTGGACTTTTCAGACATTATGTGAGAGATCTCATCTACAAATGCACAGCTTGAGTTAAAAAGTTTCTCAATTATTATGACACACACAGTGTAATATTTAGGCATTTATGAAAGCAAATCCACAACAATGTACACCTTTGCTATTTGTTTAATTTATGGTATTGGTTCACCTCGATGTTCAATTCAGTTCATTGCAATTTATTCATGGTATGTATTTAGCACCATATATCATCTCAACATTTTCTAAAGAAACACAGCTAAATATATCCAGTCAGTCTTGCAGAAATGATTGGGTAAGGAGGTGAAATGTGATGGAAAGTGTGTTGGTCTACTTACGAAAATGACAATGGCAGTTTCACATCACACTGTGTAAAACAAACTAAGACCTTTGAGAAACTCATCTTTGCAAGTAAGATCCAATTGAATTTGAATCTGCTTGCATGAATTAATTGGATTCATTCATGTAAAATATTAATATATTAGGCATTCACTAAACCCTAATATGTCTGTATATTAATTGGATTTTCTTTTATGAAAATGACTCGAGACAACTTTTTTTTTGTGAATTGCCACAACATAGATAAACTGAATTTGAATAAATGCAACCATATTGCCAAAACAAAAGCAGTTTAAGACTCACCTATAGTCAGTGTCTTAGACGTGTGTCTCATGGAGGCCCTGATGACCTCGGGGGCATGGACACACTCTTGATGACGAAGCTGCTTGGTCTCATAGAACCATTCTCCAGTAAGGTATTTTAGCTGAATTTTATCTGCAACAGTCCTCTGTAGGTTCCTAAGTACAGACAAGGTGAAATGAGATGGTGTCCAAAATTTTCTCATTACCCACATCAGCACCTTTCGTGTATTCTAAAAATAAATAAATAAAAACAGTTACGTTTAAACTGAATCCTAAGAAAACCAAAAAGTATTTTCTAGATTTGAGAAATTCCAATCCTTTTAAATGTGTACATAGTACAGAAACCACTTTGCTTAGCATATTTAATATTCTCCTTCTAATGGTTGATTCAGGGGACATTGTCGTCTTATTATTAGATTTAAGTCCAGCGTTTGATACCATTGACCACAACATCCTGTTATTTCGATTGAAGCACTGTGTTGGTCTTAAAACTGGTTCTCATCGTATTTGAAAGACAGACGTTTTTCTGTACAGTGGTGCGTTCATAGCACTGTTGCCATACAGCAAGAAGATCCTGGGTTCAATTCCCAGCCAGGGGTTTTTCTGCATGGTGTTTACATGTTCTCCTTGTGCATGCCTGGGTTCTCTCAGTCCAAAAACATGACTGTCAGGTTAAGTGGTCTCTCTAATTTCTCCACAGGTGTGTGTGTGTGGTTGTTTGTCCTGTCTGTTTCTGTGTTGTCCTGTGACAGGTTGGCGATCTGTCCTGATCTCGGCCGAAACGTTCGCTGGTGATAGGCACCAGTACCCCTCCTGACTCCACCAGGAATAAGGGTGAAAAGAAAATGGATGGATGGAAGTTTTTCTGTTCATCTTGATCACTGTTCCTCTGTGGTAGCACCCCTAAATTATGGAGCACCTCAAGGTACAAATTAAGGCCCTATTTTATTTATTTGTATTTCCTGCCTCTTGGACATATTTTTAAGAAATGTAATATCTCTTTTCAGTGCTTTGCTGATGTGCAAATATATAAACTCCACAAGGATGATTCCTTGCAGTCTTTAACAAACTGCTTAACAGAAGTTAGCCAATGGATGAACCAAAATTTTCTTCATTTAAATCAAAATAAAATTCAAACAATTCTGTTGGACAAAAGAGCCTTATCAGTAAACCTGATAAATTGTTGGTTCCCTCTTCTGTTAGGAATCTTGGTGTCATTTTTGACACTTGCCTTAAATTGGATAAACAGGTGAGCTCTGTTGACAAATCAAACTTTTTCCATCTGCACCTTCCAGCAAAGGTTAAATCTAGCTTCTGTCTTAAAGACTTTGAGAAATTTGCACTATACTTTTAGACTATTGCAACTCATTATATAAAAAAATAAAATTGTGAATAATTTTAGGAAAATAACTTATGAATGTAGCCATAGTCAGTGGATGAATTATAGGACATTGGTTGGAAAAACAGCCACTTCATTAACTACATACAAAGTTAATGAAGTGGATTAACTTTGTATGTAATAGAAAAGTTTGAAAAGGAATTGAATCAACTAACCAGCTTGAAAGTGTCAGGGAGGTAATCATTGACAATTGAGCTGCAGTACAGTTACAGGAGGCTTTTTGCTTCTCAGGTTGAAAAAGCTGGCAGTAACTGTATGGTCCTATTTTGAACCACATAGTGCATGAAATGTTTTACCATCTCTGATGCAAATACTTGGAAGTGTCTTCCATCAGGAATCTTCTGCTAGATTTTACAGAGCAGCTTGCAAGATGATCATGCTGAAAGTTACAATTGACCTCTGATACACCCACATGTTCAGATGCTAGAAGTGCTATTATTTACAAATATTATAATAGCGATGAGGTTGACATGAGAGTTAACCAAGATGTTGGGTTGAAATATAAAAAAAACCTGGATGCAGGGAAGTTGAAGTTAAAGTGACAAAAAAGTTTTTCTCTCTTTAAAGAACAGATTTATTATATTTATCTTGCATAGTTATTCTCTTTTTTCTTCAAATTATACATTGTTTTTTAAAATTTAAATGATATTACCATGAGTTAGTTCAATGCTTCAGTTTGTTTGTACTACATAGGACAGTTCAAACTGGGCTACACACATATTAAGTCAATTATGATGAGCAGGAACTTTTGTCTGCTGTATTTAAGGTATGTTGATGAACTGAACTAAATAATCAGATTTTGATACTCACTGGACCCGTTTCTCCTCAGCCTTTTTCAGCTCGGCATCTCTTTTCAGCACAGACATAATGGTCTTCTTCTCTTCGTCTGTCAGAAAACCTAAGTCGATCATGGTCTCTGCAGTCACCCAATGCACCGTCCTGCGTGAAGTTATCCACTTCAGTTTGACTCAGGTGGCTGGACCTTCCACATAAATTATGTCATAACATTGAAACATAAGCCAATCTACAACAATTATTTTAAGAACCTTGGGTTATAATAATGTAAATATTAATATTGAATGTAATAATTATGCTTCTGGACTGTGAGGTGAAGTTAGATTCTCCATGCAGAAAGACCTCCTTTTTTAGCCTTTTTGACTAAATCAAAGTTTCAATTATTTTGACAACTCTTGTGGAGAGTCCTTGGAACAGTCAGCTCAGAACAGCCACAAGTAGCTCGGGAACCAGAGACTCAGCTGAGCAGCTAGGATCAGTTACATCATACTAATGTCCAAATTCTGACTTCAGACTTCCAAAGTAAAGGAACTGCATGCAGCCTGAAAAAAATGTCAGTTCCAGCTGATTCTTGCCCTGTTAATTTTGCACAGGAACATTAAAAATTAAACAATTTATTTGCCAAAATCATCTTTAAAAACATCCACAGTAATACACTCATCAAGTTTGATTAAACATTTGCTTCCTTATTTATATTAAGTGTTGTAAACACACTGGATGTGATGCACCAGGGGATGCATCTCCATTTGTATTGTAAGTGAGTAAACTTTTATAAGTTCTGCAAATTACCCTTATTTTAAAAATGGGTAAAAGTAATTTTTCAAAAGGTGGAACTAATGCTATTTAGCTGCAGTGATGCTATGATCTTCCAGAGCATCATGTCTAAGCTTACATGTGCAGTGGTGTGATGCAAGTTGTAAACAATCCTGCATAGCATATTAAAAAATAGAAGCACTACATTTATTATAAAAAGGAATGTGGCACGTCCAGTTCCTGAAGTGTGAAGGCCTGGTTGTTAAAAATGGCATCCAGTTTTAAAAATAGCAGTCATTTCCTTGTTTTAATTGTAAGACTTCCCGGAGAGATCAGAATATTCATCTTCGGCTCTAAAGGTTTGTTCATTACCTCTTAAGCCACATTGGAGATGCCACTCTCCACTGTTAGTGTAGCTACTGTTTTGTAAGTTTTCTAGACTTCAAAGATAAGAAATCAAAAACAATTTAAATGTCTTGAAGTACTATTTTGTAACCTTTCCACAGTTATAGAAAGGTTACAGCTATGGTTAATCCCAGTTAATCAGCACTTTTTTGGTCTTTTGTAGAAAACTTTGTGCTCAATAGCTGAAATTGTTTTTGTGAGCAGGAAGAACAATGGCATCAATACTTGTTTGTACAACAAGCAAGTTGGTGAATAACAGCAAGTTGGTGAATAACAGCACAACTAACAATTGGCTGTTCAGAGTAAAACACCATCAGAACTGACAGCTTTAATAACTACTAACTGTTAACAAGAGATGCACTGTCTGAACAACTTATTACTTTCATACAGTCTAAGTTATTATAGGTTTAATTAGAGCAATGCTTTTGAAATATCAGATTTGTAATGTGTGATGTTGCATAGTTTTCTTTTGATAGTGATGGAGTGGAACAGGTAGCACTTTTTTATATTTGAATGTCTACAAAAGTTCAACTATTGCTTCTTTTGCAAATGAATCTTTTTTTAAACTTTCTGTTCTAAAAATTAAAAGGGACATTTAAAGCCATAAAGCATTTCACCGTACAAATTTAATATAACAAAAAACTTACCTTCCTCAGAAGCTCCTTAGTATGTGAAAAGTGAACTACGCTTGGCAGCTGTAGGAGGGAGGAGCTACATGAATAGTTTCAGAGAATGACTGGAAGGACTGCTGCCACATTCTTTCTTTGCACAATGGCACAGACCATAACAAGAACTAGAGCTCACTCTATCAAAACTGAATTTACTCATGTTGTCATTCATTACAGACTCCCAATATAACCTGATTATCTTGCAGCTATCGTTTTTGTATAAGGTTTTGTGTCTTTTTAAATATAACAATGACTTCCACTGATATTAGTCATGTAACCAACACAGCCAGCCTTTAACCAACTTTAGCAATTAAAATAACCACTTATTTTCCACCTCTGTAAACTTTTTCCATCAACTGTAATCTATACTTTGTACTCCAACAACAGCATACATGTATCAAAACCTGAGCCTCAGAAACATGATGTGTGTTATTACTTGTGTTAATGGTTTTCAATTAGCATGGTGATATAATTAACAAAAAAATATGATCATTACCTTCCTGTGCAATTTTGCTCAAAAATATTATCGTTTACAGCACATTCTGGGATTTCTCCCCTTTCCTTGGATTACCACTATGAATCCAAGAAAAGGAGCAAAAGAGAAAATAACGTAGGACAAGCAGCTAGTTATTACCAGTCTAACATTTTTAAGGCCTCACTGTGCATGATACTTTCAGAAAATAGGGCTGAAACAATTCCTTGAATAATTTCGGTACCTCAAATACTAAAAATCCATAAGGAAAATTGTCTCCTTTGTTAAATATATTGTAATAAATTCATTGCAATCTTGAAACTGGCCCACTGTCTCTTTAAAAAGCTGCAGTTCTTTCTGACACTCCTCCTTCAGCAGGTGTTTGCTAGTTGTTTCTAGCAGTATTCTAGAGGAGTCAAGTAGGGGAAAATGTAGAGTAAGGGCGTCCTGTAACTCGGAAGCTTGGACATTACAGCACCAAGGAGGAGACGTGTGGAAAAGGTGGCACTCAGTGGGAGCAAGAACTTAGGCCCCCGAATGACTACCAGGGGAGATTTCAGGATTTCTCTAAAAAGCATAAAATAATCAAAGTAACACTCCAAGAATCAAAAAAGTCAGTTTTACATAATACTGGTCCTTTAAGCTGTTTTTATGTAATACAAGCTTTGAACGTGTTTTACACCACTTGAAACACGTTAGATAATGATTAGGAGAGACTTTTCATCTTCTTAAAGGTAAGGGCAGCTTCAGTAAAAAAAAAAATAAATTCTTCATAACAGAATACAAATTTTTTTTAAGATTAAGCAAATTTTATGAATAGAATTTAGAATAATAATTTAAAAAAAATCAATGGGTCTTGAATGAGGGGTTTACGCCACTATTTGAACATGGAACATTTGATGTTCCATGTTCACTGGACCCTGTGTGTCCGCTTTCTACCACATCAGATCTGGTTTCCATATGGAAGATGGGACAGTTACAGACCTGCTAATCCCCTGAGACTCTTTTAAAAAGCCCTTCTAATGTGAAGGGAATTCGAGGAGTTGGAATCAAAATCTAGGGGTTGTATTCTGCAATTCTGCAGCAGTTAACAGCCCCACCAAGCAGTTTGCCTGCTGCTGTGCTGACTGAAAGCCACCATACACAAAGCTTGACAAGTTTCTTGCAGAGTCTGTGTCCTTGGTTTTGCATTCCACAACTGGTCCCAGCAGAAAGAAACTTCTCAATCGTCAGACCAAGACCACTGGAGTGATGAGAAGGTAATTAGGCCCCTCTTTCCCCCGCACCTGAACACAACTACCTCTGCCACCAGACCTCTTGCAGCGACTAACCATTTGTGAGCCAGATTGGGCCAAAAGGATATGAGTGGGAAACTTCAAAACCTGCTCATATTTCTGAGGAGGTGAAAGGATTTGTATAACGCATTCAGATTTGATGGATTTTCCCATGTTCCATGTGGACAGCCGTTTTTTGTTGACATCTTCAAATAATGAGGTCCTTATGTGTAGGGTTTGTTTTTCAGCTGTGGTGCAGGGTTCTGTTTCTAGTTGTCAGGTGGGGATGCTGTGCAAACCATTCCCTCGTCTGTTCCAGGCTTATGGAGAAGGACTGACTTGCTGGCTTCCAGGAACCACAGTAAGTACTTTGATTGTCGCCACAGTCAGGGAGGAACAATCAGCTTTAGAGCAGTGTGTATCTTGATTTTACTGATATCTACCTTATTTATGAACGGCAATGATATATGAAGATTTTATGGTGCAGTGATATTTTCCAAGGAAAGCTTTACCTATGTAATTTTTTAAATTACTATAGCTATCAGTAAAAAGTGAAGACGAATGTACAACAAATCTAAGTCAGAGTTGAAAGAAAGATATTTAACTGCTTTGACCTGAGCTCCTTGGGAAAGTGAAGGTTTGTTTGTGTAATTTACCACTCCGACTAACATGAAAATATACCATTGATCGCACTCTAGTCTCAGCTGACAGGAAAAGACGCTTGTGCTTACATTTGATTTTTATTGTGTTACAGGTACTGAAATGGAACATACATTTTGGATTTTTTTAATTCTTTGCCAGATCTTTTCAGTGGGAGCTCAGTTCAATGGATACAACTGTGATTCCAACTTCCATAGTCGCTTCCCTGGTGAGACACTGGAAAGAAAAACTATTTTATTTTATAGAAAATACCAAATTACTTAAAGTAAATCGCTGAATCATTGTATATTTTTTAATACATTCTTTAATGTCACATGTTTTAGAATGTAGGAAACAACACATTTCTTTTTACATTTCACAATCTAATGTGAATGTGCAGTGAAGAAGATGGCTGTGGGTTTGATATGTGCAAAAATTTAATGTGCAAAACAAAATGCTAAGTATTTTTGATGTCTTTCAAAATGTGTATGTGTGTCTTTCAGCTGAGCGGGATATCAGTGTGTACTGTGGGGTTCAAACTATCACTCTTAAGGTCAACTTTTGTCCAGTACTTTTCTCTGGCTACACTGATTCAGATTTGGCTCTAAATGGTCGTCATGGAGATGCACATTGCCGAGGATTTATTAATAACAACACATTTCCAACTGTTGTGATCTTTAGTATTAGCTTGGCAACATTGGAGTCATGTGGAAATGCCCTGGTGGTAAGTAGAATACAGTTTAACAGTCTAAATTTTGTACATAAGGTTATTTAGAATGTAAGGCTGAAATAAAAATAAAACCCAAGAATAGAGCTGATTACATTTACACACCCCTTCATGTAAAGGAAAGCAATTGCTTTTATCAATTTAATCATACCTAATTTGCATTTTTGTGAAACTGCATTATCATTAAGCTCACAGATTTATTTTGTATAAAAGTGCTTTTCCTGATGATGTTTCCTTCAACACAGGTGTCCACAGCTCAGGGACCCAATGCCTATGGAAATCTCTCTCTGGTGCAAATTGGAAACATATCAGGTTATATTGATACCCCAGATCCACCTACTATCATCAGCTATCTCCCAGGTTTACTCTACAAATACAGTTGCAGTTATCCTCTAGAGTATCTGGTCAACAACACACAGCTGGCCTCGTAAGTCTCATGATCTGTGATTCACTTCTTCTAGAGGTCTTAGAAGAAGGCTAGAAGTTCTAAGAATATTAAATGTTATAGTCCATCTGACATTTCATATCACTTTTTATTAGAAAAGGCAAGAGTGAACTCAACTTACTTTTAAAGTAATATACTTAAGACTGTATTGGACTCTATATTGGAATACAATCAGAGGTGCACCCAAATAGCAACTGCAAAATGTTAATACTACAGTTTTAAGAAATTAAATAACTGAATTACTGTATACATTATGTCAAAAATAGTTATCGAAAACTCAATAAGATGGAAAAACTATGATGTCTGCATCAACATCGTTGGTTTTAGTTTTATGATGAAGTATTTTGTTTTCTTTCATGAAAGGTCATCAGCTGCAATCTCAGTGAAAGAAAGCAATGGTACATTCATCAGCACGCTGAATCTGCTGCTTTACAATGTAAGTTCAAATAGTTTTTCACAATATGGTCAACTCTTTTCTTGTGTCACACATACTTTTTGCGAGAGTTCACGTTGATGCATGACAAGACACAAGTTTCCTAAAACTTTTTCTGCATCTATACATGGTTTTATTTTTGATTCTTCTTACCCAAAAAACTCAATTCTGAGATTAAACTGAACAATTAAGAATTAGTGATGGAGCTGACTGGTTATGTAAGGTGTGTTTGAACACAACAAATTGTAATATTCGGCTTGATTAAAGCAGAACTCACAAAGAAACACACAAGGGGGATCTTGTTCCAGGTAAAGGTTAAAAGTGTTACCAGAATCAGTTTGATAAAAAACAAATGTTCACCCACTCAGTATGAAATTAAAGGTTTGCACCAGAAATAATTTATTCAGAAACCCAAAATTTGAATAGTTAATCAACCTAAATCAACATCAAAACCCCCCCAAAATATCAAGAGTCTGATTTGCCTTGTCAGGCCGATTCACAAACCACACTTAAAAAAATAGAAAATCCCAAAAGTCCTGTTCCTTTTTTATATTTTTGTCCATAAAGGAGTCCCATACTTCCAAATCTAACCACGACCTGGAAGCGTCGCTCCGTATTAATCCCCGTCTTCTTCCCCAAGAAAAATCCAAAACGTCAAAAAAGAACCCCAAAAAAGATGAGAAAAAAGAAGAGTGGTACCACCCAAAAAACCCCCCAAAAGAAAAATAAAGTCCAGATCTCACCGGGAGCGTCCCTTTCCCCCCCGGTGTTTCCTCCATGGACTGTCGTCGTCCTTCTGCACCGGGCGGCGTTCCCTCGGTGCACCCTCCGGTCCAGGCTTCCGGGCCCGATCTGTGGCGCTGGGACGAACCTTAATCGAACCTTAATCGATGTTTTATCTTTTTGTTACTTTTCTTTGGATTAAACAGACACTAAGGATAAGGCCAAAACTCCCGCTGCACAGATCGACACATGAGCGTCTTTCTTACTGATTGCGCCGCGCCTTTCGGCGCACACGCCCCCTTTTTATCACCAATTCCCACACACCTGGCACCAAACATGATTTACATCAGTTTTTTAACAGTGGAACTTCGACATTTTTTTTCTTATGTTTTTATTTATAATGAAATCCACAACTGTTCCACTAGACAGCTTGGCCTTTTTAACATTTATTATAGTTGCTGAGAAAATCAAAACATAGTGGTTATGTTACAACATGACAGGAAGAAGATCTGAATGTGATTGTTCTTTCTTTATAGGACTCATCATACATTCAGCAGCTGTCCATTCCTGTAGCAGGACTGACCCTGAAGACACGGGTGTTTGCAGCTGTCAAAGCCACCAACCTGGACAGGAGGTACTCACATGTCAACCAGACATGAAAACAAGTGTTCATTTTTATCATTTTTAATTTCCCACTAGTGTTAATGGATTTTTTTTTTTTTTTTGCACAGTTAGTCTCCCTCTTATGAGATCAATTTTATTACAATATTTTAGAGACAGGTTATTGTCACACTATCAACCTCAGATGCAGGACCTTCTCCCTGGAGGTTGATTTATTGTAGTTGATGACACCATCACCATAGTGGAGCCATCAACAAATTTAACAATGTTAATGTTCACTGTTGTTAAAGAAGAGCAGAAGAAGGGACTAAAGACAGTTTTGTGCCAATATTTAAGTATAAGAGTGGAGGAGATCTGGTTCCCCAACCTCATATTGCTTGGGAAGTCCAGTATTGGGGTACACAGTGAACTACTGATACCATGGTACTGCTTTAAATTCTGAATTATTATTACTGTTGTTCAGTAAAGTTAATAGTATTAATAAATAAATAATACAGGTGGCCGAGGGTTAAATGGAGAGCTTTACACTGCAAAAAAAAAGTCTCTAATTTACAGTGGTTGTGGTTCTTCAGTTGCCAGAATCTTGTTAATTAGAGACAATTTTTTGGGTGTGTGGCATTCTCTATGAACCTGTTTCCTCTGAATGTAAACCAATGTAGATCAAGGGCAACAGAAATAGACATTTTTTTCTGATAGAGGGGCCTCTATCAACTTCTAGAAACTTCTATCAACTTCTATATATATATATATATATATATATATATATATATATATATATATATATATATATATATATAGTATATATATAATATATATATACATATATATTAGAGACAAAAACACACATATATATATATATATATATATATATATATATATATATATATATATATATATATATATATATATATATATAAATATATATATTAGAGACAATATATATATATATATATATATATATATATATATATATATATATAATATATATATTAGAGACAATATATATATATATATAGTATATATATATATATATATATATATATATATATATATATATATATATATATACATATATATATATATATATATATATATATATATATATATATAGTAAAGCTGCTTGTTTCCATGGTATGTACACTGTATTTTGAAACAACTAGTTTGTAATTTGGATACATTTTGAAAAAGTTTTGTCTGCATTGACAATGATATATTTATGAATGAATGTCTAGACATGAGTACTTGTTGATTAATTTCAAATTTGCAAGTGATCAGCTCGACTTATGGTACAGGTATATTTGACAAAGACAGCATTGTTCCAGCAATCAGTGGCTTATTTTCTCTGTTACTAACAGATAAGAAAATTCATTGTATTTCCTCCCATCTCTTAGTCAAAAAAAAAAAAGAAAGAAAAAAATCCATGGAGGACTCGTACTCAGATGAAAATAAATGCAAGAAATAAAATCTCAGCTTCTTAAATGTATTAAAGACACTTCTATAAGAAGATCAAATATGATATTAGTTTTGAAAAATTGTGACATTGCTATGTTTTATGATCAATAATAATTCATTAGTACTCCTTTCTATCCCTCACTAACACAAACATTACTTCAGGATGAATTTTCTCAGTCAAATAAATAATATTTTACTATTAAACAGATGGAACGTTCTAATGGACTACTGTTACACTACACCCTCTGGGAATCCGAATGATGAGCTGCGCTATGACCTTTTCTTTAGGTAACTTAAAGTATTAAAAAAAAATGTTTTGATACAGTTCATTTGATAACTTTAACTTGCCCCTTTTATAATTATCTTTTATAACGTTTTGTTTCCTGAGCCAGCTGTGATAAGGACCCACAGACCACTGTCCTTGAGAATGGGAAAAGCCAAATGGGTCGCTTTGCCTTTGAAGTATTCCGTTTTGTCAAGCACAAGAATCAGAAGATGTCCACTGTTTTTCTCCACTGTGTTACCAAGCTATGCCGCGCAGATGACTGTCCAATGCTCATGCCAGTGAGACAAACAAAAAGCACATATGCACAGACACATTGGAAGAGTGTTTAAACAAAGTGTCGTTACAGATTTTTTAAAAGGGAAAAATATATGAGTGGGAACCTTTTCAGCATCCAACACATTCATCTGATGTTTAGCATTAGTCTCCAACCCTGGTCCTCAGTGTCCACTGTTGGGATGTGTCAGATATTCATTAGCCTAAATAGCTTTTACTCAAAAGGACTCATCAAGAGAATGTTGAAGAGCTGTATTTAAGTTTATATGAGGTTGAATGAAGCAGTTTCACAGGATACAAACAGTAGCAGAGTTCAACAGTACTTTCTATTTAATTGGTCTCATGTAAAACTGAGCCAAAGCAAAATTATTAGCATATTTATTGACATTTATGGATTCATTACAAGTGTTTGAAGCCTATATTTTTTGTGATTTTGATGTTATGTAGCTTTATGTTATGAAAGCTAAAGTTTAATCAGAAATACTTTTATAACAAATTTATGTCAGATCATGATTTTGTGGTTAATGTCAAGTTGTCATAATGAAGACATTTTGAATAATGTCAAGTTTGTATTAAAAGTGTCATGATTTACCATATGACTCTTTATGACAACAATCATAAGTATTCATGAAGACTTACTAATGTTTGTCATGTTTATGACGGTGTCATGACAGTCTTATTTACAACAAGTTAAATAAAGTGTTACCAAAAGGACCAATACTCCCTTTGAAATACACAGAAGTTGCTGTGAACTTTAAATTTTCTGAATAAACATCATGGAAAGCCCTATATTTATGTTAAGATGTTATTGGGATTCCTGACTATAGGGACAACAAATTATTTTACATTTTCTATTTTCTGATGTAGAAAAAACATTTAACTTCACTACCTTTAAAAATTAAAAAAGAAAAAAAAATTGCAAAATTCGGCCAATTGATAAAAATTATAATCCTAACATTACAACTGCAAAGAGAACTGATGTTTAGCATTAGTTCTAAACATGAGTAGGCGTGTACCGATTGCAGTTTTCTGGCCAATCGCCGATTACCAATCTTTTAAAAAGCCTAACATACAGATTCCGATTTTGGCCGACACCAATTTTTTGTCTGAAATGTTGCTCAATATATAAAGAAAATTGCTGAATTGGCAAAAATGGGGTGACTATTGTTAACTGTAAATGTGCAGGCATGACCTGGTCGGCCAGTTTGTCTGTCATGGGAGAAAAGACAAGCACAGTGGTTGATTTTTAGACCTTTGCCGAAGTCGATACATGGATGGATAAGATTGGGTTCACATGTAAAAATCAGCTGATTACCGATCTTCCAAAATTAAAGAAATCAGTACCGATAAATTGGGTGGCCAATAAATCAGTGCACTCCTAGAACTGAGGGGAAAAGTTGCGGTTTCAGCTTCCAAGCATCCATCTGTTTGAAGCTCCTGATGGGACTGCTTCATGTAACGAAGCACAAAACACATAGAAAACAGTGGCTGTCTTTACAAAGAGAACATATTTTATTATTATCAAACAATAGTTGCTGAATCACATTAAATTTGAATTCAAAAATACTTTAGTAACTGCAAAGGGAAATTAAAGTAATTAATTCAACCACATTTATCACACCCGTTTGTCTTAGTGACCACAGTGAGTGATTTTTTTATGTGCTTTTTGTCATAGATCTGTGGCAGCAAGAAAAAGAGAGCTATTTCAGAAGGAAAACAATCAAGCAAGTCATCAGGAAATGCTGTTCTGACTGCGGGGCCCATCATCACTCGAAGTGGTACAGACTAGTCTTCATCCTCAATAATTTTAGCAATCAACCTGTTCTTCTTTGCGAAGAAGGAACTCTCCAATAAAAACACAAAGGCTTGTTCTAAACAGTGCACTTTAATGTGATTTCAACTAACTGGAACAAAGTTCATTGAAGATGTATCTGTTCCAGATAAATTAATGAGGGTAGTCTTCCTTATGTCTTGGGCCTCTCTAACAGCGTTGCTCATTTGTGCCAATGGTACTCCCAGAAAGTTTAGAAAAAGTGGTCAACAGGTGACGTCTGAAAATCTTGGGGTACCATATTTAAAGCAAAATACATGAATATAAATAATTTCATGGTTATGGATAGAGTCTGCAAATTTGAAGTGGCTGCCACATCACTAAAAAAGAAATCTCATTGTTTTGGACTGTATGTATGACTAGGTTTTATGGATGAATCTAACTGTTAATAAGCACTGTTAAAGCAGCATTTTGAGGCAAAGAGCTCATGCTATTATAACTACTGAGACACTTTACATTTTCAATTAAAAGTATATACCTTGTCTAAAAATGTTGTTCGTTTAGCTTCACTGCTTGAATGTAATTACCTATTATTTTTTTATTCACAGATCAAACACCAAGTAATAATTCTCAGCTGGGTAAGCACTCCAATTTGTGTTATTGCTTTGACTTAAACTGCTTAATAGGTTTTAATTTGAAGATTAATTTATGACACATTTAGAGAATAAAATCAACTAAATGTTAATAAGAATGATGTACATTATGAAACAAAGAGGACCATAAAATATAACTTACTGTGTTATGTATGTATGTAATTTCATTTACATACATGTCTCACTCCCAAGCAGATTCTAAAAATTTTACTTTTAACCGTACCGCAGAGTCATTTCAATTCATTATGGGGTCTTGAACTGATATCCCAGAAATCTAATTATACTTTTTCAAAAATCAAATGAAAACCTTGCCAGTGGCCCATTTGGTTGTTTTATAACAGAATTAAAATGGAAGCCATCAACAGTTGAAAATACTATTGATGATTACCTTGTCTACTGGTTTTAAAAGGGTGGGGAATGGGTTGTATATCATCTTATAATGCATGTGTTGTTTTACACATGCATTATAATAGAAAATCATCATGCTGATGTTTTAGCAAGAGCAAGTACAGAATGTGTGCATGAAATATGAAAAGGGTTAACAACTTGTTTGTTTCTTTCCACTGCTGCAGCTCTTCTGAATGCTCCAGAGTTTCACATGGACACAGTGACCAGCATACTCATCTCAGGAGTGATCATTCTGAGTGTTATAAGCATTTGCTTCTTCCTCTTCTCCCTAGTGCTCCCAAAAGGCAGGAGTTCTCCTGTCACTACTGTGTCTGGTGTCCGAAACACGGCCTTCAATTAATCTCTGGAACTCAGCTGAATGTTGGTAGATAAGCCAACACTCAGCAAGTGGACACAAGAGACAAGATACTTTTTCATATAGGTGTTTACAAGAATAATACAAATGTTAATTTAGAAAACCCAGAGGGCCCCGATGTCCACAGGCACCACTGTGTGTGTGTATATATATATATATATATATATATATATATATATATATATATATATATATATATATATATATATATATATATATATATATATATATATATATATATACAAAAGCATATAGATTCGCAGACATATGAAAATAAGGGCAAATATACAGCATAAAAACAGACTTTATAGACTATGTCTAACTGTTAATAAAGTAATTAATGAGGGTAGTCTTCCTTATGTCTTGGGCCTCTCTAACAGCGTTGCTCATTTGTGCCAATGGTACTCCCATTCTGAATTTTCTCTTTTCTGAACTGAAAAGAGAAAATTCAGTTCAGATTCAATTTCATATGATGTTGGTCTGCACACGTAAAACCTAACTAAGTTAGAGCTTTAAAAATGAAATAATGGACAAAAATATAAATGATAAAAAAAGATGATGGTTTCATTTTAAATGTATGTAACAAAACGATAAGGTGTGGGTAGGATGAGATAAAATACATTTTATGTAATTTTTTAAAAACTAATTTTTCCTTCATTTCTTTCAAAATCTGTTTACATTCCCTTAAAATGTGTAAGCCTTGTTGTAGCCATAAGCCAATCTATTTTTATTTTTAAGTGTAAAAGTATCCAATTAATTGTGCATCTTATTCTCAAAATTGTTCATAAAATATTGACTGCTTATGCTGGTAATGTACAAACTGTCCACTGTGCAAGTTACATATGTTGCACTGACTAAAACTTGCTGTTATATTTCAAATCAGAAAAATAACTGAATTGGATCAACAAAAGATTCAGTTCTGAAAACTTAGAATTAAATAGAGAAGATTTAACAAGTTATTTTTTATTCTTATTACTTTGCAGTTTTTGATTCTATGGCCCCAGCGGAAAAATTGAAAATTTGTGACACCATATTCCTTTATCATCTCAATGATGTCAACAAGAGGGGTCCAGTGCTATGAATGCTGGGAGATGCAGTTTGATCAGTTTGCTTCAGAAGTCCTTTGGAAGGCCACCAAGATCGTTGGAGATCGGCAGCAGCACCCCTCACAGCCCCACTAGGAATGAGTGTATGTGTATGATGGATGGATAGACGGATGGAAGTCCACCAATACAAAGCTAAAAATTGAACAAATTTGCAGTCAGAAATGAAATTTTGTTTAATCTAATTACACCAGATCTACACACACGATAACTTACTATAACTCCAGCTCAGCACAGCCAGGTCAGTAATTATAGAATTTTAAAAAGTAAAATTAAATATCAAAATCTCCTTCGTGTTCCGTTTTTAGATCAGCTGCAAGTTCTTAGAGAACACTTACATATAATGCATTGAGGTATTCGTCGCATAGAAATAATGAAAGGAGTCAATAAATTGCATACTTCTTCTCTGATGACTTTGAAGAAGTATTCAATCTTCTTCAACGTCAGAATAAGACTTCTGACTTTGAAGTCTTCTTCTTACTTCAAAGTTCAACAAGTGAACTGACCAACATGTGGTTTCCAGCATGATTTATTGTGACTCCAAAACAATTAGTGGAAAGAATTACTAATGTATCAAATGAGCTTTTCAAAAATAATTACTAATGATTTAGTAATCATCAGTAATTATCAATTTCTTGTGATCTGATGAAAATGAAAGCTGGTCTATTAAATTCAGTGTGTCTTCACTAGTCTGGGGTGTAGTGTTAGAGGAGCAGTCACATTGTAAGAAAGAAGCTTTAAATGAATTACAGGCTGGAGAGACAAGAAACAAATCACAGAACTCAAGTCTTCTGAAACACTTTTCTTAAAAGATCTGTCCACTTTGCCATCGCTGTGCCCCTTATAAGAGCATAAATGAAGTTATAACATTTTATAGTGAGATTTGTGTTTGATACATTTTTGAGTCTGAAACAATGAACAGAAAACTTGCGTCATTGGCCACATATCACTGAAGTGAATTTATACTTATTTCAATCTTTTAAATATGCACTCAAACAGAAAGATGTGCGTGTGTGTGCACGCGCAGCTGTGCATGTGACAGATTACCATTCTTCAACTCAATAAACCACTTTTAAACACTGCTCAAATGAAGAAAAGTGCTGTTTATTTAGGTTAATTGACACAGAATATAAAGTACAAAACAGAATACAACATACGCATAACTTATTTAAAAATATACCCAGGTTTGGTTAAAATGTCCATTCCACTTCAACAGTGACAGGTAAGTTAGTTTGCAGAAGAAAATACATTCAAATACCTTTTCATAGTGATAGGGAAAGATAATCATCTCTATTTTCAAAGGGTCAAAGTGGATTTCAACTATCAACTTCCAGTTCACTGGAACTTCTTCTACAAAATAGATGTAACTGCATTTGGCTGTACTGAGCTATTTGTGCTCCCACTTCATTGTGTTAAACTGATACAAACTGAAAGAACTGATTCCAAATTCAATATTTGTAAGAATTTCACACAATTATGCCCAGCTGTGACATTTTTCCTTTTTGAAAACTACATTTTGTGACATTATTGTTTGGTCGAATATGTGCTGGTTACATGTGACCTAGTATGTGGCACCTTCACTAAGTTGTGGCAGTGTAGTTGTCTTAGTGCTGCTGTGTTGGATTTGTAGCCAACAGTGGAATGACTGACTACTTTCATGATGTAAATTTTAACACAAAGCCAAACATTCAGAACAAAACCTAAACTGTCCACTGTGACTGCTGCAAAGAAATGAAATTGCTCTTTTTCTAACCTTACAGTTCCAAATATGTTCTTAAATTATGTTTGTTTTGTATTTTCAGTCCTTGCCTCTTCTGTAACTTTCTAACCTCCTTTGAAAAACACATTTCATGCAAGTTAATGTGAAAAACATAATTTTTAGCCCCAAAGATTCAAAATTCAAAAATTAGGGCACATTCACAATGAATACATGTAGTGTGCTGTCTGAGAATAAAATTTGTTCATAAGAGTTCTCTGTCATGCAGCACGCAGACCTGGTTTTATGAAAGAATGATCATATGACAGAGTTATGGGAAAGTAATGTTGAAATGAATGTTTTTGAGCAAAACATTTTAACATCAGGCAACAACTGAGTGACTGAAGGAACATGTATTCAAGTTATGTATATTTATTAAGCAAAAAAGCTTTTCAAATCAAAATAACACTCTGAAATAGTAAAGTGTTTTGCCACATTACACATCAAGGCCCGACTCTTGTCAGACCTGTAGAATTAGAAAATCACCTAAATAAAACATTCTGGCAACAAGCACCAGGTGGATATAAATAATAAACACATACTATTTTCTAATTTGCCCCAAATTCCAGAAAGTCAGCAAACAGTCATTGGTATATCAGTTTGGAAGATCTTACAAATTAAGACTTTGAGACTCTACTAAACCACAGCTGGACCTATTAATGACTAATTCAGAGAATATGGAACAACCAGGAAACACTATAAAGAATGTCATAGCTGCATCTCTAGTTATATCAGAACTGACAAAGCATTAAAAAAGCAACATCACTCCATTGAAACAAGGTGATGTGATGGTCTGGGGATGCTTTCTTGTTTCACCTGACTCACCATATTTTATGGTGCTCTTTAATACTTCTCTTTAACAGAAAATCCTTTAGAGGAATGTTATTAAAATGAAGGCTTTTAAATGATCTAGCCAACTATGAAGTGAAATCAACTCAGGTGGTCGGGAGTTACTATAAGCATGCTAATTTTGCTCTAAATTGTACAACTTGACTAAATTAAAACCTTTATAGAAAAAAAATAAGGGGTGGCCAAAGTTCTTCTTCAGAGATTTAAAGATTTATTACCAGTTACTGGAATTACTGATGACAGTTTTTGGAGCCCAAGGGGCAACAGCTGTGATACCTTCCTGGAGGAAGAAATTAGCTGAGATAATGCTTCCATCAACTTCCTCTCCTGCTAATAACTTACTTTCATAAAAATGAAAAACAATCCTACATTAGCTCATCTGTTTCTTTTTTGTGTCCCTGCTGTGTCTTCTCAAACTCCCAGTGGGTTGTGGCAGAGGGTCGTTTGGACTAAGCCAAGTTTTTCTGGAGGTTTCTTCTTATTAAAGTTCTTCCACTCCACTGTTGCTCCATTCATGCTCAGTATGAGGGAATGCTGTTAAATCATCATCACAGTACATGTGATTGTTGCTACATGCTGGTCCAGAAAGAGTTAATACTGCAAGTCAATGACTCGATGTCATCTGCAGTGTTTCATTACACAGAAACTTTTTAAACTTCAGTGAATAACTATTTAAGCATACAGTACTGTTTGATAACTAGGATCAGTTGGAATATATTTGTGATTAAATTGAAAAGAGATTTTGTAAAGTCCTTTGAGATGACATTTAATGTGAATTTGTGCTATTTAAATAAAACTGAATTCAATTCAATTCAATTGAAATGAAATGAATTGAATTGTGGGCTGTGGTGTGGTTGGTAGAAACTAGAAGGTCCTGGTTTTGTGTCCCAACCTGTTGGTCTTTCTGAATGGAGTTTACAGAAGTTCTTTTTATCTTGTTAAAGGCAGTAATGATTTTGCATATATTCAGGGTATTTTATGTGAAATAAAATGAAGCCTTAAATGTAACTATATTTTCCAGCACTGGATATGCATATGCATTCTATAAGCTTTTAATGCTCATGTTCAAATCTCATCTTCCAATTGGCTGACAGTAAATGGTCTTGCTTGAAAACAAATTGCATTTTAAGGTTAGAGAGGGCAACATGGTGTGGTAATAAAATTATCTGATTAACTTCTCTTTTTTAATTAATGCAAAAATGAATGTATGTATGTACGCATGTATGAATGTAAACATTGCAAAATGACAGGCTGATTTAATTGAATTAAGATACACATACTAATATTTAGAGAAGGTTAAAAGGCTGAACTTCTAAGTCATTTATGATTTGTCATGTTTGTAGCTTTTTAAATTTGTGGTTTTAAGTTGGAAACAACAGACAGAAAGTAAACCTCTGTATGTGAAGGGTTTGTTAAACACTAGTTGATATCAGTCCTGACTGCATATGTGTCTCTAATGTCTAAGATATACAAACACACACACACACACACACACACACACGCACACACACACGACCAAATGCCTTAAAATAAAGCGTAAAGCAGATGTGGTAATCTGTACAATAAATATTGCAAACAACAGTATATACAATTGTTCCAATGCAATTTGTCTGGATAAATTTTTTAATATTTGAAATGGTTACTATACCTTGAAAAAGCGATGCTCTTTCATCTCTATCTTTTCAGAAAGCTGAACAAAACCAGTTGGAAAACTTGTTTGTTGGAAAACTTTATAAAGTCTGTTAGATGTGCTAAAAACACTTGGTACTACAGTTAGTAATACAGTGACTGTATAGTGACTGTAGTAATAGGATCACTAATAATTAAACACAACAACTACTTATTAAACACAAAAGTGTAACAAATAGAACACTTTGACTCAGATACAGAAATCCCAAATGAAATGTATCCGAGTTTGGAGGGGACTTTGCTCCTCAGTATTGTCTAACTATGTACATTTTTTTAAAAAGTGTATATTTAATTCCCTACTACTTTCAAGAATACATTACAACAGAAACCAGTGGAAAAAATATCACCTCTGAAATTGCTTCAGGCCTATTTTTGATACAGAGTTGTACCCCTTGCAATCTTGTTCTTTCTTCAGTCAGGCTAAAATTATAGAATGAAAGGATATTGGATGAAAAGATAAATCAAAATGTCTCAGGACTGAGATGCAGCTCTCACTGTGCAGGATGATTAAGAGAGTTCTTGTGATGAAGCTGCCATTCCATCACTTACGCATACTTTTTTTTTCTTGAAGCCATGGTTTCATATGAGGATTTCAACGATGTCTGTGTCTAATTCTTGCTGGACTGCTGGAGCTGACGAGAGAGCTTGTTGCTGTGAATGGGACTGCACAAGGAACCTCCGTTCAAAGGTGCTGCTGTGAAACACTGGAACTTCTACACAAAGACGGCAAATAACAAAAACACATGTAAAGGTCAGACAAAAGTTTTAAGATGAACAATGAAAGTGAAGTTAACCCTGATCTTCGGTTTGATGCACAACTTTTATTGTTCATCTATTTTGCCTCAGTCCTTTACTTGCTTCTCCCATACAGTTTTAAACATTGCACACGAGTAATAATACCTTTGTATCCAGAAAAACATAGACATGCAGTGCTAATAAAAATGGTTGCCTTTCTTGTGAGTAACCTAGGCTGGCGTTACCTAATCTTTCAACAAGGTATGTGAAAATATTGACTGAACATTATGAATAGAACAAGATCAGTATGTGGCCATTCAAAATTCTAAAAGAAAACTAAATAACTAGACTTATTTATGTAATGAGTTCATTGAGAAGAACTATGTTTGAAACACAGTTCTACAAAAAATTGTAAAATTAATTTGAAAGAGCTGATCATTTTATAATCCTACAAGCTAGCATGTGAGCTGACCTGCTAAGCGATCTGGGATGTAGACTGGGCTCGGGCTTGATAGGCGGGCAGGCAGGGTCATACTCTGCAGGACTGAAGGGCTGGGCTTGCTTGCTTCTTGGCCTTGACCCTTGTCAGTCTGTGTGCAGCTGTCCCGGCTGCCTGTCTTTGAGTGACCTGTAGTCATCAGGGTGGTAGAAAGTACGGGGGAAGGGGATGACGAGATGGATTCTGTCCGCAGAGACTCTGTGCGACATTCTGGACCCAGCAGAACTCCTACACAACCATAAAAAAACTGAAAAACTTCTTGAAGAATTAACATCTGATTTTAGTCCCACCCTCCTCTAATTCTCATTTGTTTTAGTACAACTTACCTAATGAACCACAGTCTGCTTTAGGAAATAAATTACTCTTCATAAAAACATTTTGTCATTAGTCAGATTGTCTAGAACTTTGGAGTGGAAACATAAAGGAAATACATTGGAATCAGTTTTTTTTAAAACATTTCAACAATAAAATGACATTCTGTTCTTGCAGCCCAAGTTTGGGAGTTTCTTTTTGGTGAGTACACTCAGAGCAACAGTTACTTAACTGTCCAGGATTATGACCACTATACCAACCTGAAATCATTACTTCCTGTCCAGGAGACAAAACTGTACCAACCCAGGAGATCCTGCCTTCTGTAGAAGGTATACTTCAACTAAATATAAAGTGTATGACACAACTTCTCCAAATGGAGAATAGTTAGCTCTTGACACAGGGCGATGTGTGATGTTTTGCATATTGCTTATCTAACTTGCTGACAGAAACTGTTTCTCTCTTTTGTTTTATCATTGAGCTGAGCTAATGGCTCGCACATGGAGCCACCTTAGTTTCTAATGAGAAAGAGAATAAAAAAAACTACTATATATAACATTAACCTGTGGAAGAAATATAATAACCTCTGAAATGGTTTCAGGCCCATTTCCCAATCAATCTTTGCACTATCAGAGACCGATCGGAAGTTCCTGAGATCACTATGAAGGTTCTACTCCAGAAAAACAATTGGTCTTTGTGGTCTTGAGAAAAACAACATATTATGTTCTTGTGAAGTATGCAAATGCACTTATAACAACAGAGATGTTTAATTCCTAAATGTTAAGTCAGAACTGCTGATCTTGACTGCATAATATTAATGCCTTTTTGGAGTATTTATGACCACTGTGATGTAGTGGTTTGCAATTTATTTATGGCATTGAAACAGAAACGATAAGTGTATTTAATGTTCTCCTGAATAATGTCATTTAATAACTTGTTTATATTATTCTTTTTATTCAAAGTCCTTTATAAATTGATGAGGCTATAGCAGTTAATAATTTCATTTCCAATTTAGAGCTCAAGTTTCACCTGTAGTAAATTAGAAGAAAAAGAACAGCATGTTTATACCGAGGCTTCCCTTCCAGCTGGCATCCTTGCGCTCCTCAGTGATTGGTGAGCTGCTAAGCCCAAGGTTGTGCGAAAGCAGTCCTGAACCACCTGGACCAGTGTTGGAGATGGACATCAAGGATTTAGAAGGACGCATGGCAGATGGTGCATCAGACTTCATGGGTTCCTTAGAGCGCTGATGAAGAACCTTTATCATGGCATCTTTCTCAATGATCTGGGCATGAAGATTCTTAATCCTGCAGTAATGAGGAATTAACTTTGAGTTAGATCAGAATGCAGGGACTATACAGCTGCAAAGTTAGTCCAGAATGGCAAAAATGTGTGAGTGGAACCCCCCCCCAAAAAAAACAACAACAACAAAAAAAGAGAACTCTACCACACTAATAATATGATTGTTCACAATCAGAAGAATTTACAATTCACAGTGTGCCTTATCTAGATTGTTTTTTAATGCTTCATCAGATTCCTTTTCAGAAATGATACTCCATGAGCAAACCTTGTCCTTCTGACACTCTGACTCAGGATACATGCAAAACTCAATGCAGACCAGTTAATCTGACTTCATACCCCCATCAGTTCAGTTGTCAAATTTTAGGAGGAGAAATTAGCTCAGCTCAGCAACTAAGATTCTGGGTAAAGCAATGCATAGAGCTAATATGCTATTCTTTAGCTATGTGCTCATCCAGGAGTGAATGCTGCAAATCAATGATCTGCTAGGTTTCCTTAAAGACAAACCTTTTAAACTAATATGAATAATTATCTGAGCTCAATGTACTGTTTGATAACTAGGATCAATTGGAATGTGTGTATGTATGGTTGAATTAAAATGACTTTTTTTGTAAAGTGCCTTGAGACAACATTTGTTGTGAATTGGCAATATACAAATAAACTGAATTGATCATCACATAATATCAAAGTTGTCCTTTTTGTTTTCTATTTTAAATAATGTGCTTTTAATTTCATGTCTTATATTTATGTAAGATGATCATGTGGATAATCATGTGATCATGTGAAAATTGATTATCATCATTAACTGTTGCTGAACACAAACTCAAGCAAGGGCTGTCGCCATGGTTATTCAGACAGCTGATGGGAGCTTTCTGAAGATTTATGCTAATTTGCAGCTAATCTCAAATTAGGATTTATAAAAGGCAACGTGTGTCTGCACACAATTTCATAAGTTAGAATTGTTTTGGTAAGTTTCAGTAATTCTCCCTCCTGAAAACTTTCAGTACAAAAATTACACACTTTTCTATGAATGAAGATTCAGATTTCATCTTTTTAACAGCTTGGCATCTTACATGGCATTTCCCACAGCAATCAACATCTTGCACCATGTGACGAAAACAACTTATGAGGCATTATTATGGATATTTTTGGACTGAGAGGCAGACAACTCAAATACTGAGCTCAATGTAGCTCAATATCTGATGGGCCAATGACTCACATGTATGTGACTTCAATGGCCCTATAAGTTGAAATTGTTCTGACTTGAAGATGTAAGCTTGTTACTCTCTACCATGTTCAGTACAGAACGAGCTGCATGAAGTTTCTTCAAAAAACAAGAGAAGTCCAGTTATCTTCTATTTTAAACACATTTTAAAGCCCAGAATGAATTTACATGTGCTATATATGTATTTGTTACCCAACCTGCTCTCCATATCAAGACAGCGACGATTGGCCATTAGGATCTCTTCTTCTTCCTTCTGAATTCGAGCTTCAACAGAAGTATCATAGCTGTTGCTCGGAGAATGGTTTATCCCTGCTGCAGATGTATCCCTACAGCACAAGTGACAAATTTTCAAACAAGCAGAAGGTTATCTTGACCAGAGGTCTTTTTCTCAAGTTCTCAAGGGACATTGTGCTGCAGCTTTTTTAACACATTTGAATCAAATGGCTGAATTACCTTTCAGTATGTAGTCAAGTTAAGAATTGACAGAAAAGCTACCAGTTTTTTTGCTCTCTATTTACCTTTTGTGAATGTCCACAGAAGTCCAGGGAGGGAGTTGTCATTTCATCATGACTAAGTAATTATCGGTTTCTTCCTGCTCTCCATATCGAGAGCAGAAAGATTGAGGGGAATTCAGAATTTCAACTGTCTATAAAGTTTTTTATGAGCTTTGGGAAGAGTCAGCCTGTGATTAGTTTTCAACTTATGGCACAAACTAAGCATTATAACCAGTTGTCATAATGTTGTAAAATAAGACTGGTCAAGATAAAAATATGTTCATACACAAGACAAAATTTAGGCCTGACACCTGATGTTGTCTTCAACTGCAAAAATCTCACCTCTGCACAGCAACGGACGCAGCTGCATCCAGGGCAAACTGCCTCATTACACTTTCCTCTAAATACTTCTGCTCCCATTTAGTCATGTCAGCCTCCAGAGCCAGAATGCGCTCCTCCTTCTCTCGCAGGTGCTCCATTAGGGCTGTGGCATTGTACTCTGATGTCACTAAGCCGCTGCTCTGTGAGGTTCCTTGACGCTGAATGGCATGATTAACATGTGAAGATTGATGGGAAGAAAAAAACACACGCAGAAGACATAAGAAAAACATTTTTAAAAGTTCACGTTTTCTCCAATAATCTAAGGTAGTATACAGTTCCTTTTAATTGTTATCAATGTTTTGGTATTGCTAGTTAAAATCTGAACAGCAGTATTTTGGACAGCAGTAGGTCCAAAAACAGCTTCATCTTTGCAATCATAATTGACTGAAAAACAAGAACAGTAAGCAGCAAACTAAATTACATTACTGCCTGATCAATCACTGTGGTGCCCTACTGGTTTCATGTTTTGTAATCAGAGTGAGAGCTACATTGCCTTCCCTTCCACTTGCACATATGAGAAAAAACTGCTCTGAATTAAGCATATAAACCAAAACTTAATTTTAGTTCAAAACTAGCAGTGAAATGTCACAAAGTTGATACAGAACTGTGGAGATATTTTAGGAATACAGAATTGTGAAATGGTTACCTGCTGCAGACGTAGAGATTCCAGTTCTCTTTCCAGTCTTGTACGAAGACGGTGTTCTAGTTGTTCTCTCTTCTCACATGCTGCCTGGAGCTGGGCCAGAGCCTGTTGCATCCTTTCCACTTTCTCCACATAAACTTGTTTTTTTTTTAGCTACAGATACATATAAATACATACTTTTAAGTTACTGTTGATGATGCTTTTATTTTTTTGTTCTGCTACAGTAAAATAAAAGGCTTATAATCATCCATCGTCTCCAGCAGTGTGAGACAAAATAATACAACTTATTGAAAAAATATGACTTTCTCCAGATGTTCTTATCCATGCTAGAGGTGTCAAAAAGAAAATTTGATGGTGTAAAAATGAACTTAATGAAGGATTGAACATCGTAGATATTCAGTATCATACCTGTGTGTAAATGTATGATGGTGCATTTCAAAAGAATTGTAAAGTATTCAACTTTTTCCCAACAAACTCTCATAGTATTTTTTATGTTTTCTTATGTTTGAACCCACACCAAGTTGTGGACTAAAGTGGAAGGAGAATGCCACTTAGCTTTCAAAATCTTTTGAGAAGAGAAATCTGAAGACTGTTTCAGTATTCCAACCACTTCACAGGGAGTTATCAAGCTACCCATAGTTTTTCAGGAGATTTTCTTCAAAACTTGTATCTGTACTCAAGTCAGTTTATGATGAATCCTTGGAAATTGAACGCTGTCAAAAACACTGATGCAAACTATAAACTCAGTCCCACTTAAAAAGGATAAGGAGGTCCCTGCTCATTGCAGCTAAGAGGCCAAACATAATAAATCCTGCCGTAACTATAACGCTGAGAGTGAATTTGCGTGTTAAAAATTACATTGGTAAAGAACGTAAAAATGCTTCAACACAACAAATCTAATGTGGCCTTTAAAAAACAAACACTTGACAAAGTTTGGCCATATCGAGGCTCAATGCAGGAAAAAGGGACATCTGGAGCAGCCAGATAGCAGGTAAAGCAGCACACAGCTACTAAAACTCACCGAGAAGAGCATGATGCTCAGACAGCTAGACAATAACTCGAAAAATGATTTATGACGCTGGTTCTGCTCTCGCTCTTAGTCCGCCGCTGCGAGCTACCGGTAGTAATATTTCACAGACGTAGAACCGCTCAACCTCCACGAGACTGAACGCAAACGTAACATCCGGTCACCACATCATGCAGAGCAGCTGGGACTGTGGGAATCACCTACCCGGATGAATCCATTCTCCTGTCTCTTCTCTGGGCCTTTTACCTTCACAAAGAAACTTTCCAAAGAATCTCATCTGTTTCTTACTCATGTTGCTGCTTGTGGCTCAATGTTGGCGGCAAGACGCAACCGAGAAATCCGGCTAAAGGATTATTAAAGTAAAAGATCCTCCATACTCAAATATACATAAAACAGAAATATTTAATTGTTACTTGTGCGGCCCGGTGATTGGGGGACCACTGGACTAGGTCATCAAATCAGTCTGTCAAGCATGTTGCCTGTAGGGATTTCTAATGTCCAGCAGGTGTCAGTATTCAGTGACACAGTATCAATACAGTTTTGCTATGGGTTGAAATGCTTCATGACGCTTCATTTACCATCACTATTCATTAACAGTTATCTGGTCCAATTAATAAAATGCCTGATCTTCTTTATCTGTTGAAAGAATTTAGTAATATATCAGGAGACAAAGTTAATCTATATTTTTCTCACCTCCTCCTCCAGTTTAACCACTTTTGCCTGGGCATTGTTCAGCGCTTGGTCTCTGATCTCAATGTGTCTCCTTTGGTCATCTGCAGTTGAGCGAAGTGCATTCAACTCCATCTCCAGCTTTTCCTTCTCCCGCAGAATTTCTTTATCTTAATGGATAATGGAATATAAAAACATAAAGCACACTATCATTTTGTCCATTTTGAAGCATGTAGACTGAATCCTGGCTAAATCAGATTTTCTACTGATTCATTGGTTTCCTGGCTCTTGTCTGTAGTTAGCTTAATTTAGTCCCAACAAATCTAATGATCAATAAAAGCTGGAGAACTTTTATTGATCATTAGAACCCTAAAGAACTTTCTCAAGTAAAGGAATAAGAAAAGGTACTTCTAAAATCAAAAATGCATTTACTGACAAGTCGGAGCGGTCATGGTGTGGTCTTCAAATTTTAATACACAAAATCTCATTTCAGAATTGTTTCAAAAATGTTCTAAGACGATACACAATCGGATTGCAAAGTCACGTGTGCGTGTGTGTCTGTCACTCACTCTGAGCAACCAGCTGGGAGATGGTTTTCCGATTGTCTTCAGAGCTATCACACTCTTTAGAAACGAGCTGTTTATTAGCAGTCTCCATGCGCTCTTTAAAATAACATAAGACAAATGCATCATGACATCGATAAATAAATAATAATTTAAAAATCTGTCATTTTTAATACTTTGCTAAGTTATCATAAGTCTTACTAAAAAGTAAGAAAAATCATCCGATGGCTTGGAAAGGATACTTTTTTGTTAATCTTTATGAGAGATAAAAACTGTGGCATATATATATATATATATATATATATATATATATATATATATATATATATATATATATATATATATATATATATATATATATATATAGGAGACAAAGTTAATCTATATTTTTCTCACCTCCTATATATATATATATATATATATATATATATATATAGGAGACAAAGTTAATCTATATTTTCTCACCTCCTATATATATATATATATATATATATATATATATATATATATATATATATATATATATATATATATATATATATATATATATATATATTATTTTAAATGTATACCCACATGCCTTTGGAAAGAAACACAGAGAATAAAGTTATAAGATAAACTTATTTTTTGTTTATTTTATTGATATGTTAAAATAACATAATTAGATTTCTTGGTGCCCATAAAGAGATGACTAAAACTAGAATGATAGTGACACTTTAAGCTAAATATATAATCACATTATACAGGAGCATTCTAGGTTTTCATTCAGACTATCTAAAGTAAACAAATTGGGTTACTGCACCAATACAGAGCAGAGAAAGGACATGCAAGAACTGATTGAGGAGTTCAGAAACGTAATGACAGAGATCCATGTTAAAATTAGGGCTACAAGTTCATCTCAAAGTTGCTTCATTTCCTGTCACTATAATTTTCAATATTTTTAAAGTGTATACAGTTCATCCAACTGTGGTTAAGGTTCCCGGATGTGAGCCAAAGACGAAATGCAACCCTAAATAAAAAAAAAAAAAAAAAAAAAAAAAGACTATTTAAGATTTATTTCAACACAAGTATGTTGAAGCAAATCGCTTACTCATCACTCTTATTTTTTTTTTTTGCATTTGAACCTTAAAGCTGCAATATGTAACTTTGACAAAATATTTTTTTCACATAGCTGTTGAAACTGTCAATGTTGTGACAGTATGGTATGACTAAGATAATCTATGAAACAAATCTAGTTCCTCTGCTTTCCCCCAGTGCTAACAAGAAACAACCAATCAGAGCCAGGAGGAAGTTCTTAGTGCTGTCAATCATTCTGTTATACTACAACCTTTTTCTGATAAGAGAGCCTGCCAGGAATGCTCAGGCATCGCCAGCGATGACGGCACATGAATGATTTTTCCTGGAAGAGTGAATTATTTCTCCACCATTACATACACACAGATATAACTCAGAACCAGTTATTTGAAAAACTCGTGATCTTTTGGAATTTTTTATACACAATAAATTATTCAAAACACAGAAAATATGCAGTGAGCTTGTAACTATGCAGAACACCCAATTCAGTTCCTCAAAGCTAAGTAACAAAAGAACAGAAACAGTTACCTTCTCCGACAAATTTCAATTTCAGCCAAAACATTTAAATGCTAGGGTCAAAATTTGGTGTCGAAAACAGGGAAGCATGGATTGATGCTACCTTACGACAACTGTTTAAGTTGTTCATGATTTAATGGTGTGACAAATATTTGCTTGATACAATTTGGAACTTGTGTCTGGTGAGTAATTATTAAATAGTCTACCTGCTTTACCAGGGAATGACTGCAAGATTTCTGTACTCCAATCCTCCACAATTTTCAGGTCTCAATCCAATACAGCACTTTTGGGAAGTGATGTAACAGAAAATTTGAATTATGGATGTGCACCTCACAAAATGATCTTTCATCGTTCAGAATGACCTTAGGTCATGAAAGGACAAAATGACCTTTCATCACTGATCGTGATGTAAGGTCATTACAGATCAAAACCTCAGGAATATTTCCAATTCTTTGTTTGAACTATGTCATGAAGAATTAAAGCAGTTATAAAGAAAAAGAAGTGGGTCTAACTAGGTACCACCAATGTGTACCTCACTAAGTGGCCGGTGGATATTCTGTAGACAATGGCTGAGTAACTTCAAGGTAATATTAAACTATTTCCTATTTATTTAGTTATTTTGTGAAGTTGCAAAATGACTTACTGATGTTAAAAGTAGCCATCCAGATTTTAGAGCTCATGGACAATGAATGATAAAAATGATTATGATGTTTTCTAATAATACATTATTAGAAAACTTCAGTTTAACTCAAGAAATTCCAAAGCTAACAAATGAACAATGAGCTCACCTGTGAAATATCCATGTTTTGTTCAATAAATGTTCTTTATTTGGATATTTACCTGTCTCCATTTATGCTTAATATTGTCTGATAATTAGATCTACATTATTTTGACTGAATGATATTGTCATTTAAAATTCACATTGAACTACTGTCCAGCTTGCAAAAGCATCTTTACAAAATAGTAAAAAATAATCTTTTCTCAGCTCTCACCTCGCAGGTCTCTGTTGAAGTCATGCAGTCGGCGCACTTGTAGTTCCAACTTGCTCCTCATAGTTTTCTCCAATGCTTCTCTCTTAGAGGAAGACTTGGCAAGGTTTTCATAGGCCTCCGACACTAGCTGTATCTCTGTTTCCAACTACCCAAAAACAAAGCATACATTAAGTGACTGATTCATTGATGTATACCCACTTACTACCAATTATTAGAGCTGTTCATGGCCAGACACGTTATTTTTTAACACCTCTGAGCTACTTTTTCAACTTAATGGTATGATGTAGTGATAAAAGTTAGGTTGCATTAGAGGTGTCCAAGTCCAGTCCTCAAGTGCTACCATCCTGCAACTTCTAGAGCTCTGCTCCAACATACCAGCAGTCATTAAGCTCTGCAGAGGCCTGGTAATGAGCACTTCAGTTAATTCTTCTCCAACATGCTTAGCTGTGTTGGAGAAGGGAAGTACAAAACTTGTCTTTACCACATTGGAGAAACTCCAATTTCTACATTTCTAAACATTCAAACCTAAACATTTTTCTAAAGTGGATTTTCAATCAAAGCAGGAAATAATACTAAAGGATGACCAATGCCGGAGCTGAAAGGGTTGTTTTGAGAAAGAAGGGTGCCGCTCTTCTCAAACAGAGTGGTATACAAGAAAAGACAGGCTTTGTGGATGTTAGAAACAGAAACAGTCATGACTGCTTTCTTTGACAACTGTTCTCAACTTGTGTTGAGGACAGACTTGGCTTTGGATGAACATGTATAACTAAAGGTAAGAGAGGAATAACATTTTTAGTTATTATTAATGAGATGTTCATTTTGTGAGCTACAATTTGTGTGTGTAAAGAATGCAGAAAAGAAACATAACCCGCAAACTGCTGTGTTAGATTAGCTAGAAGCAGCAGTAGTTATAATCAACCACAGCAATCTCTTATTAATAATCGCAAAATAAATATTAAACCTCACCACACAGACTGAACGTATTGTTTCTTGTGTGGGAAATATTTAAGTGGTTTTTGTTGATGAATCCTGAAACATAAAGGATGTTTCAGGATTCAGTCTGCGTGTAGCTTGGCAGATACAGAACGAGGAAGAAGTGGTTTTGAGTTGTACTACAGTCTTTCACTTTGCTGTGGAGTACATCACTAAATTAATAATACCTACATTTCCAAGTTTCATTGAATTAACAATAACATGCAGGGAGCTACAGTATATTTGCATCTCGGTTCCTCCAGGAGCAACTGATCTACAGACCTGAGAGATCGATAAGGTATGTCAGGGTGAAGAAGCTCAGTGAGGTAAGCCTGGGCAAGATCATGCAGTGATTTAAAAACAAACATAGGAATTTTAAAACGGATTCTAAAATATACAGGCAGCCAGTGAAGTGAAGCCAAGACAGGGTCACATGCTCTCTCTTTCCAGTTCCTGTCAAAAGTCGTGCATTCTGAAGCAGTTGCAGACGTGAGAGCAGTGACTGACAAACTCCCAGATATAGAGAGTTGCAATAATCCAGTCGAGTCGAAATAAAAGCATGGATCACTGTTTCAAAATGCTGCCTGGAAAGAAAAGATTTTACTGATGCCAATCGCCTTAAATGATAAAAACTGGACTTAACCACGGCTCTAATGTGGCTGTCCAATTTGAAATCACTGTCCACCTTAAACCAAGGTCTGGTTAACAGGTTTAAAATACACCTCCAAGGGTCCCAGGTCAACAGAGGAGGACTCACAAGAGCCACTGGGTCCAAACACCATCACCTCTGTTTTCTTTATGTTAAAATTTAAAAAGTTCAAAGCCAACCAAGCTTTAATATCACCTCGACATGCCAGGAGATGTTTGATTGACTGGACATCTTCCTGCTTCAGGGTAAATAAATCTGGCAATCATCAGCATAACAATGAAATGAAATCCCATGTTTCCTGAGGATAGAACCTAGAGGCAGTAAATACACCTCCAAGGGTCCCAGTCAACAGAAGAGGACTCACAGGAGCCACTGGGTCCGAACACCATCACCTCCATCACCATCACAGAAAAACAGTGGGCCCAGAATTGAGCCCTGTAGTACACCATATGGCATTGAAGCAGTAGATAATTCAGAGTCTCTAATATTTACTGAAAATGTTCTGTCCTCCAGGTAGGACCTGAACCAATTAAGAACAGTGTCACCAATACCTACAATATTCTGTGATCGCGATATAAAATGTCGTGGTCGACTGTATCAAAGGCAGCAATTTGGTCAAGTAAAATCAGAACAACATGTTTACCAGAACATGTTTACCAGACACACTAAACATGTGGAAGAAGGTGCTCTGGTCAGATGAAACCAAATTCAAACGTTTTGGTCAAATGCAAAACGAAATGATTGGCGTAAAATCATAACCAGGAGCACACCTTCAGGCCAATCAGCATGAAGGGTCAGGAGGTGGAGCAGGGGACTCAGTTTAAATACATTGGGACAGTCATAGACAGTCACCTACAGTTTCAAGACCATGTGGATTACACATTTAAAAAAGGTAGACAGCGCCTGGCTCTCCTGAGAAGACTCAGGGGCCTTAACACCAGTCAGCGCACTATGTCCATGGTCTACAAGTCCTTGACCGAGAGTGTGCTGACATTCAACATCGTGTCATGGTATGGGTACCTCTCTGTCAAACAAAAGAACATACTGGGACAGATCGTCAACCAGGCTGGAAAGATTATTGGACTTAAACAGCGGCAACTTTCACATTTGTACACGCGGGCCTTAACAAAGAAGGCACATCAAGTCTATCTGGACCCGACTCATCCTATTCATTGTGCTCTCCAGTTGCTGCCATCTGGACGTAGATTTAAAGTCCCAATGGCAAGGAAGAATGGCTACAAGTGATCATTTGTTCCATCAGCTGTGGATATTCTAAATAAAAATCTGACTAAATTAACTGAGAATAGATAAGCTTATGTGTTCTCTAAGTCTGCTTGTAGTATTCCACTGATTTTAAATTTCACACAGTAACACAGTGCATTGTGACTCAGTGTAGAAGTTCTATGTGCTGTCTTACCAGTAGAATAGTAAATTTTAAATGGTTTTTAATATTTAATTGAATGACATGAGTAGAGTAATACGACTTAATTTCATTTTACAGATCTTGTTTATTCATTATTCATACAGTTTTGTGGCAACTGTGATGTGTGTTGTGTTGTGTGTTTCTTGTGCCATTACCAAAGATTAATTTCCATTTTATGTGAGTTTAATGGACAATAAAGAAGTCTAAAGTCAAAAGCAACACAGCTCATCACCCTGAACACAGCATCCTCACTGTCAAACATGGTGGTGGCAGCATCATGGTTTGGGCCTGCTATTCTTCAGCAGGGACAGGGAAGATGGTTAAAATTGACGGGAAGATGGATGGAACCAAATACAGAACCATTCTGGAAGAAAACCTGTTGGAGTCTACAAAAGACCTGATACTGGGATGGAGATTAATCTTCCAACAAGACAAAGATCCCAAACATAAAGCAAAATCTACAATGGAATGGTTCACAAATAAATGTATCCAAGTGTTAGAATGGCCAAGTCAAAGTCCAGACCTGAATCCAATCAAGAATCTGTGGAAAGAGCTGAAAACTGCTGTTCACAATCACTCTCCATCCAGCCTCACTGAGCTCCAGCTGTTTTGCAAGGAGGAATGGGCAAGAATTTCAGTCTCTCGATGTGCAAAACTAATAGAGTCATATTCCAAGCAACTTGCAGCTGTGATCTACACAGTATTAGCACGAGGAGACAGAATATTATTGTACACCCCACTTCCTAGTTTTTTATTTGGCAAAGTTTAAAATATCCAATAAATGTCATTCCACCTCACGATTGTGTCCCACTTGTTGTTGATTCTTCATAAAATAATAGAAATTTTACATCTTTATGTTTGAAGCCTGGAAAGCGGCAAGCTGAAAAGTTCAAGGGGGTCGGATACTTTCGCAAGGCACTGTACATAAATAGATATATACTTTGCAAAGATGTGGGTTCTAATCCACCACTCTAGCGTTAATCAGGTCAGCGTGCACCTCACCAGACATTAGTTACTGACCGATCTGTGTAATGTTGCATTGATGTGTATTTTTGTGCCTTATCGCTTATCTGGGGTTGAGTTCAAATGTTTTGAATGCATGCTTTTAACTCAGGGTTTTATTTTCACCTGTTTTTTTTTTTCAAATAAAAACTAGACATTAACTAGACATTAAGCATGAAAATTTTGGGTTAGCACTAGAATACCATACAAATCTTGTTGTACTTTCATACTATGTTGGTCAGTGCATGAGAGGGAGCAAGATTACCTCTTTCAATTGAAACTGCCTGCAGATAAGTTCAGAAATACTGCAGTTTATTTTGATAAGGGTGTAAGTGTTGCATATAGGTTTTCTGAAAATATTGTGAAAAAAAAAAACATAATTTAAAATAGCATTTCTAAATCATCTCTAAACTTTTGCCTGGTAGTGATACCCTACAAAAAATGCAAAAACACAGTGCAGCAGAGGGAGTTAAGAAGCAATGACTAAACTCAGATGTGTTAGACCTTCTGATGAAACTCTTACCTTGTGTAACCTTGTGACCTTCTCGCGACAAGCCTCCATCTCTTGTCTCAAAACTTTGTTCTCCTCGGTCATCACATCCACCATCTGCTGGGCACGGGCCATCATTGCAAAAGGCTCTCCCTGTAGCTGTATGAAGGACTGCTGCTGGGGAACATGTCCTGCCTGCATAGACAACTGTGGATGGGAAGGACCCTGGAGTTGCTGCTGTTGTTGACATTGATTATGTTGCTGATAATGATGCAACCTTGGAGTGGAGCCATAAGAATCAGAAAGAAAAGCATGACCCCTCTGCGTTGTCTGATGAACAGGTCCTGGGGGGAAAGGCTCTGCCATGTGATGGGAGCCTGAACCATGTGGAACACGGGGTCCCATAATTGGGTATGGCTCTCCTTGGCTTGTAGGTGACTGGTGAGGAATTGATGGATGAGAGGAGTGAGAGGCGGTAGAGAGCATGCTGCTCAGAGTAGAGGATTGTGCACGAGACAAAGATCCAACAGAGGTCACAGAGGAGCTGGGACTGTGCTGGTTGAGGGGCCTCTGGTAGTGAACTGAGACCTCCTTAGTGGATCTGAGGAGAGATCAGTTGTGAGGTCATAATGTTGCCTGCTTTCAGTTTTGCACAGAATACAAAAAAAATATTTGTATGTGGACAAAAAGACCATTTCAAGTTTACAAATACACAGCCATGACAAAAAATGTTAACTTTAGGTGAGAAACAACAGGTCCCTCCTAGCTCCAGTCAGAGCTAGGAGGGTGCTTGCACTAGCAATCACTCTCATGTACAGTCTGCTCACACGCTTCCTATTGCTCTCTGCTGTGCTACAGCTTCTTCCTCGCAGTAGAGCCTGTTGTGAATGCTCAGACTACTTAGCCTGGCCACCAATGATGGCAGATAAAAAGTTTTTCTGTAGCAGTAATTGGTTTCTCTGCTATTAGTACATTGAGCAGCACATACAGGAGGCTGATTGATGACATTGATTGAAGATCTTGTTCCTGCAGTTCTGTACATCGCAATAGTAGCTCAAGGAGGAGGAGCTTGATTTTTTTACAGACTATCTGTCTCATATAGCATATATATGAAAAAAACAGTTTTTTAAATAAAAGTTACATACTGTTGTCTTAAACAGTGGACTAATTCAGGGCTCGCTTACAAGGAGCAGTGAAACTGACACCCATTTTTGCTACTCATTTACACATCACCAGACATAACAGTCTCTTATGATTTTTTTGGGAGGTGTGAAGTTCTAAGCAGGTGTGAAAACACACATTTGCAGAATGCAGGGCTGCAGGATTTGTTCTATGCAAGCAGAAAACCGTCTACACAGGAAGGAAACAGTAAAAAAAAGAAAAAGGGAAAAAGAAATGGAGCTAACATTGCATAGTGTGTGCTATATGACTTCGGGGAGCAGAGAACTTATGAAGCACATGAGAATACATGTGTTATGGAATCACATTTTGGATTAGATGCAAATATTAAACAGATCTACGAGGCATGACAACTACAGCAAATTCAAGGTGTCTTGGTGACCTTATCTAGGCTGGCTATTGCCTTCCCACACAGTTTTGTTCGATTCTAAATTCCCTTCAGTGCCTCGTCTGGGCTTTTTCCCATTAAAGTGGATTTCTTAGGCAGAATTTCAACCAGGTCAATCAGCAATGAACAAAAAGAGAAGTTGTGAACAATGCCGTTGATTTTCTGCGCTGTGTTAGACTTGTACTCTGCCTATGGCTTTAGCAAGGGCAACAGAAGAAGTGAACAAAGCCGTTTGGTTCGTGATGTCCACACTTAAAGCTGCCTTGTTCAGTTTGGCATTTCTCTTTGTAGTGGATGGGGGACCATTGTTTACAGAGCAGATCATTTCCAGTGAGCTTCATATTGTTGAACTAACGCATTACATACATCACAAGTAAAGGTTAGAGATTTAGTAGCTTTTAGAACTTTAATAGAGTCCATGCCTCCAGGAAGCAATCATTTCTCTCTATCAAAGGGTCCAGATCCTCTGAATGATTTGTGTACAAAAAAGCAAAGCAGAAAAAATTTCTATGGGGAAGTGAGGATGCATTTCACAACACTGTTCACAAATAGTGATTAAAGAAAAATGTTTTATTTTATATATGAAACACAATATACTCCATCTGCCATGGCTGCTCTTGCATCATAATTACCTAAAAAAAGGAATGTGAGAGCAGTTTCTCAGAAGCAGGTTATTGACACACTTAAAAATGAAATGCGCTCGCAGAGAGGTTTCTGATATCAAAAAGGGTGAAACTTTACTTATAGACACAATAGAAATATTCTCTAACCCTACCCTGACCCTAACCCTTCATTCGAATTCCAAATATAAATATTTTGCGGTAGAAATACTGTTTCATTCCTTCAATTCAAACAATCACTCACAACAACTCGGCTGTTTTTTCTCTTCAATCACAGCAGGAGATTGACCTGACAGTAATAAGAAATAAACAATAGCTCACCTACATCTGTAACCATTAGCATAATTTTGGAACATTAATAATATTTATCACTTGGCAAATAATTAATTTCTCAAATACTTAGACTCCAAAACCATCAACAAAAATTGATATAAAAAAACATGGCATCAAGAGACTTTGCGCATTGGATCCATAACTGCCTTTACTCTCACAAGACAGATACATTTCGTGTCTCAACTTGTCCTGCCAGATGAATAAAATAGTTTGGAATTCATTACTGTTAGACTCTGCTTCAAGGTAGATGGTGATGACTACTGTGAAACCAGCCCAACAGGATCTGTCCTTGTCATTTCTGAGACACTATTGAGAAACCATGTTTAACTGACTTATCTAAGATCAAATCCTATTGGAGTCAAGCTATGGCTTTCACTGGAACCACATTTCATTCTTTATTGTCAAATGTATAGCAATAATTTGTTAACTGGGAGTGTGCACACAGTGGCAGTTGTTCCATGAATGAGACTGTAAATGTAAAATCAGTAAATGGTCCTGAAAAGTCCTGAGAATTGTGATCATTTTAACCTGTCTAAATACAAAATCAAGTTGTAATTGATCAGAGCATTACTCTTAGTGAACCTTGAGTTTTCTGTAATTCAATATTTTCAGCAGGGTTGGTAGATTTTGTCAATATAAAAATATGCTATACACACACTGTAAACTGGGAAATGCCTGCAACAAAATGTTGGGGATTTTCAACTAGTGAAAAATGCTTTGTACGCTTTCACTTTATAGCTCCTCTGTTATTTCAGTGCTCACCCAAAATGTCCTACCTCCCTACCAGGATTGTTTTTCTGGGTTTTAGTGTGTTTTTGGACTGATGTGGCTCTGATTTCTTCAGCGGAAAGGTATCTTTTGTATGCAGAAAGGCAGGCATAGGTGTGCGTGTTAGCATGCGTGTGCGTGTTCATTGTTCATTACCTGAAAGAGCCATAGTCAGGAGGGGGCTGATATCGAACATTTGGAACCTCCCTGGAGTGATCCCTTACTCTTGGCTCCTGATAAAAGTGGCCTCCAGACTCCGGATGACTGCCAGGAGAACATATTCCTTTAAAAGGATAGTCTGGTGGTGGGCCTCGATGTTGTGGCTTGTAGTAGTCTCCAGGCTGGCATGATGGGGGCAGCTGTGGGGAAAGGGGGGTGCTGCTTACAGGAGCATGGGCTTTAACACCACTGGTGGCTAAAGAAAGTTGCATAAGCCGTTCACTGAGAGACCTGACATGTCCTTGCTTTAGATCTTTTAGTCCATCATCTTGGTGCACCTTCCCGGTACCACTGACACGCTGTAGTGTTGGGCGACCCTCAGTGCGAACTTTGGTGCTGGTCAGGCCAGTAACGTAGAAAGCAGCACCTAACGAGGCAGGCAGTGAGGGCTGCTGGGCCTGGCTGTTCTGCTGCTGCTGAGCCTGAGGAGGAGAACCATGGCCGCGGAAGTACTGTGACTGTACTTTGGCTTCCTCGTATGTAGGGAGATCTTCTAAGTTAGGGCACTGTCCTTGGGTGATGACACCAACTCCACTGCCCCCGCCACTGGATGCTTCTCCACAAGAGCCCACACATCCCCCACCTCCACTGCCCCCACCATGCCCACCAACTCTGATGACACCAACCTTCTCCAGGCCACTGTCCGTCTGAAGCTCCTGTCCCTGGGGCTCTTGTCTTGCAATGTGAGCACTTACAGAATGATCATCAGTGGGGCTTACCTGTCCATGTACTGAATAGCCACCTCCACCTCCTCCTCCTGTTGATACTCCAACCCCCCCTCCTCCAGACTGTTGCTGTTGTTGCAGCACATAGTTTCGATTCATCTGCTCCTGAAGGAGCCGCTGAAGGACTGTACTGCCACCACTTGATACATTGCTATTTGATGGCTCTTCGGTTCCGGCCCTCATCTCCATCTCACCCTGGCAACGAACCTCATGGAAGGACAAACTACGCCCCCTGTCTGTTATCCAAGAGAAAAGTAAAGAGGGAAAAATGTGTAAAAGAAAGGTAACTGGAGAAGAGATGTGAGGGGCTACTACAAAAACTATTGAAACATACTGGTACTTTCAAAGTTCGAAAACTATCAAAAGTGTAATTTACTCAATAAAATATCAGTGAAGTTATTAAAAAAATTAAAACACCTACAGAAAACAAAGGGATACATTTACATCACAAATAATTCAATCGAACATTTGTCATATGATTTTTGTCTTGCTTAACCTGGTCATTGAACCAGCTCTTCACTGTGTGAGTAGGTACCAAGGTCTGCTAGAAAATGAAATCACCATCTTCATGAAGTTTGTCAGCAGAATGAAGTGTCTTAAAATTCCTGTTCGATGGCTGCGTTGACTATGAACCTTAAAATAAACAGTCGACCAACACCAGCAGATCACAAGGCACCCCAAATCATCACTGACAGTGAAACTTTACACTGTACCTCAACAACATGTGCCTTTCCACTCCTCTTCCAAACTCTGAGACACTGACTTCAAAATGCAATGCAAACAACTTCCAACTACTCCTTTTATTGAAAACCTTTGCTTACATTTGATATAAGCAATGGTTTTAAACTGTAAATGAAGTAAATAAATTAATAAATAAAACAAATGAAATAAATAAATGCAACTGAGAAAACACTCAGCAATAGTCTAGTTTTTTTTGCTCTCCTAGAAGCAGAGAAGACACTTGTCATCTTGTGAAACAGGCAAGGACATAGCTATCTCTTGAAAAGGTAATAATAATTTGACCATATGGATGTGCTAAACAAAGGTGTCTCCAAACTCAGTCTGCCTAAGGAGTGACTAACTGTCACAGTGCTTTTTGGTTATATGGCGTGGACCACACTGAACACAGGCCACGAGAAGTGAAGGAGAGTTGTAGAGTTGCCCCAAGATATCAGGAAAAAAATGATAGGTAAGCATGTTAAAATTGAAGGCTATATTTATCCAACACTTGATGCTCCTATGTTATATTGTTTAGAAATTTAAGGTCCACAGAACTGTAGCCAACCACGCAGACTACACACAGACTAGACTGCAGCTCTAGGAAATTGAAGAGAAGGAAAATACAAATGCTGACCGAACAGCCCAGAATAACCTCTAAAGAGAGATTTTGAGGAGATTTTTTTTTTAAGTATTGTTTTCAAACTTGTGAACTCATAATAATTATTCTGCGTTGCCATGCTTGCTGTGTTTACTATGCTGTTGTAAATCACATATGGCAAAAGTACATACCGTATACTAAAATAGCTGGTTGGTTAAAAAGCTAGCTGTCCAGAGTTAAGGTGAGGGGCAAGGAAAAAGTATGGACAGCCAAAACAGTTAACTGCAGCCTTAAATCTGCAGTATGTAACTTTTATAAACATATTTTTTAACATATTTGTTGAAACTGTGAATGTTGCTCTTTACTACTGTTAAACCTTTTCCTTATCAGCAGGTCCTGCTGATGTTAGTTAGTATGGTCACTGATGATGACAGGTAAAGTTTTGCTGTAACCGCAAGTTGTTTCTTCACCATTAGCACATTTAGCAGTGAGTATGTGACGTTGAGTGGCAGTGCTCTGATTGGTTGTTTTTGGCTGAGAGCAGTGCTTTCCTTCAGACAGTAATAGTAGCGCAGAAGATTGATCTTTTCACAGATTATCTGTCTCATAACATGCTCTCACGCCATGGAGACAGTATTAAGAAAACAAAAAAAACTAATTATAAAAGCTACTGCACCTTTAAGAGAATTGTAAAGCATAGCCTCTTCAAAAATTGGCAGAAACTCAATAAGCATCGGCTTCAGCTGGACTAAGAGCTTCAAAGACATGAACACAAACATATCCAAACTATTACATTCCTTTCGTTTAAGCTATTCGTTAACCACATCAAAAGTGTTTTCCTTGAAAAAAAGAACGAGATTGTTCATCAATGATTCAAACTCCCCTTTTTATGCCAAAGTAAAATTTGCACTTCATTGGAAATCTTGGCTCAAGAGCCTGGAGGAAGAGTGTAGAGGAACAGAATCCACATAGTTTGAGTTCTAGAGTGATGTTTCCCATTCAGTGATGTTGGTTCAACTTTGTACTCAATTCCTTAGTCAGTGCAGCCATCTATTAGAAAATTTGAATGCACTTCACATCTTCATGGAAATCCTGATTTTATTTTCCAGCTGCAGTTGGCATCTGTCCACATTTTTAAATGACCTATATCTTCTTCAAATGGAATTAACCAGAAAGCTGGCTTTAACTAAACCTTTCAGATAATCTCTATATCTTCAAGAAGAAGAGGAGAAAAAGGTCTCTCTTAAAGCAACTTGCATTTCTTTATCACATCATTAGATCTACAAATGAAAATCCTTTATTACCGAAAAAGCTTTTGTAACATATTATGCTCCGTAGTAAATTAATGTCTTGAATATATTTACTGGAATAACCTAATTTTTAAAAATATTCAAATTTATCAACAATATCAACATCAGTGATTTTGAAGAAAAAAGAAAAATCAAGTGAAGAAAAAAGAAGGTGGACAGAGAAACAAAGGGACCATATGTTTCACCCTTGACCTCAATCAGATCCCCAAAAGACTTGCTGAATTAATGGCACAGCAGAACAAAAAAGAGGTAGACAAAGTAAGGTGTCATTGCTTTTATAGAAACCCGCACCCACAAATTAGTATTTTACCACCACAAACATCAATTCAAATCATTTTAATTAAAAAGCAGTAGCTGAGGCAGTTTTCTGATAGGAAAATGTAAACTTGAGGGAGAGTAGATGACTCCAGCAATAATCGCATAATCTCGTCTAATTCCTTCTTCGTCTTCTGCAGCATTCTGTTCTGTTACAAATTACTGTCAAATAAAGGGCACTAGTATCAAAAATGTCCCTGAAAAGTTAAAGTGGCAAAGGCTTTTCAGAATAAGAAAAAGCAAACACCTCACACTTGCAAAATTACAACATACACCATTTGAACATTTCCAAAGCTGATTCAAAGAAATTAGAAATATTCACCTAAAGACATAAGCATGCATTATTAACTCAACATTCAACAATGTCAAAGAAACCAACCCAGATGTATTTTAAATTTCACAACATTTTTAGTGGTCAGAAAAAGTATTGGGTAAAACAACCAGAGTTCTGAATCCAGTTAAGGAGAAGTGAAAGAATTGACAATAATAATAATAATGGCTTCTACTGACAAAGCTGAATGTCTAACACTTACACCCATTTTACAAAGAGGAAAAGATTATTACATGTTGAGCTTCCCGTTATCCTTGTCACCCTCAAGGATGAAGATGCTTTTTTCCGAAACATCTGTAGGTAAATGAGACAAAAAGGAAAAATGTCTGTTTTAAAAGGGTTTTCAATCATTTTCTTTAAGAGGAGTGTCCAGTGAATGGGTCACTTTTTTTAATAACTTTCAGCTTTCAGACATTTGTTGGGGTCATGAGGGTGGGGAAAATCAAACTGCACTGATTTTTATGAACATATAATAAAACCACAAGTTTTTATTTCTAACCACATTAGGACTTTGTTTTGACTTTGATTTATTTATTTATTTAGTCCATTTGTGATTAAACCTAAGCAGTAACATTAAATTTGTTACCACTATATTTCTATATTTCTTATCTCAAACCATTCCTGTAACCCTAACCACTATTTCTAAAAATGGGGAGCCACAATGTTACGACCAGGCTATAAACATGTAAGAGTTCAAAAGGTATTATATACCAGGAATGGTTACAAGCAGGAAATATAAACAAAATGGCCCATTCAAGAATATCACTTTATCTAGTCTAGAAGACATCAAAGTTCTTTACACTACAATCAGTCACTCACTCTTTTATGCACATATACAGGTACACTGCTGGTGTTAGGCTGTGCTGTAGTCACAGCTGCTCAAAGGCACAGTGACAGAAGCTAGGCTGCCATGAAATCATCGCCACTGGGCTCTCTGATCACCACCAGCAAGAAAACACAGACACACAGGATACAAACATGTTTGTATTTCAAGGTACATTGAAGTACTGAACTGTAGTTCAAACTTCACATTCATTTTAGTAGCTCAATTTATGCCTAACACTAAACTTCATTCACATCATAACCTTAAATCTAAAATAGGTAAACCACCAAATTAGCACCAGCCTTTGGTTCCCTTTTGCCCTATCAGACTTCAGAAGGTTAAGCATTTATGCCATAAAAGGCTTAAATAGGCCACAAAGCCAAATACATCAATCATACACCCAGACATGTACTCGGGCCTGCTGCTAGATCTTTTTAAGAGCCTACTCATCTCTGTTACTTTCCTGTAAAACTCAAATATAAAAATATCCTACCTTTGCTGGTTGGAGTAGTGATCTGTGTAAAGGAAAGAATCCACTAAATTTCACTTAATTTCTCCAAAATCAGGGAACTGTCTGCTTTGAGCTCAAGTGAGGCAGTTGTTTTTCCATGTGCTGCTCACACAGTATTCCCACACAAAAACAGGTGGGGCAGGGTGGTAGACAGGTGAGTCTGTCAACTGTTCAGTTGTGACTACACCTCTATACTTCTGTATCAAACTCTGGCAGGACTGAAAGTGCTCTTTCATGGCTTCAAACTTATCACATGAGGGTTTGCTATATAACTTTTTCCTTGCCTTATAATAATGGGACATTATAGTTTAATGCAAAGTATTTGGTTGAGTTGATTTACAAAAAAAAATTTAAAATCTTCCCACTCTATGAAAAGCCTTGGGTGAAAACCGTCTCCTAGTCAACAGCCCATATGTACACATAAAAATAAGCAATTTCCATTTTGGAAAAATTATGTTAAACACTGAAAAAATCTCTTCATCAACCACAGCTCAAAATCCAAGATGCCTCCAGATCAAACAAAATGTGAACATGTTAAAAAAACTATTTACTACTGACTTTGACAGTATTTCAATAAATCCATCGCAAAACTTGTAGCAGACATTTACTCATTTAGTAAGGATTTTTGAATGAAAGAAATGCTGGGATACAATTTGTTATCAACCTATTATTCTAATTGTAGCAAGTGTGATTGCTGCACAAACAATCACTAACTCTGCAGGTCCTCTGATTTGCAGGTGAATAATAGAGAAATTGGGTGTGACAGTTTTCTCTTTCAAACCAAGTTGAAAAGAATGATAAGCTGGACAAATACATGGGAAAATGGAACAAGCCACAAATACACCAACTATAAAATGAAGAATAAAAAGTATTAAAATATTGCCATATTTATGCAATTAGACCTCATTTTAAATGTTTCTGTGAATTGAGATATTGAAGGTTAGATTAGTTCTTAACTATGTTTGCCTTTATAATGAAATAAATATCTTCCTTGCATAAACTTTGCAAGGAAGTTGCTTTATGCCCAACTTTGGTTGGGTATTTACTTAATGAACAAGCAACAGATTGTAATGTGACTTTTAAAAAAACTTTCACCTCCTATGTACCTACATGGCGACCAAGGGACGCACAGTGGAGCCGCGTGGATCTCACACCAAGACACAAGCAGTTTCCTCCAGAAACCTGCTTAAAGCCTGAGAAACGGGGCGGGGCGGGGCGGGGTGCTCAGTTTGGCTTTTTAGAAAATAGTGAATCAACACTTCAGCTTTTCCAGGCTTAAAAGTTTTAGACAAAACATAAATCAGTTCAATAGCAGCAGCTTCGTCTGTGTGTGTGTGTGTGTGTGTGGAGGGGGTAGAAGAGTAAATGACTCGCGAGAAGTCAACCATGTTTTTAGGCTGGAACTGGAAGTTTTTATTATCTGCTTCTTTTTTATGTTCGTTGCTTTTGATAAGTTTCCTGAAAGCGTCGGGCTCCCAATGAAGGCAGCTCGTTACTTAAGCAGCACTGGGTCTGTGGATAGTTTGAATTTACCTTTTTGTAAAGCTGCTTCCGTCTTCTTTCCTTGAAGCTACACGAACATCTTTTTTCTAGTTCTTCCCCTCGACTCAGCATTAATCCTGTGTCCCAGTTTACAGCCTCACTGCTTCGTCACCAAATAGTTCGTCCTCGCTGAAATCTGTAGCTACTTGTAAAGTTGTAGAAAAAAGTGGAGCAATAGGCGGCAGGAAGTCGTCCCAGACTGTCCTGCACAACAGGAGAAATTTCCAGCCTCCCCCTCCTCAAAGACCTCCTACGTCTTTAAAATATTTTTTTAATCTCTCTTTATTTCTCCTCGGAAATCCCTCATCTCATCTTCCAATGTCCCATTTGTTGGATGTTCAAATGAACTGAATTCCTTTAGGACACATGATATTCCAAACGGTCACATTACACACTTCACCAATAAAAAAGTAAAACTTGAATGTTGAATGAAATCATAGTTTTGGAGAAAAAACGGTTATTACATATTTGTTACACTCTGGCATGCTTCGGTAGTTGTTTCGTTTTTCTAAGAACATAACAGTTTACAGAGTCCATCTGCTCATTGCACAGCTCTGAACTTACAACAGAAAGAAGGAACTAAGATTGAAGAAAGGAAAAAATGACAAAGACCGTTTGTGAAACGATCTGTTGCTGCTTTCAAATGCCGTCGGACAGGCGAGAGGCGTTGCGTGCGCATGTCAAGTAAAATGTGGTTGCTGATAACAGTTAGCTTAATTTAACTGAAGAAATTGTATTTTAAAGAAAAATGAAACAATTGTCGTGTAACTGCATAAATGCCAAGTTTTTAACTGTCCCAAGTAACAATAAACTTATTTTGAAAGAAAAAAAAACAACCTTTAATAATCAGTTTAATTCAGCTGGTTACAGCTGAGACATGATGTGCATAAAATATGTCACATTCCCATTTGTGTGACCATATAGACGTCCTCAAAGCAAACAGTTTCATTCCATATGAGATGTAACATTTTCATTTTGAAATGAGGTAAACTGGGCATGACTGTCTTTACTGCGTGTCTACACTCAGTAGCTACATATTTAAGACTCAATTATTGCAGGAAAACATTTTCTGTTTTTATTCATTTTTTATGCAAGCATTCTACAAATTTGTTTAATTTTCTTATCAAGATTTGATGTTTTACATCTCGAGACTAACAATAATGAAAATCCTTTGTGAAAATCATAGAGTAAAATCACTCGGTAATTTTCCCAGTATAAAAGCTGGAAAGAAGGACATCAAATAAAATTCCTTTGTACATCTTTAAGATTTCAGCAGTAGATGAATCATAGGAACTGTGCAGTTCTGTCACAGCTTCATGCATGCAGGGAGAGTTTAAAAATGAAGATATTACATTATACTACTTCCTGCTTGAAAACTACACTACTCACATTACATATTAATAGATTAAAGCACACATCTTACTGGAAATGGAATAGTTTCCATTGGATTTTGCAGTGTTTTTAGAACACAATTCAATTACTAACTTGATTTGACATCAGCAGGGGATGAATGGAATGGAGATGGGTTGCTTACTTACAGATTCAGCAATGTTAACTGGTTGATTCAAGAACTGAAGTACCGGAATACTTGCAAGCAACTCTGATGAGTCCAGCTATTTTTTATGCCCAAACAAAGAAAAGCTAAAAGTCTTGTTATGAAAATATGGTCACAGACATGTCATATTGCTAAGAACCTTTCATTAGACGCCTGTATGAAAGACTGATGATACATTTAAGTGCTGTCTACATGTATATGAACTCCAAACGGACAACAGAATAATAGAAACTATAAACATCTTAATTTTGAAAAATTTTATACATTTAATTGCATTCCATTTTTAGGAGAAATGCTTTTTAAATTAATTTAGGATTAGAACATGCCTTTTATTTTTGGTTAACACCTCAAAATAATAAAAAATTATCAACTCATTGATCATTTTGGGTTATACAGTTCTCCCTCATTTCCATTAGCATGTGGACTTAGCAACCACAGTAAATATCCCAGGTCTTCAGAAACCTATGTACCCTCCGTTTAGACTATGTCTAAACAGAGCGAGGCAGGATTTAGTTTTTATACTCTATGCCTATTGAACAAACTTCTGTAAAAACAAAGATGTGCAGAAAAAGTTGCTTTCTTTTACTTCAAACTGTAAAACATTTTGTCTCTAGCAATTTTGATCAAAGAATTTCACTGAGTTTGCTTATTTAAAGCATGAGGTTCAAGACTAGATGTGCATTTAATACATTCAAACTTAAACTTTGGTCTAAATTCAAATCTAAATTTTCTTCAACATCTGTTTTTTAATATTTATTTTACACAAAATTTATGTTTATGATGTCTCCTGTTTGTATTTTCCTGATTTCTTGGGTATGAATGGTGCTATATAAACAAACTTGTGTCGACTGAAAGAAATTAGAGGTTCACTCTGAGTTCAGTAATCAGAGATAATCTTGTGATTTTGTAATCTGGACAGGAAACATTAGAAGTTATATAAAAAGCTCTGCTCTCTGTGCCTCTGCCAGTCTCTTGTCTGGATATCTCTCCCCCTCCTAATGGCCAAATTCAAAGAGTTAAACAGGAGCTGGCGGTTGGCCTTCTGTGCATAACCTCCCATAACCAAAGTACCTGGAGCTTCTACCTTGTTTGGTGAGTACATTCTCAGACCTTTTGGCCACATGCACCACATATGAAGTGGCATGTGAATTTGAGCAACGCATAAGCCACTGTTAGCAATTTCAACAACAACAAAAAACTGTGTTCAATTTGTACTCTTGTCTAGGGGAGGACTATTCATCTGGCATGTAAACATATAGGGCCTGAGGCCAGGGCCACTGTAATAAATTGATACCGTTTTGCTACCTCATCCACAGCGAGCGCTTAAGCTCACAGTATCTCATCAGAATTGCAGGGCAAGTTGTATGGTATCAGTAATAGCAGCAACAACATAATGTAAATAAACATATAATGGCTATGTCATAAATGGGACATTTAGCTCACTTATCAGTGATAAATTACACTGCAAAGTTACAGGAAAGAAACAGTCATAACAAGCATAATCACATCCTAACAGAAATATAAACCACATAACTACACCATATTAAACAATACAAAAGTCACATTTTCAATCATCCATACGAAGTCCCTTACTTGCAGAGCTGCAATAAAGAAATGAGGCTGCATGAGGCTCCTCATAAGCATAGCGCAGTCCAACCATGCCCTCCAATGGGGGTTCAGAACTGCCCCTAAGCATAAACAATTGACGCAGCTCACTGGGATCCCCGGGCCAAGAGGTAATCTCCTAAATGGAACAATTTTTTTTTTTTCATTAATGATTTTTTTTTCCCAAGTAATGATTTCTATGTCAACGAAAACATAAAAGAGTTGAGATTTATTTATTTATTTGATAATGTAGAAATAATTATTTAAAGCGGCAAAAAGAAAAAAATAAATTGCTCATGGGGTCCCCCAAGTGGCCGCGGGAGGTAGCGCTTATTGAGAGTCTGCATGAATCGCATCTAAACCTAAAAAGCACCAATGGAGAACTAAGCAAAACAATGTCGCAAAAAAGAACATTGTTTTGTCCCTATTCTTCAGAGACAGATAAAATAAAGAGGATCACAGAAAAAAGTTAGGACAAAATGACGTTTTCACGATCGATAACTACTTTCAATGTTTCTCAAAACGATTTGTGGAGCTGCTAATAGAGAATTAGCTTGATAACGTCTGTCTGGTTCGGCAACATCTCTGCTGTTAAGAGTTCGGCGGTGGTACCAGCGACACCGGACCTCCATATGAACTGCAGCATAGCTCCTTGTTAGCATCTCGTTGAGCCGGACGCTCAAAGAACATTCAGTGTTAGCTTGCTTTGGTAAAACTAAGAACCTTTGTTAGTTCTGCTGGTATAAATGACTCAGATGTCCAGGGTCCAGATTGGGTCCTCTCCCACTGCGTTCTCCTTTCTTTCATGTGGGAAATTACAGATTCAGCTCAATTTTTTATTTTATCACAACCCATAACGACACAGTGTGGCATTATCTAAAATTATACCAGACAAACGCAATATGATGAACAACTACTCTGGGAAAAGTTAGCCTTCATGTGTTGACTCTGTAGACTCCAGTACAGAATGGACCATTATGCGTCATCAATCTATCAGTGAAAAATATTAATATTTAAGTAATAACCAGTTTTTTTCAAATTTCAAAATTTTTAGGTGATAGGAAAATTGAATCCTTTTAAACACTAAGCATGACAGGAAAGATGCTTTGGTTAGAATACTTCCATCACTTGACAACAAAACAACTACTTTAATTAAACTTTTAATATGCATATAAATCATAAACCAATATAATTAATAGTTCATGTGGAGGTTACTGCTTTCCGATTCACTCCCGCTGAATCTTTTAACTGGTGGATTCTCCGTGGCTTCTGTTTCACTTGGCAGTGTAGATTCTTGTTTCACTGGATTTCCCCATGACTAACTCTTAAGCTGGAAATAAAAAATAGGAAAGTGTGTGAGGCAATTCAGGATATTTATAATTATTTAGATGATTAAACTTTGTGGGCGGCAATGGTAAAGGGGTATGACCTTTGCTATATGTTTGAATGATGAATTAATATTATTAAGCCTGCTATTTGGCTCTAATTCACTAACTACGACAAGGCAATCCCTCTAGACAGAAGCATGCAGTTTGAAGTAGACTGCCCTTACTAGGGTTGTTTTCACATAGGAGTTGGTGGGCACAGCTCCTACTTTTAAACCTGTTATTGTCTATATATTGCTCAAACATCTGTGTCCTGTGTGCTGCAGAGCTTTACTTTGCAGGTTTATTGTACACATTTGAAACCATATCAGAATGTCTCACATCGGAAACAACCAGATATGTCAGGGAACTGGTTTGTGTGCATCTGTATCTTCCTTTGATTACTGTCCCTATTTTAAGTGTAATTAATCTATCCTAAGAAATGGACATCTACAAACTTAAATAAAAGTCCTGTGAGCTTCTAAACAAATACCTGCAGAGATCCTCTTTTCTTCAGAACAATAACATGTAAAATGTAAACAGAAACTCTTAGGATTTTTAAGATAGCTGTAGTTAAGAAATTTACTTGAGACACATCTCCATCAAGACATGTAAATCTCATATTTTGAGTGATTTGTTCTTGGTGCTTAAGTTTAATGTTGATTTTTTTTCCCACTTCGTTTAAGAGAGTTGCTAGTTGCTGATTCGGGCCACACAATTTTGCGTCAGTGTGTTTTAGTTGGTCGTGCTCAAGAAGCTTCATATATGCATTGTGTAAGTGATGGTGAGGTGATGTTAAAGCTGCAATACTTAAGGCGTATTAATTGGTCCCTGAGGTGGATAGACAGAAGTCCAAGAACTGAAAAATAGGTGGCAAAACTTGCGT